TCTTAAAAATATTGGGGTAAAACAAAATTTTTTTCAAAAATCTTTTCGTATATAGAGTATCGATAGCTCATATGAAAGTACATTAAAAACTAGTTCTAAAAATGGTGAATCGAATTAATATACTTGCTTTACCCCAAAGATATAATCCCTCGAATAAAACCCCTAAATAAATAATATTTATTTTTAAAAATATTGGGGTAAAACAAAATTTTTTTCAAAAATCTTTTCGTATATAGAGTATCGATAGCTCATATGAAAGTACATTAAAAACTAGTTCTAAAAATGGTGAACCGAATTAATATACTTGCTTTACCCCAAAGATATAATCCCTCGAATAAAACCCCTAAATAAATAATATTTATTTTTAAAAATATTGGGGTAAAACAAAATTTTTTTCAAAAATCTTTTCGTATATAGAGTATCGATAGCTCATATGAAAGTACATTAAAAGCTAGTTCTAAAAATGGTGAACCGAATTAATATACTTGCTTTACCCCAAAGATATAATCCCTCGAATAAAACCCCTAAATAAATAATATTTATTTTTAAAAATATTGGGGTAAAACAAAATTTTTTTCAAAAATCTTTTCGTATATAGAGTATCGATAGCTCATATGAAAGTACATTAAAAGCTAGTTCTAAAAATGGTGAACCGAATTAATATACTTGCTTTACCCCAAAGATATAATCCCTCGAATAAAACCCCTAAATAAATAATATTTATTTTTAAAAATATTGGGGTAAAACAAAATTTTTTTCAAAAATCTTTTCGTATATAGAGTATCGATAGCTCATATGAAAGTACATTAAAAACTAGTTCTAAAAATGGTGAACCGAATTAATATACTTGCTTTACCCCAAAGATATAATCCCTCGAATAAAACCCCTAAATAAATAATATTTATTTTTAAAAATATTGGGGTAAAACAAAATTTTTTTCAAAAATCTTTTCGTATATAGAGTATCGATAGCTCATATGAAAGTACATTAAAAACTAGTTCTAAAAATGGTGAACCGAATTAATATACTTGCTTTACCCCAAAGATATAATCCCTCGAATAAAACCCCTAAATAAATAATATTTATTTTTAAAAATATTGGGGTAAAACAAAATTTTTTTCAAAAATCTTTTCGTATATAGAGTATCGATAGCTCATATGAAAGTACATTATAAGCTAGTTCTAAAAATGGTGAACCGAATTAATATACTTGCTTTACCCCAAAGATATAATCCCTCGAATAAAACCCCTAAATAAATAATATTTATTTTTAAAAATATTGGGGTAAAACAAAATTTTTTTCAAAATCTTTTCGTATATAGAGTATCGATAGCTCATATGAAAGTACATTAAAAGCTAGTTCTAAAAATGGTGAACCGAATTAATATACTTGCTTTACCCCAAAGATATAATCCCTCGAATAAAACCCCTAAATAAATAATATTTATTTTTAAAAATATTGGGGTAAAACAAAATTTTTTTCAAAAATCTTTTCGTATATAGAGTATCGATAGCTCATATGAAAGTACATTAAAAGCTAGTTCTAAAAATGGTGAACCGAATTAATATACTTGCTTTACCCCAAAGATATAATCCCTCGAATAAAACCCCTAAATAAATAATATTTATTTTTAAAAATATTGGGGTAAAACAAAATTTTTTTCAAAAATCTTTTCGTATATAGAGTATCGATAGCTCATATGAAAGTACATTAAAAGCTAGTTCTAAAAATGGTGAACCGAATTAATATACTTGCTTTACCCCAAAGATATAATCCCTCGAATAAAACCCCTAAATAAATAATATTTATTTTTAAAAATATTGGGGTAAAACAAAATTTTTTTCAAAAATCTTTTCGTATATAGAGTATCGATAGCTCATATGAAAGTACATTAAAAGCTAGTTCTAAAAATGGTGAACCGAATTAATATACTTGCTTTACCCCAAAGATATAATCCCTCGAATAAAACCCCTAAATAAATAATATTTATTTTTAAAAATATTGGGGTAAAACAAAATTTTTTTCAAAAATCTTTTCGTATATAGAGTATCGATAGCTCATATGAAAGTACATTAAAAGCTAGTTCTAAAAATGGTGAACCGAATTAATATACTTGCTTTACCCCAAAGATATAATCCCTCGAATAAAACCCCTAAATAAATAATATTTATTTTTAAAAATATTGGGGTAAAACAAAATTTTTTTCAAAAATCTTTTCGTATATAGAGTATCGATAGCTCATATGAAAGTACATTAAAAGCTAGTTCTAAAAATGGTGAACCGAATTAATATACTTGCTTTACCCCAAAGATATAATCCCTCGAATAAAACCCCTAAATAAATAATATTTATTCTTAAAAATATTGGGGTAAAACAAAATTTTTTTCAAAAATCTTTTCGTATATAGAGTATCGATAGCTCATATGAAAGTACATTAAAAACTAGTTCTAAAAATGGTGAATCGAATTAATATACTTGCTTTACCCCAAAGATATAATCCCTCGAATAAAACCCCTAAATAAATAATATTTATTTTTAAAAATATTGGGGTAAAACAAAATTTTTTTCAAAAATCTTTTCGTATATAGAGTATCGATAGCTCATATGAAAGTACATTAAAAACTAGTTCTAAAAATGGTGAACCGAATTAATATACTTGCTTTACCCCAAAGATATAATCCCTCGAATAAAACCCCTAAATAAATAATATTTATTTTTAAAAATATTGGGGTAAAACAAAATTTTTTTCAAAAATCTTTTCGTATATAGAGTATCGATAGCTCATATGAAAGTACATTAAAAGCTAGTTCTAAAAATGGTGAACCGAATTAATATACTTGCTTTACCCCAAAGATATAATCCCTCGAATAAAACCCCTAAATAAATAATATTTATTTTTAAAAATATTGGGGTAAAACAAAATTTTTTTCAAAAATCTTTTCGTATATAGAGTATCGATAGCTCATATGAAAGTACATTAAAAGCTAGTTCTAAAAATGGTGAACCGAATTAATATACTTGCTTTACCCCAAAGATATAATCCCTCGAATAAAACCCCTAAATAAATAATATTTATTTTTAAAAATATTGGGGTAAAACAAAATTTTTTTCAAAAATCTTTTCGTATATAGAGTATCGATAGCTCATATGAAAGTACATTAAAAACTAGTTCTAAAAATGGTGAACCGAATTAATATACTTGCTTTACCCCAAAGATATAATCCCTCGAATAAAACCCCTAAATAAATAATATTTATTTTTAAAAATATTGGGGTAAAACAAAATTTTTTTCAAAAATCTTTTCGTATATAGAGTATCGATAGCTCATATGAAAGTACATTAAAAACTAGTTCTAAAAATGGTGAACCGAATTAATATACTTGCTTTACCCCAAAGATATAATCCCTCGAATAAAACCCCTAAATAAATAATATTTATTTTTAAAAATATTGGGGTAAAACAAAATTTTTTTCAAAAATCTTTTCGTATATAGAGTATCGATAGCTCATATGAAAGTACATTAAAAACTAGTTCTAAAAATGGTGAACCGAATTAATATACTTGCTTTACCCCAAAGATATAATCCCTCGAATAAAACCCCTAAATAAATAATATTTATTTTTAAAAATATTGGGGTAAAACAAAATTTTTTTCAAAAATCTTTTCGTATATAGAGTATCGATAGCTCATATGAAAGTACATTAAAAACTAGTTCTAAAAATGGTGAACCGAATTAATATACTTGCTTTACCCCAAAGATATAATCCCTCGAATAAAACCCCTAAATAAATAATATTTATTTTTAAAAATATTGGGGTAAAACAAAATTTTTTTCAAAAATCTTTTCGTATATAGAGTATCGATAGCTCATATGAAAGTACATTAAAAACTAGTTCTAAAAATGGTGAATCGAATTAATATACTTGCTTTACCCCAAAGATATAATCCCTCGAATAAAACCCCTAAATAAATAATATTTATTTTTAAAAATATTGGGGTAAAACAAAATTTTTTTCAAAAATCTTTTCGTATATAGAGTATCGATAGCTCATATGAAAGTACATTAAAAACTAGTTCTAAAAATGGTGAATCGAATTAATATACTTGCTTTACCCCAAAGATATAATCCCTCGAATAAAACCCCTAAATAAATAATATTTATTTTTAAAAATATTGGGGTAAAACAAAATTTTTTTCAAAAATCTTTTCGTATATAGAGTATCGATAGCTCATATGAAAGTACATTAAAAACTAGTTCTAAAAATGGTGAACCGAATTAATATACTTGCTTTACCCCAAAGATATAATCCCTCGAATAAAACCCCTAAATAAATAATATTTATTTTTAAAAATATTGGGGTAAAACAAAATTTTTTTCAAAAATCTTTTCGTATATAGAGTATCGATAGCTCATATGAAAGTACATTAAAAGCTAGTTCTAAAAATGGTGAACCGAATTAATATACTTGCTTTACCCCAAAGATATAATCCCTCGAATAAAACCCCTAAATAAATAATATTTATTTTTAAAAATATTGGGGTAAAACAAAATTTTTTTCAAAAATCTTTTCGTATATAGAGTATCGATAGCTCATATGAAAGTACATTAAAAACTAGTTCTAAAAATGGTGAATCGAATTAATATACTTGCTTTACCCCAAAGATATAATCCCTCGAATAAAACCCCTAAATAAATAATATTTATTTTTAAAAATATTGGGGTAAAACAAAATTTTTTTCAAAAATCTTTTCGTATATAGAGTATCGATAGCTCATATGAAAGTACATTAAAAACTAGTTCTAAAAATGGTGAATCGAATTAATATACTTGCTTTACCCCAAAGATATAATCCCTCGAATAAAACCCCTAAATAAATAATATTTATTTTTAAAAATATTGGGGTAAAACAAAATTTTTTCCAAAAATCTTTTCGTATATAGAGTATCGATAGCTCATATGAAAGTACATTAAAAACTAGTTCTAAAAATGGTGAACCGAATTAACAAATACATTTGTATGAGTCATGACTTTAAAAAAAATATTATAAGATTTCCTCAAAAAATTATTTACGTATCCACACAAAATGCATCTGGGTGGCAAGTATTCAATTCTTCACGAGAACATTCATACACTAATTTACGACAAACAATTCCAGATTCATGCCGTGCATTTAGAGATAAATCAACAAAACCAGGTTTACAACGACAAATGTATCCTTCAGCGGTGTCTACACACAAAGCATCAGGTGAACAACGAGTATGTGTTTGACCTAGAGCACATTCATTAACTTCTCCAACACATAGACGACCCGGTTTATTTACAGGATCTGGAGATTGGTCTAGAAAAAAATAAAAGTATAATAAAAGTATATAGTAAGTGGTGTGCCATTTTGCCTTTTTTAGGATTTTATCTTTAACTGTTCGCTTTTAAATCAACTTTCGTATTTTCGCGATTCGCTTTTTAAATTGACTCTCGCCTTTCGGTTTTCGATTTTTTAAATCACTTTAGATACACCCCTAATAAATAAAATAAAAAACCTAAATATCCAAGAGGGCAAACACACAAAAAACTTCCATCAGTTCAATACATTTGCAGCAGGATCGCAATCATTATCTCTTTTGTTTAAACATTCATTTCCTACTCTAAAAAATTGATTTTTTAAAATATTAAAAAAATTATATACAGCAAATTTCAGTCGCTGGATGTCGTTTCTCTCCTGGTAAACACTGACAAGTATGAAATTGTCCAGAAGTATGTAAAAGGCAATGTTCACGTTTACGTATATCACATTCATCTTCAGTTTTTCTGATAGCATCACAGAATCCAGGAGGACCACAATTTCCTGATCGAGGATTAAAAGCCATTCCTGGAGAGCAGGTTTCACCAGTGATGGTGAGTAGGTATTTAGTTGATGAAGTAAAGTTTGAAGGTAAATGTTGTTTATTTAAAAATATATGAGGAAGTGAAGAAGATATACATATTCCTGAATGCATTTCTCGTGCATATGAGGCAGGACAAGCGCAACGATGATTTCCTATAAAATTGGGACTATCATAAATGCTCTATTAAAAGCCCAAACTCTAAAATAAGCCCAAATGTAATATAAGCCCATCTCCAATATAAACCCCCTCAGAGACATTTAAAGAATAGAAACCCAGAGCTTATATATTCTAAAAATGGATAACTTTAAAAATTACCAAAAGGTGTTCTTTGACATAATTCAGGATGTGGACAAGAAGTTGGTAACTGAGATATTCAATGAAAATTTAAAAATAATAAAATTATACTTTAGGATTGCACAAATTTCCTCCACAAACAGGGGTTAATGAATGTCTATCAAATCCACCATTAAGGCAAAGGCATGTTGGTTTTTTATTAATTAAAGTACAAATTTCATTTCGCGTTCTATCACACATTGTTTGAGCGTCAACACTGCAACCAGATGATAATTGAGTGGGACGTGATGGAGAGGGGCATGCTAGCTTTTGAACTTAAATTAGAGCACTTAAGTTATTATAAACTAAACGAATTTATACAATTGATCGAAGTCGCATATCCAAATCCTTGAAGCGATCAACATAAAACCAGCGTTGCTGAGAACCTATTAAAATAAATAATAATTATGAATAAATCACACGTTTATATCAGCGATGTAACGGAATAACCAAACCCCAATTTAAAAAATCTTCTGAAAAAAACCCCCACAGAAATCCACCACGAGGAGCACCTGACATTTTTTTAACCAAAGAAAATTAACCCGGACCCTATTTTCTCTAAACCCGCGACATCCCTAATTTATTTTTATAGTAAACCAGCTATCGATTCCAATTCCAAAGCAAGTACATGATCAGTAACTCCAATAGCAAAAGTATTTATATGTTGTTCTCTAGCTTTTTAATCTGGTTCTGTTGACTTCTTCCATCTGTTATAACTATAGCAACACGGCTTACATCAGTACTACTTGATAATGACGGAGGAGAGGAAAGAGGACGTGCTCCTCGACGTTGGCAAAACCTTTTTGAACCATATGTTGTATTGCTGCTCCAGTTCTTGTTAAACCAGTCAAATATTGAGTTTGGGCTATTGCTTGTCGTAAAGAATGTTTGTCAGAATATTGGTTAAAATCAAATTCATGTCTTATTTGATCACTATATTGAATTAATCCAACTCGAGTATTTTCTTGTCCAATATCAAATAAAACGAGGGAACATCTAAATCAATAACCCAATCATTCACCAAATCGATAACAAAAAATATTAGAGTGATTAACAACTAGGAACTGAAAAAAAATTATTTTAGATCTAAAAAATAAAAAATAACCTTAAAAAATATTTGTTTATTCAACAACCCATTAATTACCAAAAAATATGTTGTAAAATGCTTAATGTTGCATAAGCCTAAAATAAAAAGAATAAGCTTTGTGAAAATATAAAATTATGCATAAAGTTATAAATATGAATGAATTTACTAGAGGTGGGTAGGATTTCCGATTTCCGAAAGAAACCGATTTTTGAGCCAGTTCCAATTCCCTGCTCTTCCGATTTTCAACACCTCTGACTTTTCCGACCCACCTCTAATTTTAACAGTTTGAAAAAATATAAAAGATATTAAGTAGAATAAAGACTAGGCCGAAAAAATGAATTTTTGAGAAATAACATAATTTTGAACTTCGTCAAAAAAATTTTTTTTGACAAGAAGTAGAGAGAAGAGCTTAATGAAACTTCGAAAAACAAGATCTCGGACGAAAATCTCGGTTATTGAGATTTTTCGAATTCGACACAGCAAGGTGAAAAAAAAAGATGAAAATAGAGAGAGAGAGAGACAATACTATTTCCGAAAAAAATCGATAACTTGGGAACAGTCCTTTTTTACAAAAGATGGATAAAGGAGAGGGAGATTTTTCTTAAACAGCCAGACAGCCAATGTCTTCGTTTTTTACAAAAAATGGACCCATCACAAAACCAGCCAATGTTTTCTGTTGAATGCTTGTTGCCAGACACAGAAAAAAGTGAAGGTAAAAATATTTTTAATGTAGAGAAGAGAAAAATAAGAAGCTGGTAGGGAAAATTGATCAGAAAAAGGGGAAGTTGGTAAATGTGCACATCTTTAAATTTTTAAACAAAGGGGAAGACAAAATTTCACATTTTAAAACCAGCCAGTGTTTTCTGTTGGATTTACTTTTTTGCCGAAACGTACTCACATTTTTAGAGAAGAAAATACAAGTGAGATTTTAAGAGTATGTATAAAAGAAGAGAAAAAGGAAAATAGAAAAAAGTATAAAAGGGATAGGCAAAATTAAAGATTCCATTAAAAAAATTTCTACCTTTCATAGTCGATTGGTAGCAATTCTCTACAGATGAACCGCCTATAGTACGCGATGTCCTTCTGTGAGAAGTTCATTTGGTACTCATTCATTCCAAAGCGGGCGAAGAGAAGTGCGTACACCCCGCAGTCGTTCCCCCCTACTTGGCGCGGCACATTATATTCCTCTTTTCTGGTCCAGGATTCAAAGGGCCCAATGTCGACACCGCATTGTTCAGACGCGAGTATCATTATATTTCTTAATTGTTTAATTTATTTAAATTTATTCCAAAAAATATTTTTTCATTATCTCCCCCTCTTAATTTTCTCGGTACTTTATTAATATCCTGCCCACACCCCTATTTGAGTCTTAGATTAATTTCCCCTTTTTTTTGTCTCGGAATGTCAACTTTCCTTTTTTATGAATGTTAATTTTTGGTGTTAGTCCTATTTTTGCTGTTGCCGTCTATTTTTTTCTTCCTAATAAATTTGCTATTACTTAAATGTTTGAGGGCTGTCAGCAAAAGGAAAATTAATTGTGACTCAAATAAGGATGGAGGCGGAATATGAACAAAGTACCATTTTCTCTATTGATATCTTAAAAAATTACAGAACGTCATCCATAAATTTTTCTTTCGCCTGGCTTGTTTTGCCTTTACTCAGTGAATTCATTATAATAATTGTCCTCTTATTCATATCAACAATTGCCATAGCCCAATGGTTATTGCTGAGATTGCAGGGTGCTAGGACCTTTTGCACACCTTTGACTTGCCAATACCACTCAGAGCTTATGCCTTTACCATTCACATATTTTTGTTACAATATGTAGGCAGGTACAACACAATATGGTTGGGCTTATGAAAGTCCTTTCGCTCGGATGCAGATCCACGGCATAAATCTGTACCGTTTTTCTGCCACGGGACATTGTACTCTTCTTTTAAGCTATTGTTAAAACTCTTCTTTTAAGCTATGGTTAAAATAATTTCAAAAATAAAAATAAAAATTTCAATAAAAAAACAAATTTTTTATAAAAGTACAAGAAAAGGTATTTTTTGGTAATGGTAATTAACTTTTTGAGCTGTTTGTTTGTTTCTTTTTTTCTTTGTTTGTTTGTTTTGATTATTGATTTTTTTATTTATTTTTGCGGGAAAATTAATTAATACTTGGGTCTCATTACATTTTAAATTAATTAATATCTGAGTCTCTCTCCATTAATTTTTAATTTTTTAATTTCTTCTAATTTCAGATAATTCTAAGCGAATTATATTCAAAAAAGGCTCTTGCGCTGGTGGGGCCAATACCATAGCTGCCAATTAAGGTTGGCGGTTCCGGTTATCCGGAACCGAAAAAAGACCGGATAACCGAAAATTTTCGGTTCGGTTATCGGTTCCGGTTCCGGATAACCGAAATCTTCGGTTCGGTTATCGGTTCCGGTTCCGGATAACCGAAATCTTCGGTTCGGTTATCGGTTCCGGTTCCGGATAACCGAAATCTTCGGTTCGGTTCCTAGAATGAGGAAAAATGGAAGAAATCTAGCCTTTTGGCCTTCCAAATTTCTCAAAATTTTTGCCTGCGGCGCTGATAGAGGAAGAATCCTGGCTCAAAAACTTCTAAAATTCTAAAAATTTTCGCCTGCGGCGCTGGAAAATGAAGAAATCTAGCAGCCTAGTCTTCCAAAATTCTCAAAATTTTCGCCTGTGGCGCTGAAAAAGGAAAAATTCTGGCTTAGGAATCTTCTAAAATTCGCAAAATTTTACCTGCGGTGTTGGATAAAGAAGTCACGCACACCAATTACAATCACTCAATTACCCAAGTCCCGAAAATCGCAATATTCCCGTTGATCCTTCTTAATCCAGGTCCCCTTTATACCTCGATATTTTCATTAATCCCTCGATAATCTCCTAATCCCCCTACATCCCTCATAATTCACTAAATCTTCCTGTTATCCCTATTAATCCTTTGATATCACTCGTTATCCCCTTAATCCATACATATCCTCTGAAATAATATAGTCCATTGATTTACCACCCGGATAAACTCTTCGAAATTCCTTGAATTTCGGATAAATTCTTTGATCCACGCATTTATTGTCCTAGATAGCTCTGTTAATCCTAAATTCCCTCGATAACTCTGTTAATCCTCAAATCCATTCATAATTCCTCCTAATCTCTCTATATCCTTCCGTGGGACTCAACTTTTCAGCGCCGCAGGCGAAAATTTTGAAAATAAAAATTCCGGTTTCGGTTCCGGATAACCGAAATTTTCGGTTCGGTTATCGGTTCCGGTTCCGGATAACCGAAAAATTCGGTTCGGTTATCGGTTCCGGTTCCGGATAACCGAAATCTTCGGTTCGGTTATCGGTTCCGGTTCCGGATAACCGAAGATTTCCCAGGAACCGCCAACCCTACTGCCAATACCATTCTTTGCAATATAATTGGCAATATATATATGCAATATAATTGGCATTCTTGGCAATATAATTCTTTTATAAAATTTGACCTCCAGACTGGCTGAGAATACATTGTAGAGGGGCGCTTGTCGTCTAAGCAGTCGGTGAATAGTTGTTTTGTTGAGTCTTTCTAGGCCCTCAATTCTTCTTTTTATCTTGTCCAGTCAAATTTAAATTTTTTGTAGTTAAGCCTTCCAAAAATTTCCGTTCTGTATTTATTTCGTTTTGGAGTCATTTGAATTATTTAATTTAGAAATTGTTTCTTAATCTTTATTTTTTAAAATACGGAGTCTTAGTTTCGATCCAAAACCCATACCATTCGATACGTCTGGACGAGCTAAGTCGAGAGGTTTTTGCCTTTGTACGGGAGGACAATTCCACGTTTCTAAAATCATTAATATTATTTTTTATATGCTCAAATAAAGGTCAGAGGGGATTATACCAATTTAAAATTATTGTTTAAAAAATAGGGGATAACTTATTTGAGCATATATTTGATACTCAGGGCTCGGATCTCCCTCAATTCTCTTATATTTTCTAAATGAGCAAAATCAGCGGGGCATGCAAAAATTTGAGGATTTTGTAAGGCCAGAATAGAAAAAAATAACATTTTATTCTAAAAATACTCAAATCCGCATTTTTGAAAATAATGTTTATCAATTTTAAGAATGAGCTTGATTGCTTAATTCCTCTCTACGTGCTCTACAACTTTTTTCTTTGTAATTATTCTTGGATTTGGTTCTTTGTTGTCAATTTTGTGTTGTAAAAATAAAAAAAAGGTAAAGGTAGGGGAATATTTTAATCAATTAATTAATTAATATTTTTCAGAAATCGAAACGGGAATCGAAAGTAAAGCAAAAAGTAGGAAAGGTAATTTATTTGAATTTTATTTTTTTCTAATTAAGAATCAAAAAATAGTAAAAACAAAAAACATCGACAACATCACCGACAAAGAATAATCAAATTAAAGAAAAAGAAAAGAATAAAGGGGAGAAGGGGATGTTAAAAAAGAAGAAGAGAAAGTTTGTAATTATTATTCTTTAATGTCTTTGTATGATCTCGGTCTTGATGAAGAATTTTTGGAAAAACAACGAAAGGAAATGGAAATGAAGAAAAAAACAAAAATTGAAAGAAAAGTAAGAAAATAAAAAATATTCTCTTGTCGCTTTAGAAAATATTCAAGAAAATAATAATGGAGAAAATTCGTTATCCTCAACATTTAAAATTAAAAAGAAGGAAGAAGAATTGAAAGGAGAGAATATTAAATTGACAAAAGAATCTGAAAATGCTAATAATGGAAAGGTATTAATAAACAAAAATGAGGTAAAATCCGAGCCCTGGGTATCTTTTTAATATTTTTTTCTTTTTACTAATCGGTTATAAAAGTCTACCTCCAGACTGGCTGAGAATACATGGTGGGGGGGGGGGGCGGTTGTCGTCTAAGGAGTCGATGAATAGTCGTGTTGTTAAGTTTTTCTGGACCCTCGATTCTCCTTTTTATCTCGGCCAGATCAAATTTAAACTTTTTGTAGTTAAGCCTACCAAAGACTTCCGTTTTGTATTTTTTTCGGTTTGTAGTCATTTGAATTATTTATTTAATTTAGAAATTGTTTTTAAATTTTTATCTTTAAAAAATACAGGAGCCCTAGTTTCGACTCAAAACCCATACCATTCGATTCGTCTCGACGAGTAAGTCGAGTGGTACCTCTCTTCTTTTCCGAAGATGCCTGTGGCCCGAGTTATAGGCCCTCAAAAATCGAAAAACCAGTTTCTGAACTAAGATAAGTTTATCTCAGTCCATTCAAATCGGATTTTGTTGATTTAGGTGTCATTAGACTCAGCTCGAAGAGCTCTTTCGAATGAGCTATCACTCGAAAAATCGAATTTTTCATCCCAAAATCGACTCATGTAAGGGCCTTATGTCGAAACTAGGACTTCAGTATACTAAACTATTGTTAAAATAATTTAAAAAAATAAAATCAAAAAAAAACAAATTTTTTAGAAAATTATAAGAAAGGTATTTTTTTGGTAAGGTAATTAACCTTTTCAGCTGAGTGAGTGTTTCTTTGTTCCTTTGTTTATTTATTGATTTTATTGATTTTCTTATTTATTTTTGCGGGAAAAATAAATAAAAAAATAAATTCATTCCTTCCGGATCTTCAACAAGACGTCGGAGTTCGTCGATTCTAATAAATATTTTTTGTAAGTAATTCTGCCTACAATTTTTGTAGAGTAGGGCTTTCGACGTAGTGGAGCCATTGATTTAACGAATTCTAATAATATTTTTGTTTATTTCTGATAATTTTATAAAAAAATTAAGAATAATTTTATAAAAAAATTTCCATAAAAAGGTAAAAAAATGAAAAGGAAAAATCGGGGAGGTAAACCAAACTAATACCAAAAATTAAAAAACCTTTAACTTTTACTCTTATTTCTACTAAAATTTTTAATTTTAGAATATAATTTTTCTTACTAAAGAACATTTTGTCAATTCTTTTTACTGCGCATTATTAAGTTTATTTTCCCTTTCCTTATTTAATTTCACTGTTAATGGCGACATATCTTTTTGGTGGAATTCCAATAGTTTGTATAGAAATTCACTAAATTTTATATCTTATAACTGTTAAATCCAGGGCCCTAGCTTAAAGCATACGTCTAATGAACTCTCTTAATCCACCCAAAAATACTTAATCCTTACAAATCCCTAGATATCTCTGTTAATCCTCTAAATTTTACGTATTAATGGAACACATGCCCTAAACTAGAGCCAAGCACTCTTTAACCTTATACTCTTTCTTTTCATTAAAGTCCTCAATTTCTATAATTTAATAATTTATTATTTTTATTTATATTTATCTACCTTCGTTTAAATAATCGTGGGCGTGTTCAAGAGGGTAATGGACATTAGAAATCTTACTAAAGTCCTTGACCAACTAAATATCAATTTATTTTATTAAAATCTATTTAAAATATGCCTGGTATACTTCACTCTGTCAGAAGAGTAAATGAAGTGACGGCTTTATTTCTGGCCTTGTACCGGTGGACAATTCCACGTTTCTTTAATTCATTATTATTAGGGCGTGTCAAAATATGCAAGGAAAAACCCAAAATATGCGCATATATATGCATCGAAAAAGGCCTAAATATGTACTAAAATAAACAAAATTTCCCAAAATATGCACTAGATATGCAGCAAAAAACAGTAAAAATGTGCTTCAAAAATTAATATTTCAAGTAAAAACAATCGAAATGGGATTTGGGTTCGAACCTCGCCAGGGTCGAATATTTATTAAAACTAAAAAGAAACCAAAAAGTGTCTTCTCTATCATCGAACAATTGATGTATTCCCATTCCTTCTTAAAAAAAACGAAATTTTCCTTAAAAAATTCCAAAAAACCTTTAGCACTCGATAACGTCCAAACAGCTTCATTCGAAATATCATTAATATGCCCAACTCAATTGAAAGACAAGACGTCAAATAATGGCAAAGTTTTTATTTGAGTTGTCATTCACCATTTCCTAAAGATTAAAAAAGAATTTTATAAAATCACTATTCTTCAATAATTTACTTTTAATTTGTAACCGTCTTTAAATATAAAAAATGAACATCGATTTATTCAGTCATTTACAACTAAGAGGGCAAAATGTGTGAGTCAGGCAATAAAAAACAAAAAAATTGCCTGAATTGAAGGAAGAGTGAGTGAATGAATGTGACTATAGGGAAATTTTTTTAAACTTTTGCAAGGAAAAAATGACTGACCTACTTCAACTAAATCGCAGACTGGGTGAGGGGCAATAATTACCGGGAGAACTCTTTAGTGAGGTCTATCTCCAGAATAAAGCTAGGACATAACAGTCTTATATTTAAAATATCCAAATAATTGAAAAAAATATCTTAAAAAATTTTTTAACAATCATACATGTAGTTTTGGGGGAAATAATTTAAAGATAAACTTAAAATAAACCCATTAACAACAAAAATTTTATGGGGTACATCTTCCAATAAAACGTGGATAGTTTTTAGATACAGCACTTAATGCTGATTCGAATGATATATTATTTATCCTTATCAGTTCTAAATTCACCGACCCCGAGCTCTTTGAAGTTTTCAAGTATCAAATATTTAAACCAAAAAAATATTTTTCGATATTTTTCTTTTAGGTAAGTTAGATTAGAACCTTCTGCATATAGTGGGGTAAAACAAAGTTGGGGTAAAACAAAATTTTTTTCAAAAATCTTTTCGTATATAGAGTATCGATAGCTCATATGAAAGTACATTAAAAGCTAGTTCTAAAAATGGTGAACCGAATTAATATACTTCCTTTACCCCAAAGATATAATCCCTCGAATAAAACCCCTAAATAAATAATATTTATTTTAAAATTATTGGGGTAAAACAAAATTTTTTTCAAAAATCTTTTCGTATATAGAGTATCGATAGCTCATATGAAAGTACATTAAATATGAAAGTACATCTGAGTCTTCCATATCCCAAAAAATATTCAAAATAATTTTTTTCAAAAATTTTATCAAATAGATAGGGTTACTGTAGAAACGGCTTAGAACAAGTTTTATAGACTACTTTTAATGTACTTTCGAATGAGCTATAGTATATCCAAATCTGTCATGTATTCGCGGAGAAACACCCCTCTGAGTCTTCCATATCCCAAAAAATATTCAAAATAATTTTTTTCAAAAATTTTATCAAATAGATAGGGTTACTGTAGAAACGGCTTAGAACAAGTTTTATAGACTACTTTTAATGTACTTTCGAATGAGCTATAGTATATCCAAATCTGTCATGTATTCGCGGAGAAACACCCCTCTGAGTCTTCCATATCCCAAAAAATATTCAAAATAATTTTTTTCAAAAATTTTATCAAATAGATAGGGTTACTGTAGAATCCGCTTAGAACAGTTTTTATATACTACTTTTAATGTACTTTCGAATGAGCTATAGTATATCCAAATCTGTCATGTATTCGCGGAGAAACACCCCTCTGAGTCTTCCATATCCCAAAAAATATTCAAAATAATTTTTTTCAAAAATTTTATCAAATAGATAGGGTTACTGTAGAATCCGCTTAGAACAGTTTTTATATACTACTTTTAATGTACTTTCGAATGAGCTATAGTATATCCAAATCTGTCATGTATTCGCGGAGAAACACCCCTCTGAGTCTTCCATATCCCAAAAAATATTCAAAATAATTTTTTTCAAAAATTTTATCAATAGATAGGGTTACTGTAGAAACGGCTTAGAACAAGTTTTATAGACTACTTTTAATGTACTTTCGAATGAGCTATAGTATATCCAAATCTGTCATGTATTCGCGGAGAAACACCCCTCTGAGTCTTCCATATCCCAAAAAATATTCAAAATAATTTTTTTCAAAAATTTTATCAAATAGATAGGGTTACTGTAGAATCCGCTTAGAACAGTTTTTATATACTACTTTTAATGTACTTTCGAATGAGCTATAGTATATCCAAATCTGTCATGTATTCGCGGAGAAACACCCCTCTGAGTCTTCCATATCCCAAAAAATATTCAAAATAATTTTTTTCAAAAATTTTATCAAATAGATAGGGTTACTGTAGAAACGGCTTAGAACAAGTTTTATAGACTACTTTTAATGTACTTTCGAATGAGCTATAGTATATCCAAATCTGTCATGTATTCGCGGAGAAACACCCCTCTGAGTCTTCCATATCCCAAAAAATATTCAAAATAATTTTTTTCAAAAATTTTATCAAATAGATAGGGTTACTGTAGAAACGGCTTAGAACAAGTTTTATAGACTACTTTTAATGTACTTTCGAATGAGCTATAGTATATCCAAATCTGTCATGTATTCGCGGAGAAACACCCCTCTGAGTCTTCCATATCCCAAAAAATATTCAAAATAATTTTTTTCAAAAATTTTATCAAATAGATAGGGTTACTGTAGAATCCGCTTAGAACAGTTTTTATATACTACTTTTAATGTACTTTCGAATGAGCTATAGTATATCCAAATCTGTCATGTATTCGCGGAGAAACACCCCTCTGAGTCTTCCATATCCCAAAAAATATTCAAAATAATTTTTTTCAAAAATTTTATCAAATAGATAGGGTTACTGTAGAATCCGCTTAGAACAGTTTTTATATACTACTTTTAATGTACTTTCGAATGAGCTATAGTATATCCAAATCTGTCATGTATTCGCGGAGAAACACCCCTCTGAGTCTTCCATATCCCAAAAAATATTCAAAATAATTTTTTTCAAAAATTTTATCAAATAGATAGGGTTACTGTAGAAACGGCTTAGAACAAGTTTTATAGACTACTTTTAATGTACTTTCGAATGAGCTATAGTATATCCAAATCTGTCATGTATTCGCGGAGAAACACCCCTCTGAGTCTTCCATATCCCAAAAAATATTCAAAATAATTTTTTTCAAAAATTTTATCAAATAGATAGGGTTACTGTAGAATCCGCTTAGAACAGTTTTTATATACTACTTTTAATGTACTTTCGAATGAGCTATAGTATATCCAAATCTGTCATGTATTCGCGGAGAAACACCCCTCTGAGTCTTCCATATCCCAAAAAATATTCAAAATAATTTTTTTCAAAAATTTTATCAAATAGATAGGGTTACTGTAGAATCCGCTTAGAACAGTTTTTATATACTACTTTTAATGTACTTTCGAATGAGCTATAGTATATCCAAATCTGTCATGTATTCGCGGAGAAACACCCCTCTGAGTCTTCCATATCCCAAAAAATATTCAAAATAATTTTTTTCAAAAATTTTATCAAATAGATAGGGTTACTGTAGAAACGGCTTAGAACAAGTTTTATAGACTACTTTTAATGTACTTTCGAATGTTTTCGAAAGTTTTTTCGAAAGCTGTCTCTAAAAATGGTGAACCGAATTGATATACTTCCTTTACCCCAAAGATACTATAATCCCTCGAAAAAAACCCCAAAATAAATTATATTTATTTTTAAAATATTGGGGTGTCAACTGAGATACAAATAGAGCTTTCGATTGCTATATAGAACGTATTTTTTGACTGAGAAATTAGTTAATTTTCATTTCATTTACTCTTGCCCCTATCTTTATGTCGATGACTGTAATATCCCTATATATAGGGTATTTATTTTAATTAATATTGGGATGATCTTTGTCTTTTTTATGCTTGAATTAAATTCTGATTTTTTTATTTTTCTGTGTTTTGCACTTTAATTTACTGTTTGTTCTGTTTTTATTTGAATTTACTTATATTTTTAAATATTTCCGTTGGTGTTTTAGACAGGCGCCAACAATCTATGAGCGACAGATTGTTTTTTCTATCTTCACACACCCTCACTGGAGCCTTCGTTCTCTTTTCTAAATTCTTAAATAGGGGAGTGATTGGCCACAAAAGAATTATTTTTCTTATCTATTTATTTTATTTTTAATGCCTTTTTTTGCTTTTTGGCGCCGAAAGAATATTTTGGTGAGAAATGTGTCGCTCATCTTTAAGGCGCCGTCAATTTCTTCTAAAATTCCATTTTTCTTTCCTAATATTTTTTCATTTTTAATTCTTGCCAAACTCTCAAAAACAAAAAATTTTTGTCTGTTAAAAATATTCAAAAAATTTTTTTTCCTTAAAACAACTAAAAAATGTTTACTTTAAAAATCGAAAGGAGAACAAAAATAAATTTTAAAAATAATTTATTTTTAATTTTAAATTTATTTTTATTTTATTATTCAAATTTAATTAATGCGAGACCTTTTTCTATTGCTGATGAGGGAAGCAATAATTATTTAAATAATCAACAACTTGAAAATACAGTAGTCGACAAAAAGATAGGGACAAACGCATGTAAAATGAAAATCACCTATTTTCTCAGCTAAAAATCGATTTCAGGAAAAATTTTTTGTATGATTAAATACGCCATTTAATGCTCTATTTAATAAGTATAAGATCTGGCGGATTACTATTTTTTGATATACTGAAATAATTTAAATAAGAAAGTACTGCAAATTTTAGCCCGACAAAAAGATAGGGACAAGTCTTGTAACTAAGTAGTCACTCAACCAATAAATTTACAAAAATTCGTGCAAACATAATGATCGATACTAAGATAAAATAAAAAGTAACTAGGCCCGTATCTCATTTCATTGTCGAGATCTCGATACCCCAAAAATCAACGTAAAACAGGGGTAAGCAACTTCAAAAAATATTTTCGACCCCTTATGGATTTTTTAAAATTTTTATTTTGAGCCTATTCGATAGCTCTTGAAATTTGCTATAAACTAGCCAAATTTCATTTTTCAGAAAAAAATACTTCGTTAGTTGCAGAGGCGAATGTTACAAAAAGCAACAAACACCCCATAAATTCCCACAAAAATGGCGTTTTGAAGAATCGTCGTCCTTTATCTCGGGAGTGAAATTTTTTTGAAAAATGAAATTTGTCACGTTTATAACACAATTAAAGATCTATCGAATAAGCCTAAAATAAAAATTTAAAACAATCAATAAGGGGTCTGAAAAAATTTTTGAAGTCGAAAAACCGTATTTTACGTTGATTTTTGGGGTATCTAGATCTCAACAACGAAATGAGATATGGACCTAGTTCTCTTTTATTTCTTCTTATTATCGATCAATATGCTTACAATAAATTTTTTAGATTTTTCGCTTCTATGAGAACTTAGTTACAAGACTTGTCCCTATCTTTTTGTCGCGCTTAAAATAGCATACCTTTAGTTTTTCAATAAGGGTTGAATTTTATAAAAAATTAAACAGGCAAATTTTCTACTCATTAAATAGAGCATTAAATCTAGTATTTAATCAATCAAAAAATTTTTCCTAAAATCGATTTTTAATCGAGAAAATAGGTGATTTTCATTTTGCTTGCGTTTGTCCCTATCTTTTTGTCGACTACTGTAATTTTGTTGTAAATTCTAATGAACGGGAACAATATAAAGAAGCTATGCAGATTGCTAGGGAAACATTTTTTCAATTAAGACCGTTAGCAACAACACAAAATGAACAAACAGAAAAACAACAAAACAAATTAAGATTGTTGTCTGTTTTAAATAGAGAACAAAAACAACGAAAACAACGACAAAAACAACAACAGAATAATCAAAACAATGAGAATATTGGTAGTGTTTTTATTAAATTCTGTGTTTTGTGTTTCTGATTTTATTAAATTCTGATTTTTTGTGTTTTTGTTTTTATTAAATTCTGATTTTCTGTATTTGTATTTCTGATTTTATTAAATTCTGATTTTTTGTGTTTCTGTTTTTATTAAATTCTGATTTTTTGTGTTTCTGTTTTTATTAAATTCTGATTTTTTGTGTTTCTGTTTTTATTAAATTCTGATTTTTTGTGTTTTGTGTTTCTATTCTTATTAAATTCTGATTTTTTGTGTTTCTGTTTTTATTAAATTCTGATTTTTTGTGTTTCTGTTTTTATTAAATTCTGATTTTTTGTGTTTTGTGTTTCTATTCTTATTAAATTCTGATTTTTTGTGTTTCTGTTTTTATTAAATTCTGATTTTTTGTGTTTCTGTTTTTATTAAATTCTGATTTTTTGTGTTTCTATTCTTATTAAATTCTGATTTTTTGTGTTTCTGATTTTATTGTAGGTTCTGATTTTCTGTATTTTGTGTTTTTAATTTTATTGTAAGTAAATTCTGATTTTTTGTGTTTCTGATTTTATAGTAAGAAACACAAGCTTAAAACACAAAAATAACATCGTTAACTTAAAATACAAAAATCAGAAACTTAAATAATAAATCAAAGTTCAAACTCAAAAAAAATCAGAATTCAAGCTTAAACTTAAAAACAAAAATGCAACAGGTTTTTAAATTTTAATATTGAGTTTCTGGTTTTTGTGTTTTAGGTTTGCGTTTCTGATCTTCAAGTTTAAGCTTGCATTTCTTATTTTTATTTTAAGTTTCTGATTTTGTATTTTAAGTGTGCGATTTCTGATTTTTCTTTTCTTGAGTTTATAAGTGTATTTTTACCTTAAGTTTGTGTTTCTTGTAGTTTTTTATTTTTAAGTTGAGTTTCTGGTTTTTACATTTTAAGTTTGCGTTTCTGATTTTATTTCCTGTCCTCTTAATTAATTTAAAACTAATTTTAGAATCAGAGAATATTCTCCCCCAACAACACCAACAATTACCTATTCATTCAACACAACCAATGCTTCCCCTTCACATATCATCTGATATAGTAAACAGCACACTTCAATCAAACACATGTCAGGGCGATTTATTCAAACACAAAATTAAAGTGAATGGGTGTAAACCAAAATCTATTACAAATCGGTTAATTTTTTTTGGATTTTTTTTATTTAAAAAAAAATTTTTTCTGTTTAGTTTTTGCCATGGAAGTTGTTCATCATTTTATATACCCCGTCTACGATCCAAAAAACTTAAGGCAACATTCCAAAGTTGTTCAGCTTGTATACCTGCTGAAGTGGACACAATACAGGTTTTTAAAAAATTTTTCTGAAAAAATTTTTTCTTTAAAGATCCGCCTAGAATGTCCAGACCTAGAAAAAGGTTATCTCTATAGAAAAATTGTTCGAGTAAAAAAGTGTGCTTGTAGAAATATAATGTTGGAAGGGGAAGAAATGGGTGGTGACAACAATAATAATGAAAATGTATTGGAAGATGAAGAGGATGAAGAAAATTTGAATGATTATAACGATGGGGATTAACAGGCAGAATGAGGGAGAAAGGTTTAGATAAGGGAAGAGTTTTTTGAGATGAGTGGTTTTTGGGAGGTGTTTGGTAAGGATATGAGAGAGAGAGAGTGTCAAGTAGAGATCAGCCCCTTGAGCTGGATGCAGTGCCTAATTTAGAGAGCAGTCTGGGAATTTTTCAAAAAATTTTAAAGATCAGAATAAGACTTAAAGTTTAAAGCCCTATAGCTTTTCAAATGGGGGTCAGGGAAGAAAAGCCGGAAACATAATCGATTTTCGACCAGCTCTACACGATGGTATAATTTTTATTTAAAAATTTTTGCTGACAGTTCGGAAGGTTCCCTTGTTAGTCAAAATCATAACATTTTTTAAGGCTCCTTGATTTTCCTAGTCCCAAAGTCAGCAACTGGAAGGATCACGATCAAGGGATTTTTTTAATTTTCGATCTCTCCAAAGGTCAGAGACAAAAATAAATAGGATATAGGCGTGTTTTTAGGATTTTTTGTGATCTCGTTTTTTCTTTAAATTTTTTTGTACAAATTTAACTAAAATAATTTTTTGTTTTTTATCTAAAATGTAAATACAGTCCTCCACATAACTATACAGCCACCCTATTTTTCAAAATTTTTCCTGCTTAAATATGAATTTGGAAATTTTTACACTTAAATATAATAGACTAGCAGCAAATGGACCGATTATTATGCTTTTTCAGAAATTATTAAGTTTTATTTAGTTATTTTTCACTTTACCTGACAAAATTACCTCCACATAACTATACAGCCACTTGTATTTTCGACCTTAGGAGTGGTCCGAAAAATCTACAAAAATTCCTGTAAACATATCCATTGATGTGTATAGAAAATACAAAAGAAATGAAGTTCCTATATAATTCCTACATTGAGATCTGAAAACCCGAAAATCAACGGAAAACCGGGGGTAGACGTCTTTAAAAAATATTTTTGACTCCTTACAGGTAAAATAAAAATTTAATTTTGGGCTTATTTGAAAGCCCTTGAAATTTGCTATAAGATAGCATTAATTTTATTTTCCGAAAAAAATTCACCTTGAAGACATAATGTTATAAACTTTCAGGTCATAAAAATCACTTAAACGCCCCACAAAAAGTGTTGAAAATGTAACTTACAAACTAAACTCATTATTTCTCAAAGATTAATTTTTTCTTGATAATAGGATGAAAACTATCCTGTAGTAAATTTCAAGGGCTTTCAAATAAGCCCAAAATAAAATTTTTATTTTACCTGTAAGGGGTCGAAAATATTTTTTAAAGACATCTACCCCCGGTTTTCCGTTGATTTTCGGGTTTTCAGATCTCAATGTAGGAATTATATAGGAACTTCATTTCTTTTGTATTTTCTATAAACATCAATGGTTATGTTTACAGGAATTTTTGTAGATTTTTCGGACTACCCCTAAGGCCCAAAATACAAGTGGCTGTATAGTTATGTGGAGGTAATTTTGGCAGGTAAAGTGGAAATTAACTGAATAAAACTTAATAATTTCTGAAAAAGCATGATAATAGGTCTATTTGCTGCTTGTTTATTATATTTAAATGCATAAATTTCCAAATTAATATTTAAGGTGGAAAAATTTAGAAAAATAGGGTGGCTGTATAGTTATGTGGAGGAGTGTATATCACAAAAGAAGGGTATACAAAAAATTTTTTTCTAATAAATAAAAATGCAAACATTCAAAAAACATTTTTTAAAATTAGGTTATCCTATTAAATAATTAAAACAAGTAACAAAAAAATTAAAAAAAAAGAATTTAAACCTCATCACAAGAAGAATTATTATTAAACCTCAAAGTTTCAACCATTCTTTTAAAAGTGAAAGAGTCCGCAAATTTAAATTTGAGTGCTTTAGCTTCTTCAATAAAACAAATTTGGCTCCAAAAGTTTAAAGACCTTTTCAAAAATAAAAAAAATTTAATTTTAAATTTATTAAAATACAGGTGATATTGAACCTGACAGACCACATTTTTTCCTCTCCAACTTTTACCTATATATCTACAGAATGGTCAGACTTTTTCCTTTCTTCCATTCCAATTGCCTTCTACAGACAATCAAAAGAAATTAATTTATATTCTCCCTTGGGTGGAAGAAAGAATTGGGATGGAAGGGAAGAAGTCTGACCATTCTGCAAATATATAGGAAAAAGCTGGAGAGGAAAAAATGGAGTCTGTCAGGTTCATAGTCAGTATTACCAATTTTTTAATTTTAAATTTAATTTAAAAATAAACCTGTAAACAATGGAAGAATGCCTCCTCAATTTCTTCTCTTCATCCTCCTTTGCTTCTTCTTCCTCCTCTTCTCCTCCTTTTTCTTCTTCAATTTCCCCTTCCTTTTCTTCTTCCAAATTAATTTGTTCAATATTATCCATTTGTTTACATAAATCATCAAAAATTGAATTACTTGAAGTTGTTGATTTAATTAAAATTAAATTGTTGTTGCCTACTTTTGGGGTTTGAGGAATAATCTTCAATGTTTCCATCAATTCTGGTTGTTCTATTATATCTTTAATTGTTAAAAAAGTTGGTTTTGTAGTGGATGTTGTTGGTGCTTGTTGTTGGGACTTAAAAAGAATATTTTAAAAAATGGAAAATGTCCGCAAGTTTTGTCCGCAAAAATTTTTTTGTCCGCAAATTTCGGTAGGGATCGATTTTTGAATTTTTTTTAATTTTAAAGTATACCGTTGAGCAATTTTCATCTTTAAAAGTATTTTGACAGTCTGATTCGTCTTCTTTTTCAGGTATATTTACTCTATTAAAGGCAGTTTGTGGGGCCTCTTCAAAATCCCCAAAATCATCGTCGTCGTCATCCTCATAATTTTGGTGATTATTTTCTTCGCTTTCCTCTAAATTATCAATTGCATTTTTTGAAGATTTTGAAGTTTCTTTAAAAAAATTTTTTGAATTTTTAATTTAAAAATTTTTAAACGGTCTAAACCTGGTTCTGCTGCATCTTTTGTAAAATTTTCTGAATTTTCAAGTTCTTCTTTACTTTCTAAAGCTGCTTCATTCATTTTTTGTGATATGTGTTTAAAATATTTACAAAATAATCCAAAATAGTTGGCAAAAATAAATTTTACCCTTTTCAACCAAAAAGATTGAAATTTCAAGAAATAGTGTGTGGAAAGAGGAGAGTGGTTAGAGAAAGAGAGGAAAAGTGGCAATGCTGATTTGGTGTTTTTTGTGTTGACGTTTTGATATTTAAATTGAGGGGAAATTACATTTAATTAAATTTCATAATGTTAACTTTCGTTTGAGTCTACTTTTTTGGAATTTTCTTGTCTTGTTTCCGGTTTAAATTTTCTTCAAATTTTAATTAATTTTTTCAAGAATTTCGGAAGAATGTATCTTCAATTAGTATATAAACTTCCAGATGTGTGTGTGGCTTATTGGTTAAGGCGTTAGCATTTTACTGGGAATTGACGTGGGTTCGAATCTCTGGCTTTTCTTTTGTCTTTTTTTGTTCTCTGACCTGTTTTATTTGAAAATTTGATCGTCTTGTTTCTTTAAAAAAATTTTTTAGAGATTTTTTTCTATTTTTTAGACTTTTTCTAAGTGAATTTTGTTCTTTATTAAATTACTTTAACTTTCGACTCAATGAATAATTGGCTGCAAAACATAAAAGGACAAATTACCGAATTAGCAACAGAAGTTTTAAACGATGCTACAGAAGAAGGACAAGTATCAACAACTAGTGAATTACAAGTTTTTTTAATTTTTTAAATTTTTCTTTCAATTTTTAAAGATTGAAAAGAAAAAATCAACAGAATGTGAACGTTTATATTTGGTTGAAAAATCAAAATGTGAAGCTTTGGAGAAAAAATTGGTGGAAATGGAAGAACAACTTTATAGTGTAAATATTGAAAATGATGCGGTTAAAGAAAAATTTATGGCGATTGTTGCGGATAGAGATGAGATGATTAAAAAATTGGAGGTTTTCTTTTTTATTCGGGGAATCTGAAACTTTGGGCGGGCCTAGTCTTTTTCATTTCCCTGGATTTTTATTTGAAAGGTAAGATAGTTTCGGCCTCAGAGGAATTCTATGTCTCCTCAAGCCATATAGTCAAAAACTAGGAAGGACTTTTTCTCTGAGGGGGTATAAATTCCTATATCTCTGAGAAACTAGTATCTAAAAATAAATGAAGAAAGGAATTTAGATCCGTTTTAAAGTTCAATATCCCTTAAAAACTGCTTTTTTAGAGGAAAATGGAAAGACTAAAATTTCACCAAGAAAATCAAGAGGGAAGTTTCCAGAATATTGAACTTGACTCTGTTTCAACATCTAGAGAAGAAGGAGAGCTTTCTAGTCAAATTTCTAAACTTAAAGAGAAGCACGAAAATGAAATTTCTGCAATTTTGTCTGTACACAATTCTAATGTTAAACAACTTAAGGAGGATTATGAGAAGAGAATTGAACAGCTTGAGGTTTCTTTAAATTAAAAACTAATTTCTTAAGTCGGGTAATATGAGCCTAGGAATTTGGTTGGAGTATTTGGTTGTTAGATTTTTTAGTATTTTCTCGGGAAAACATGTACGAATATTAATACTAGCTTTTAGTATTCATCGGTGGTCGAATGGTTAAGGCTTTGGGGGTTCTGTGTTGAGTTTACGTGGGTTCGAGTCCAGTCATATTCCCTTTTACTTTTATTTTGTCTTTGACACGTCTAATTTAAAATTTTTATTTTCTACTTTTACAAAAAAATTTTTATCCATTTTAAAATTGTATAATATTATTTTTTAGACTTGGAATGCTTCTTATTTAAACGAACAAACTTCCGCTGAAAAGGATGAAGCTTTACTAGCTGACATTAATTTGTTAAAATGAAATTGAAGTTGAAGGAGTTTCTAGCAGTACAACAACTACAAGTGAAACAAAAGATTCGTCGACAAGCGATGGAAAATATTTAATGAGAAGTGAAAGAAGGCAAAGAGGGGGAAGAGTTGAAATGATGGAACAGGTTTCGTTTAAATTATTAATTTTTTGAACGAAGTTAGCTGCCTCTAATTTTGTTCGTGTTTTGTTGGAACTCTGAAAATTTTATTGCAATTCCAGTTTATTAAGCATAAAAACACCGGAAAAGGGGCTGTATCAAACTTTTGATTTTCTGTCAGGGTTATTTTTAGACCTGATCAATTTGTTAATTAGATTATAACGGATGTGTTAATTTGACTGTCAAACCTCGGAGCTTTTTTTTCTATTTTTTAAATTAATTTTTTAAGTGATTTCTTAACATTTTCAATTTTCAAGAGTATTCAAACAGAACAATCTCTCCCAGAAGAAGACATTCAAATAAATCAATTGAAGGATGAAATGTCTCATTTACTCGAACAAATTGGCCAATTAAAAGAACAAATATCTCTTGAAGAAATAAATAAAGAGCAAATATTATTAGAAAAGGAACAAGTTATTGAGCAGGTTTTTTTAAAGTTTAAAGAAAATTCAATTAAAAAAATTTTTTAAAGTTGTCTAATAAAGAAGAGGAATTGAATCATTTAAGAAAAGAATTAAAAGAATGGAGGAAGTATATTGAAGAAGAAAAGGAGGTTTGTTTATTAATAATTGTTTAAAAAAGGAGGGGAGGTGTCCAGTTTATAAGTTCAAGGGCGTAACTCATTTTAGCTCCCCCCCCCCCTCTTCCTGAATTTTATGAGGGAGGCTAAAATGAGTTTGAACCTCCTGTCCGCTTCTTTCGTGGCGGCAACTTGCCAACCTCTACGTCGTCGGTCTTCGGGTTGGTGACACATGCCCCCTCCCTCATTTTAGCTCCCCTCCTGAAATTGACCCCCTGTCTACTCCCTCGAAACCCACAAAAAAAAGTCTAAAAACTTGTGGGAGGACTCGTAAACTAAACAAAAATATTTCCCCTTTTAATAAATTCAAAAAAAATTTTCTTTTTAAAGAAACGATTTGAAGAACAGGAAAAATTAAAAGATCTTTTGAAAGAAAAGGAAGAAAATATTGAAGGATTAAACCTTTTATTGGAATATGATAAAAGGGCTAAAAGTGATTTTAATGACGAAATTAAATTTTTAAAAGAAGAATATGAAAGCAAATTGAAAGAAATTGAAGAAAAAAATTGTTTTGAAAAAGAGGAAATTAAAAAGAGTGAAATGGATAAAATTGAATATTTGGAGATGGAAAATAAAAGGGTTTGCATAAAAATTATTTTTTATTTTTTAACGTGGTGATGACTTTATGACCTTTTTTTTATTAATTAGGGATGTATTCTCTAATTATATCCAAAAATAAGTCCGTAAGTTTTGTCCGCAAATTAGAAAAAAATTTTTTTTTGATTTTTAAGAATTTTTTTTCGGATTTTTATTGTCATAAAACTTTCCTTTTTAAATTGAAAAAAATTTTTTTAACTGTGACCTGTCTTTATTAAAACCTTTGAACTGTTCGAACCCGAAAGCTCTTCTCATTTTTTTCGATTTTCTACCTTCATCTAATTGCCCCTATTTTTTTATTAAATTTAATAAATTAAAAAAAATTTTTTTTCAGCACTTAAAAGATCTTTCAACTCTAACTTCAGACAATTCTGAATTAAAATCTTTATTGGATTATGAACATTCGGAATGCCAAAAATATTATTTTAAATTGGAAGAATTTTCTAAAAATTTGGAATTGTCTTTAAATGAAAATAAAAATAAAGATAAAGAATTGGAAATTAAAAATGGAAGAATAATAAAATTGGAAAGTGAATTAGGACGTTTAAAAGAACATTTACTTGGAATTGAGGAAATTTCTTCTAAAGGTTTAGGGAATTTTTTATTTTTTAGGGGGATTTTTAATTAATTTTTATAATGCTTATGGTTGATTTTTATTTAATTTAGCTAAGTTGTCGGGTGGTGTAATGGATAGGGTGTTTGGTTACCCTCTCTGAGGGGTCGTGGGTTCGAATCCTGTTGAGGGTCTTTATTTTTCTAATTGTTTAAAAATTACTTTTTGATAGAAATTAAGTTTTATTTTTGCCTTTAAAAATTTTTAAAAAATTTTAAGAAATTTTTCCTTCATTTTTTAATATGTTTAAGTATCCCCTCGAGGTTTATGTCCTCTCTAAATTTATTTAAAAATTTTTTTTTTAATTTTATAGAAGCAATAGCTGCTGAAGAACGTGAAACCGAATTACGCCGTCAATTGAGAGAATTTCAAAATAAATATGAAAATGATGAATTTACAACGTCAAAATGTTTACAAAATTATCAAAATGAATGTGAACAATTAAAAATAAATTTACAAAATTTAAAAAAAGAAAAGGAGGATTTGACTTCAAATTTAAATGAAAAGGAAAGTTCGTTGGCTGAAACTAAAAATGCTTTAATTAATTTACAAATTGTTTTGAAGGTTTTTTTATCTTGTTAATTATTAAAAAAATATTTAAAATTAATTTTTAAAATTAAAAAAGAATTTTCTAATTGTCCGCAAGTTCTGTCCGCAAATTTAAAAAATTTCTAAAAATAATTTTCCTTTAATTTTAATTTTTTAGGATCTTGCTGATGAACAAAAAAGTGAAAAACTTCGGTTTGAAGGAGAAATAAAAATGTTGAGGGATGAATTAAAGGTTTTTAACTTTTTAATAGTGTTTTTTTTAATTTTTCCCCCTAGAGCAGTTTAGTCTTGGCCCTATAACTTAAAAAGTGATGAATAATTTTCGATATTTTGGTACCACTGGATAGATAATTGAATAGACTACAATATACTAAAGAATCAAAATTTGTGAATAATTGATAGAAAAAGTTATGAGCTAAAAACTAAAAATTTCATATTTTCATAGCTTTATCAATCATAACTTTTCTGTCGAGCTGTCTAAAATTTTGATTTTTTGGTATCTTGTAGTGGATTTAATTCCCTATCCAGGGATACTAACAACACTTAAAAGTGTTCGTCCTTTTATGAGTTATAGGCCCGGGACTTGACTGAAATTTACCTAATTTTTTAATTAAAGAAAGAAAAGCAACAAATCCAACAATTTCAAAATAAAGAAGAATTAATTCAATTAACCCAAACAACAAATTTGGATAAATTAAATTATTTGGAATCTCAATTAAAAATTAAAAATGATTTGATAGACGAATTGGAAAATTCTTTGGAAGAATTTAGAATATTACAACAACAACAAGAATTAAATTTGGAAAACCCTAAAATTTTTAAAAATTCACAACAACTTCCAGCAACCAAAAAAATTGATGATTCTACTTTAAAACAATTATTTTTATCCTTCTTTATGGCAGAAAAATCTAAACAACCTGAAATTGCTATTGTTATGGCTAAAATATTGGGGTATAGTCAAGAGGTTTTGTTAGCTTTTTTTGATTTTTTAAAAATATTTCTTTGATTTCTAACCAAAGTTAAATAATTTTTTTATTAATCGAAAGCTCAAATGTCGGGATTAGATTACCATGTAGAAGAAATGCGATCAGATAATTCTACCTCACTTTAGAAACAAATAAAGGTCAAAAATCACGATTAAGCACACTTATCCCCATGTAACTTTTCGTAGTTTGATCAGATCAAAACAATCTTGCTTGCTAAAATAATTTCCTTATCAAAAGCTTTCGATTGGTTTAAAGATTAATTAATTCGGTTAAGTATCAGAAAAGTTATGGCTGAAAATACGGCCATGGGACTGACACCTCATACATTTTTGATGGTCAGTAATTTAGATATCTTGAAATTAGGGGAGTCAAATGGTTAAATAATTACATTTTGCCTCATTATTTTTCAGGAACAAGCTCAACTTCAAAAAGCAATAAGTGCTTCAACTTCAAGCAGTTCATGGTTCTCTTTTGGCAGTTCTCCTCAACCCTTTTCAAGAAAAGAGGTTTCATTGACCGAACAATTTATTAGATTCTTAGAACAAGAATCTGTTGACAACACAAAATCAATGCTTGCCTTGCCTCCTATTGAGGTTTAAATTTGAATTGAATTTTTAAATCAAAAATTAAATTTTTAAATCTTTTATTTAATAGAGCACTCCAAATAGAGGATTTTTATTGGATGAATCACCCTCCGCCTTGAGAACGGCTTCATCCACAGACTTGAAGTCTATACTTGACTCTTGATTTTTTTAATAAATTGCCTTATGTGATAAATAAAATTTTTATATATTTTTATGTAGAATAAAGTCGTAATTCAAATTTTGTAATTAAAAAATCGATATATTGATTAGTATTGATTTTATCGATTGATATCGATTTTTTGAAAATTCAGAATTTTTAAAAAATAAATTATCGATTAGTATTGATTTTATGAATTGATATCGATTTTTTGAAAATTCAGAATTTTTAAAAAATAAATTATCGATTAGTATTGATTTTATCGATTGATATCGATTTTTTGAAAATTCAGAATTATTAAAAATAAATTATCGATTAGTATTGAATTTATCGATTGATATCGATTTTTTGAAAATTCAGAATTTTTAAAAAATAAATTATCGATTAGTATTGATTTTATCGATTGGTATTGATTTTATCGATTGATATCGATTTTTTTAAATTAATATTTAATTTTATTTACTGGCACGACAAAATGCCTCTTAGTTATAAATACGACAAAATGCATCTTAGTTATAAATGCGACAAAATGTATCTTGGTTATAAATGCGACAAAATGAATCCTAGTTACAAATGCGACAAAATGCCACAAAGTTCAAAATACGACAGAATGCCTCTTAGTTATAAATACGACAATTGTAAAATTTTTATTCGGCTAATTTCAAATTGTCAAATCAACGCTTTATATATAAGTAGTAAAAATTGCGAGAGTAAAATTCTATTTTTATATTAGAATAATAAAGCATTGGGGGAAATTAAGACATTAATTATATAAAGTCGAGAATATTAAAAGGGAAAATAAAGAGAAAATTTAGAACAATTGGAAATATTTTTTGGTCAAGAATTTTTGATTTGAAATTTTTAAAAAGAGTAAAAATGACCAAAAAATCCCTTCACATTTTTTCATGTACAATTTGCGTGGATATTTAATTAATTTTTACTCGTTTTCAAAAACCTTACCAGAAATTTAGGGGGTCGTGGGTTCGAACCCGTTCGGAGGCATTAATTTTTATTTTTACAAATAATCTATTCTATTGATTTTCTCGACTATTTAATTACTAAAAAGTGTGATTTAATTATTTATTGAGTGTTTTATTGTCGATTTTAAGGTAATTGTGTTCTTAGGGGGTCGTGGGTTCGAACCCGTTCGGGGAAAATATTTTTTAAACTTACTCAATAAATTCAAAAAACAACCAAAATAATGTCCCAAGGTTCCGAATCAATTTTAACGTCCAAAAAAGTTTGAGAAAACGAGTAAAAACTTTAAAAAAATTTTAAAATTCGAATCACACAACCACTTAACTTTTTAGTCTTTCCTCCCCAATATATTGACAAAAAATTTATAAAATTATAAAAAACCTCCAACTTCTCTTTTCAATTTATTCATCCAACCGCGGATAAGATGAAGTTCCATTAGTCATTCCATCACCATTATTATTATTATTTTCCACCAACTTTGATGGAGGCACCAAATGTTTCGGCAATTTTTCAGGTATTGCATGTCCAGCCAATTTTAGATTAATCAAATAATTGGCTAAGGCAAACTCGTCAGCGTCTAATTGGCCGTCCTGTGAAACAGAAAAATCATTTAAATCTAAAAAATATTAAAAAACCTTATCAATATCAGAAAGTGTCCATATTTTGCCTAACACAGAATTGGGAAGTTTTGATTTAACCATATGAACTTTGGCTTGAGAACCTAAAAACAAATTTAATTAAAATAATTTTTACAAGGAGGGTTGGCGGCTCCTGGGAAATCTCTCGGGTATCTGGAACCGATAACCGAACCAAAAATTTACGGATATCAGGTGAGGTTTCCAGCTGATAGGATACTAGGAACCGCCAACTCCATTTAGAAAAGAACCTTCCAATTTATTAAATTCTCCTAGTTTCATTGGGATCATTCGATAGAGGATAGTCGGTTAATGTCAACTTTTAGCTTTTTTTGGATACGGAGTTATGGGCCTTCAACGCTTTGATACTTTGTAGGTAGTATGAGTGATTCCTTTATTTTTTTTAAAATCAATCAAGCCCTATCGAGGATAAAAAGTTTCAACATTGTTTGGAAGGTCCCTTTATTATTAAAAATAAAAATTCAAAAACAAACTTGTAATTTTCCCATCCACAGGTTGCAATTCTTGAAACATTTCGTCAAATTTATAACGTTCACGAGAAACAACCCATTCTGTCTCATCTAAATTTTGAAGAAAAAATTTCAAAAAATTCATTTAAAAAAATAAACCTGATCCTTTATCAACCCCCTCTCCCCTTCCAAAACCAAATGGAGTTGCAGCTTCTGTTTCGGCTTCAAAAGCTCCGCCACGTACTGATTGATCCAAACGATTACCTAGAGCATCAACTACTTTGTTGTTAGCATCAGATTCTTCTTTTGGAATTTGGGCCATTAATCTGGCTAAAAATTTTGATTGAAAAAATAACAAAAAAAATTTTGGATGTCATTTTGGTAAAAAAACATTAAAAGTTTTTTTAAAAACATTTAGGTAACCAGGGAAAAATATTTCAACCAAAAGGATTCGAACCTTAAACCTTTACAAGGGAAATTCAAGGACCTTAACCATTGCGCCACCGATAACATGAACAAAAAATAATTAATTAACACTAAATATCAAAGTATTCGTCTCTAAAATTAATAAAACAAAGCAACCCCTAATCCCTCTAACTTTGAAAAATTTTTCTAGAAATTTGAAAAAAAATTTAAACAAGACTAAAAAAAACCTATATCTTTGGCAAGCATATCATCAACAATTTGCAATAATCGAGGTTTTAAAGCATTAAAACGCGAAAAGTCTGCATTCTCCAAATTTGCTCTCATTTTGTTTATGTCAGGAAAATCGCCTGGAGAGATTCCATGTTCTTTCTAAAATTAAAAAATCTTTAAAAGATAATATTTTAATTCAAAAAAACCTGTAATTGTTCAAATAATTTATCCAATTTTTGAATTAATTCTTTCTTCTTTTTTTCTTTTCCAATCATTGATGGCATTCTTTAGAAAAGAAAAACATTTTCGAGAGGATAAATTAAAAGGAAAAACTAGGGAAGTCATCCATTGTCCACGAAAATTCGATATTTTTTCGGTACCATTCAATAGGAGATCCACGACTTACTAATGCCAAGTAACTCTATTTTTAAATGACTTTGAGCCAAGTTATGGACAGTCGAACTTTCGATTTTTGGGAGAGAAAGTAAAGGAAAAACAGAGGGACAACAAAAAATTCAGAGGATTTTAAAAGCGTCAATGAATCAGCAATAAATAAATTTCCAGTAGGAAGCCCCGAAAATTAATTTGAGAAAAAAATGTTGGTTAAAGGATCCAAGAAAGAGGCTTAAGGATAAACAAAGAAGGGAAGAAACCCAACTCAATAAAATTTTTAAAAAAAATTTAAAAAATCACAAACTGTTTTCTAAGTTCAGAAATAATATAAGCATGTACTTTAGCCAAACGAGCCCTCTTTATTAAATCATTTAATTTTCTTAAAACTGCATTTCTTGGAAGAGACTAAAAAATTAAAGATTTAAAAATTAAAGAAAATTCCAAACTTGTAAATCAGCAAATAAATCGTGTTGTTCATCTTGAAATAGACGTCGATTAATATCATAATGTAAAGGATGATCCCAAAATGTGCCAATATATACACGAGCAACTTCTGGGGTTTTAAAAACCTTTAAAAATTAAAAAAAAAATTTTGAGAAATTAAAAAATAGTGGAGGAAACATAGGCATTCTTTGGTTCAAAACTTGCTTAGTTTTTAATTTATCCCAACAATTTAAACTTAAACGAAAGCTCTGATTGTAATGAATCTTTTTCATGAAACAACTATCTGATTTAATGATTCCAAAAGAAGTTATAAGTAAATACAAAAGATAACGATTTCGAACAAATAAAAGCTTATAACTGTTAAAAAATCAAGCTCTTATCAGTCCAATAAGGAAAATAACAAGTACAAGAGCTATCAGCAGCAACTTCTGGGGAGCTTTCGTTTAAGTTTAAATTATTCTATCAACACGTTCAGCAAGTCCAATAAGGAAAATAACAAGTACAAGAGCTATCAAATATTAGAAAAAGTTGAAAGAAAAAGGTGTTATGATCCTAAAAAAGGTGGAAGATAACAGAAAAATAAAAAAATCATACCAGTTCTAACAGGAAAAGAATGAAACATTCAGAACTTTCGGATGATAAAAAAATTTTTGAAAATTAAAGGCAGGAAAAAGTTAAAGCCAACAAAAACACAAGCACCCAAAAGCACCATCACATATTCAACCAAAATTTAAAAAAATAAACCTTTCCAAGTGACCACATCAATGCTCCATATACACGCATTAACTGTTGATGATCAACCATGTCAGATTTATTCAAAACAATGCGAATCTTGTCTTCATTGCCTTGAAAAAATATTTTAAAAAACCCTCCAAAAAATCAAAAAAAACCCGAAAGTGCCTCAATACATCTTTTAAACTCGTCAGAAATGTCCAATTTATGTGCATCAAATAACAAAATAATTCGATCAACACGTTCAGCAAACCATTCCAAAACACCAGAAAAATCGTATCCACGGTCTATACGTTGCTTTTCTCCACTCAAAATTCCGGGTGTGTCAATAATTGTAACGGAATTGAGAACATCATTTTTCAACATTGAACATTGAAAACGGTTGAGAAAAGCATTTCCAAACCTTTAAAAAAAATTTTTTGAAAATTTTTTCTAAATTTTAAGCCTTAAAAAACGTTTTTAAAAATACGGGCACCTAGAGGATTCGAACCTAGCCATCCTCCCCCCTCAAAACCCAACACACTAACCATTACCCCACCACCGAACTTAATCAATTAACAATTTATAACCCCATAACCTTATCTGAAAAATAATAAAACATACTTTGTCAAAGCACGAAATTGTTTTGTGGAGTCAACTACAAGCGCATTTCCAGGAATAACACCAACCTCTTAAAAATAAAAAAAATCTTTAAAAAATTAGAAAAATAAGAAAAACCATCTCCATTCATTACAACAATAAATCTATCAGTAGTTGGTTCAGGTCCGATACGCATTCCAGGAAATTCTTGTTCAAGCAGGAAACGGATGAAACTTGAAAGAACATTTTTGTTAGGGTTTTTAAATATTTAATAATCATAGGAGATGGAATTAGGGTTCCCAGTCACTAGAAAGACTCTCAAAAATCTTCGGGTTCGAAGCCGTCAACCCTAAAAAATGCTCAAAGATCAGTAGATCCAAAAACCGCAAAAGTAACTAAATCTAGTCTAAACTTAAGTGAGAAATCCAATACATTGGTAAATTTTTAAGCTAAATCTAGTTAAATAGGTCCAGGTTTTCAAAATTTTAAGGAAGATAAACGAACGCGCGGAAGAGAAAACTCTCTGATCTATAATTCAACCAGTGATACTAAAAGTGCCCAGAAAATGAAAAAATGGATCCCTATCACACCTAACTAGACCCTAACCTTCAAATATATTTCAAAAATAAACAAAATTCACAAACGTTGTTTTTCCTGTCGAGTATTGCCCAACCAACAAAATCATCGGTTTTGCATTAAAGTCAGGGTCATCTAAAAACAAATTTAAATTTCTTTTCAAAATAATTTTCAAAAAAAACCCAATGCCGGCGAATGATAATCGTGAAAATTATAAAATTCTTCCAATGGAAAAAGCTTTTCTTTGTAAATTTTTCGAAGTCCTTCACTTACTGTTTCCAATACATTTTGCTCTTTTTTCTCGTTGTTTTTGCCTAGCCAAGAAAACATTTTTTAAAAATTTAAATTAATTATTAAAATTATTTCTCTTCCAAGAGAACCTGAAAAATTAAAAAAAAAATTAGAGAAATCACAAGACAAATTAAAAAATATAAAAAAATACAGAACGCCAGAAATTCAAAAAAATGACTGCAAAATGGTAAAAACCACGAATTTGTTTAAAATCCTCTCTCAAAAATTCGCAACAAAAAATATTAAATCAATTTAAAAAAAGCAGAAAAATAAATCAAAAATAATTATTGAATTACTGAATATACACATTTTTCTTATCTAAACTATCAATTTTTTTTTTGATTAAAAAAATTTGAGACAAATAATCAAAAAATAAAATATAGGGGAAATTAATAGGAAAAATTAACAAAATAAAAATATATAAAAATTGAGTCGTGGCAAAAATAAAAAATAAATAAAAATATGTAAAAATGATGAAATAGTTTAGTAAATATTAAATAAAATAGGGAAATAAGGGGGGGGGGGGGTAAAGGGTAGGAGGTTAACTAACCAACAAAAATAATAATAAAAAAATAGAAAAATTAATTTTGCAAAAAAAAGGGTTAATACTTTTCAACAATATACACAAAATATTAAGGTATTTTAACATACAAAAATGTCCAAAAAGGCAAAAAAAAAAATAAAAAAATCAAAAAAATACACAATAAATATTATTAATTTTTAGAGTGAAAAAAAGAGATTAAAAAATTGAATGAGTCATTCCCCCCAAAATTCTTTTAATTAAAAAATAACTCTCTTCCCTTCCTCTCCCTAAAATTAATAATAATTTTAAAGTAGAACAACAACTTTTCAAAAAAATTTTTTTTCGGGTTAGCGCAGAAAAAAATGAGAAGCAAAGAAAAGAAAATCATTCCCCAAAAATTTGGGAAAAATATGGAGGTAAAGAGAAGCGGAGAGAAGGGGGAGAAGGTCTTTAACAAACACGAAAAAATTGCGAGAAAAGTAGCAATAATAGAAAAAATAAATTTTAAAAAATGATGTGAAGGGAAACTACGGAAAAATGAAGGGAAAAAGAGATCACGGAAAAACGATATATCGAATTATTGCGGGGAAAAAAGGGGGAAAGAATTTTCTTTATTTAAATGCTCAAAAATTCTTTTTTATTCTTTGATAGAATTTTTATTGTTAAATAAATACACGTGTATTTATTTAAACGAAAAAAAGAATTAAAAAAATAATTGTGTTGGTTTTTAATTTTTAAGAGTGACTAAAATTAAATAATTGCTAAAATGGACATTTTTAAAGTTAGGGGTTTTGAAGAATTTAAGTTTAGATATTTTAAAGATTTAGAAAATAAATATTTCATAATAAATACGGACAAAATGGTAAAAGACGTTTGGGTCAATAATTCTGATTTTCTAAAAATTCTGGTTTTTTAAACTAAATTCTGGTTCTAAATTCTGATTTTCTTAAAATTCTGGTTTTCTGAAATTCTGATTTTCTAATATTCTGGTTTTTGAATTCTGATTTTCTAAAATTCTGGTTATCTGAAATTTTACATTCTGATTGCTAAATTCTGATTTTAAAACGTAAAAATTAGAATTCTATTTTTATAGTTAAAATTGGGTTTATTCTGAAAATTAATATTTTAAATCAGAAATTAACCTTAAAAATTCTGATTTATTTTCCCCAACGCAACAATGTTTATTTAATAAAATTCTTTTGTTTTTTTAATGGGGTGAGGAAATTAAATAAATAAAAATATACGGAGAAGACACTTATTATTGATTTAATATATTAAAAAGAGGGAGGATTGCAACGATTTATTATAAAAATAATTTTTTTTCTTAATCTGCTTATTTGTAAATACAGAGAAAAGTTGACTTTTTGCAATAAAAAAATATTACGATTAACTTTTCCCAAAAAAAACCTTTTTTCTTGCAAAATTAGAAGGGAATAAGGGATGAATCATAGAGAAAAAATTTTTTAAAATTTTACAAGCCTTAAAAAATATTAGGAACATTTAAAAAATAAAAAAAACAAAATTACCACCAAAGGGCACCAAGCGGACTCGTAATCTAGCACACTAACCATTACACCACAACCAAACATGTTAGTAAATTAATTTTTAAACTACATATCAACATCAGAAAAGACTATAAAATGACCCCTAAATTAAAAATTAAATTAATTTTAAAAAATAAAAGATAATTTAGTTGAAATATTAAATCAACTTCAAAAAAAAAATTAAAAATAATTTAAAAAAATATTTATTCAAAAAATTTAAAAAATATTTATTCAAAAATTAAAAAAAAATTATTATGTATTTTATAATTAAATTTTAAATTAAAAAAAGACAACCTAATTTTTTAAGTGAAAATCTCTAGTCTTCATAGAAGACCTCTCTCCAATTTTATTAAAAAAATTTTTCCTATTCTTCTGTCCATCTAGATCCATCCAATTTAATTGCTTCTATCCAATCATCACAAATACTTTCGCCTTTCTTAAAATTGAAAAAAAAAGATAAAGCGATTTATTCTCCCCCAATAAGGTTGTCAGAAAGTTTCGGATATCCGAAACTGAACCAAAAATTCTTTTGTTATTCGATTCAGTTCGAATAACAGGAGGATTTTATTATCTAATTTGAGTCAATCCCGAACATGGATGGGATCGAGATTTTTGGAGATCGAGATTTTTGAAAAGCCTGGGCCTGTTCCTGGACTCTGGGTTTGATTTATTGACCTGGGCCGGATCCTGTTCCTGTAGTCCAGGAAAAAAAGATAAAGCGATTTATTCTATCCAATAAAGTTGTCGGCCTAGAAAACCAGGCCTAGAAAAAACCCGTCAAAAATGAGCCTGGACTCTGGGTACAGGAAAAACCCAGGCCTTGATCCAGACTCAGGCTCTCTAATGGGAAGGGTTGGGAAAAAAATCGGGTCCGGGTCACACGTCCCATTCCCTATTTCTTTAATTTTAACCGATAACCCTTCCTCCCCCTCCCATTTTTTTAAGAAAAAAAATAAATTAAAAATTAAAATAAAAAAACCTCATCCAAAACAATTCCATTACAAGCAATAACAGCTTCCTCTTCTCCATTTTTTAAAGTAAAACCATTACCAATATAATCATCAATTTTTGCACAAATTTCAATAAATTGTCCATTTTTATCAAATTTTAAAAATCTTCCAGTTTTATCCATTATTAATAAATTTTGAGAATTGTTGAAAGGACGCATACAACGAGGGAAAAATATTTGGCCTGCTTCTTTTCCACATGAAGAAAATGGTTTTCCGATTAATTGTCCAGTTTTGGTATTTATCAATTTTATTGATTGTCTTAAAAGAAAAGAAATTTTTTGTAGGGGAAAATTTGGAAAACAAGCTAAATTAAATAGTCCCAGATCTTTTTCTAGCTTAAAAAAATTCTACACCCTAAAATCGAATTGATTTAGGCAAGTCTATAACAGGGATAGGTCGGGCTAAGAAAAAATTCGACCCAAGTTTCAGGCCGGATTTCCGAAAATTTTTCGAGTCCCTAGCCTCCTATTGACCCCTACAAACTAAAAAATATTAAAAACAAACTTTGAATAAATATTGACAGGAATAGAAGCAACAGAGACTGCTAATGTTTCATCATCCAATAAACACAAACATTGAAAACATTCATCAAATGAAGAAGCAAATTCATCCCAGGCTGAAGGAAAGTCTATATGTGATCTGAAAAAAGGGAGAAATTTTGTGAAGGGAAGGAGTGGGGTAATGTTTGGGATTAGATATACTTATTCGTAGAGTTGTCGGTTTCTGCAAATCCTTTGGATATCCAAAACCCAACCGAAAAATCCTCTGTTCTTCGGTTCGGTCCAGAACCGACAACCATACTTGTTAGTAATAGTAGACAAGTCAACCCTCCCCGTCTCTGAATTTACAAGCAAAACTATATCTAGTCGCCTCCCCATTGGGACGTGCCATCTACTAACATAAGTGCTACATATGAAACAAACTTCCCCCAAAAACGCCATGCATCGAACCTGAATAACCCGTTAATTTTTTGAGCTTACAAAACTTTAAAAAATTTAAAAAACCTCCAAATAATCGATTCATCCATCCCAGAATTATTCTGTTCAAGTTCAGGAGACGCAGACTTCATTTGTTTTGTCATAAATAAATCTCCAAGTTTAGTTATAGCCAAACTTTGTACTTTTCCTTCAATAAAGCTTTCATGTTCAATGTTGCCTAGTTGATCAAGAATTCGAAATTGCATTAATTCCAAGTCACCAGTTACATAAATTAACTAAAAATAAATTTCTGAAAAATTAAATTTATTAAAAATAATTTTTAAAATTATTTTCCCACAAGAAGGTTCACCTAATTTAGTCAACCTTCAAGAATAAATCAACATAACCACAAACAACTAAATCAACAAAATTTTAAACCTACATAGAAAACCCCAAAGACAAAAAAATAAAAAAAATTCCAAAAGATGTTCCTAATCTTAAAAATCACCCGAACCCCCACAACAACAAAAAACTTAAAAAATCACAAAAATTTGGAACTCTTAACCTTAAATTTGCACAGAAAAATCACTAAAATCCTCGTCCCAAAAATTCCTAAAAAACCCAAACCTTATTTTTATACATCAAAATTTGTGGATAAGCAGCAATCTTCTTCGGAAAATCATTTTTCATCGAGAAAAGTATCTTTTTTGTTGAAATATCGAATTTAAATAAACCTCCTTTACTAGCCACCCACAGATTTTTCGACTCATCTTTTTAAAAAATTAAAATAAAAAATTAATTTTAAAAATAAACCTCACCAAAACAAACATTATAAGGTATTTCAGCCTTTTCTGGTGACAAATGTAACATCATTTCTTTTATTCTTTGATGATTTGAAGTTTTGGATGGAGCTTCTGGCATTTTAAAAAATTCTAAAAAAATTTTTTAAATTAAAAAAAAATTTTTCTAAATAAACCTCAATTCAACCGCTTCAAAAAATTATTTAAAATTAATTTTTTCAACTTAATTATGCTTCCAAAAAATATTTATTTAAATATCAGCTGTGTTGAAAAAAAAATTAAAGATCAAAAATCAAACAAGGAAAAATAAATTTTCTGGCGTTTTGTTTTTATTTTAAAAGGGGACATTAGAGCCCCAAAAATTTTTTCAAACTTAAAAATCACCAAAAACTATCAAAACAACGTTCAAAATAAAACTTCAAAAAATTCCCCCACACAATGTATCAAACCCACACCCGACCAATTTACAAATCCAACACAAACACACTTAACCAACACAATACATCAACAAATTTTTCAATTATCTACCTAAATACAATTAAAAAATTAATTTAAAAATATTTAAATTTAAACAAAAAATTATTTATAATTTCTAATTAAATACAATAAAATGTTGTTTGTTTTTTTGATTATTTCAATAAAACAAAAATCGACGTAAAATACATAATCGGTCTTTTTACAGCTCTCTTTTTTTGGTTTTTAATAAGCCAAAAAAATATTTTTTGAGAATAAGAGAAGGAAAAAATTAAAAAATTTTTTGGAAATAATTATGAGCGAAATATTTAAGAGACAAAAATTCAAAAAAATTTTTTTGAAACAGAAAAATCGGAAAAAAAGAGAAGAAATAAAGGTGTAGGTGCAAAAAAAGGTTCCTTAGAAATCAAAAAAAAATAATCGTGAAAGGGGGCCAAGATTTGCTTAAAAAAATTTTTGTTTCTTGCACCAACTAAAAATCTAAACATTTTACTATTATTATAAAAGCAAAAAAAGAAAAAAGGAAACGGAAAATATTTTTTAGGTCATTTTTGAAGGAAGATCAAAACTACATTATAGAATAATATAAACGGCACAAAAGCCAAGAGTAAAAATAAATTGTGATGAGAATGAAGTTGGGGTCAGAACGTTCAAAAAAAGCTCCAAAAGTAAATAGAGGAATTCAAAAATTAAAGGAAATTTTCTTAAAACTTCTGACCCCCTCCCTTTTTTTATTAAAAGGGTGAGCCGGGTTTAACCGATAAAAAACTAATACGGGAAATTTTCCAAAAGATTTTCCAACCCGACTTCCTTTTTTGTATCAGTCAACCCGACCTCTATCCCCTCAAAAATTAAAAAAAAAGAGAAAAAAACCGGTGATTGATGCATTTAATATATTAAAAAAACTCCCTTTTAAATTTCCAGAGTTTTATGCGCCTCATTGGGATTATACAAAAAAAATTTTTGGAGTAAATAATTATTTAAAAACCTCTCATAATCCTTCCTAAATAGACATCAAAAAAGAAAAAATAAAGCGTAGCACCAAATAATAAATTTTGCATTGAATCAAAAAACTTGTCAACCAAAAAGCCCAATGTCCAACAATACGCGTCCACGAAAAAACAATACGTTCTCCAGGCTCGTCTGGCTCAAATTCTCCATTTTGATAATAATTGGCTTCAAAATTAAATTAATTTAAAAAAATTCCAAATCAAAAAGAAACCCAAAAGCTTGTCTTTTTTAGCATATTGAGCATAAAGCCAATCACGAAGCTTAATATCATCATTGAATGGGACCTAAAAATTATTTAAACAAATTTTCCAAGCCAAATAAACTTAAAAAAATAAACCTCATCAACAGAATGCATTTTGTAATGGACGGCAATATCGCCTGAAAAAATATATTTTTTTTTATAAAATGTGTGATAAAACGTGACTCAAAAAAGCTTGGTAATACTTTAGAAGTCCACCCTCGAAATTTATTCCTTAATATTTCCTGCCATTTTCTAACATTTTTATACCTGTTTTACATTATGAGTAGGTTTGGGGTTTACGAGACGGGCCGACGTTCAAGTTTCTTTTTAGGCCGGCCCGACCGAGTCATTTCTGGGCCAAAATTAGAAGCCCAACTCAATCTTTCGGATCTGGTTCCCAGCCCTAATTATGAGGAATAACGGAAAGGAAAAAAGGAAAAAAAACTGAAAATGATTCAAGAAAAAGAAAAAAGGAAGGCGACTTCAAAGTATCTCCAAAAAATTTAAAATACCCACATTGTTCCCTCGTTCCAAAGCACAAAGTAAGAATACTCAAAGGATGTCCGTTTGGATAGGCAATGGTAACATCGAGAATATGAGTGATAGGAGGACGCGTTTCTTAAAAAAACAAATTTAAATTTCCAAAAAATTCAAAAAAAAACCTTTAACATGTTTCTTCTCACGAATTTCCCCAACAGCATCTTTAAGTAGCTGAATTCCAGAGCGAACTTTTCGCGTACGTCCATTCTCCACACCGCTATCACTATCATCTCCACGAGGGCCAACTTCCTCTAAAATGGACTTGATAGCTCCAATACGTGGAAGGGTGCACCATTCCAAATGAGGGAAACCGTGTTTACGTCCGTACCTTTAAAATGAAAATTCTTAAGGCTCCCTAACAAAATAGAGATACTCTTAGTTTACGTAAACCAAAATCGAAAAAAAATTTCCGTTTATAAAGAAATCATCCTATCATTCGGAAGAGCTATTTGAGCTGATTTGAGTAGAAGGACAACAAAATTAAGTTCGGTTTTAATTGTAAAGTTATTGCCTCATAATGGTCAAAAATAATATAGGGCTTCTAGAAGGATATACAAATTATCTAGAAAAAGGGAAAAAAATCTGCAAGCTTTCTTGGTTTCCGCAAACAATAAGAGTACCAAAATACCCCAAAAATTAAAAAAACCCAACTTACTTCTGGCTGTCCTCCTTCCTCTTATAGTAAAATCCTCCTTCAGGAAATAGAATAACCCAACGCCTGTCTCTATCCCAAAAGACCTAAAAAATTATTTAAAAATTTTTTTAAGTTAAAAAACCTTTCTCAAGTGCTTCTTTAAATTAATTAATTCCTTTTCCCTCGAAGCTTTGCCTTGACGAATAAAATAATCACCATGCATCTGACCAATAATACCAAAAGGCGTCCAACGAAACATAACATCCATCAGCCAAATTGTCTTAAAAATTTAAAAAATTAATTTTAAATCTTTAAAAGGTTCAAATTTATTGCAAAAAATAATTTTTGATTCCTCCAAAAAAATTTTTCCAACAGTGGGATTCGAACCCACGACCCTCAAGTTATGTACCCTAAATGCTTCCCACTGCACCAAGGAATCCGTCAGAATACTTTAAGAAAATTACACCATAAACCCCTCTAAAAATAAATTAAAAACCTTTCTAGTAGCAACTCCTTTAGTTTGCAGAACAGTAAACAAAATATTGACATCAGCAGAGCTTTGATGGTTGACTATAACCAAAACCCTTCCCTTCGCGGCATATCTGCGAATATCGTCTCCATACTCATAAACATCATAGTCTTCAAAATAAAAATTTTTAAGGTTAAAAATGTAAATGTGGGCTACCCACACCAGCTTTTGCGGACATGACAATGGTCTCATAATGGTCAAATCACCAAATATCCATTTTTCAATTCACTGTTTCAAAAAAGGGATTGGTGGCCGATATTGGGAGTTGGAATGATTCTCCTCTTTATATCTGACCATTATGAGTCAGCAAAAATATGTCCGCAAAAACACAATTTAAGATAACACAAGGGTACCTAAAAATTAAAAAAAACCTGCAGTATATCCCCAATACGCAACAAAAGCTTGCAGCCACATATAAAGCTTTCCTTCATATCCCCAATAAAATCTCGGCCACAACTTCCTTGCCCACAACACAGGCAGCATAAAGCCAAAATAGGCAAACACAAAACAGAAAATATTCACCAAACAGAGCAACGTTCGAAAAGGAATTGCCGCTAACCAACAAAACTTTTCTGGTGTAGAACATTGAGACCATTTTGAACGGGAACCTGGTGGTCGTTTACTCGACGGCTTTTTTGGTGGTGATGGAAATTTGGAATTGATTCCATTTGTTGGTTGGTGTGGGGAGCCGTCGATGTTAGCACTCGTATTTGTCATTTTTGTTTGACTGAAAAAAGTGGAAAAAATTATTAGAAAAATGATCAATGATAAAAAGATTAAATGATAAAAAGCATGAAAACAAAAATCGCGAACAAAGTACAAAATTAATAAAAAAAGGGAGGAAGTCAGAGGAAGTCAAAGGGAAAAAATCAAAGGGAACAAGGGAAGAAAAAAATGTGGGAAGTCAGTTGAGTTTATTTTAGGGGAAAGAAAAAAGGAGTCTCCTTATAGCCAAGTAAATTAATCAGTCTCACATTACAACCATTTTTGTTGTTATCTCTCTGTTGCATTTTAATGTGTAAAGGTGAAAGTATGAAAAAGAGTAAAAAATGTGGGAAATTTAACTAAAAATACGTGGCGGTCGCATACTTTCTTTAGTCTTTTTTGGTCTTTTTGGACAGTTTCCTCATATAGCAGGAAAATAGAAACACTTGACGTGTCACACAAATCATTGTAATCGTTGTTTTTAAAGTAAAAAATCAAAATGTGACGTGTCACAATAAAAGTGTGCTAGTCAAAGACGAATTTTTAAGACTAAAAATTCTCTTTTATTGATCTTTTACAAGTCACTCAATGACTAAAAGTACATATTAAAAACGCGCACAGTTGTTCTTAAATATTTAGAAATACTTCTAAAGAACATAACCACTAAAAAATAAATACAAAACAGAAAAAATTAAAAAATTGTTTATCTTTTTCAAGCCACAGCTTAAATATTTTTTAAAATGATAGAGAAGGCTCCTATACAACTCATCTAATCGTTAACTCATCTAATCCTTAACTCATCTACACGGCCAAAAAGGGTTAACTCATCTAATCGTTAACTCATCTAATCCTTAACTCATCTACACGGCCAAAAAGGGTCAACTCATCCAATCCTTCGGAACTAGACTATTGAGTACCGGCCGTTTGAGTCCATGGCCAGTAGAGTACCGCCGGTTGAGACTCAACTGGTCATGGACTCAACTGGTCATGGACTCAACTGCCCATGAACTCAACTGGTCATGGACTCAACTTACCCATGGACTCAACTTACCACTCAAACGGCCAGAGACTCAAACGGCCAGAGACTCAAACGGCCAGAGACTCAGACGGCCGGAGACTCAGACGGCCAAAGACTCAGACGGCCAAAGACTCAAACGGCCGTTACTCAATAGTCTCGTTTCGGATTGGATGAGTTGACCCTTTTTGGCCGTGTAGATGAGTTAAGGATTAGATGAGTTAACGATTAGATGAGTTAACCCTTTTTGGCCGTGTAGATGAGTTAACGATTAGATGAGTTAACGATTAGATGAGTTGATCCCTTTTTGGCCGTGTAGATGAGTTAAGGAATTTTAGCCGTTTAGATGAGTTGAACGTTTTTGGCCGTGTAGATGAGTTAACGAGTAGATGAGTTAACCGGACACGGATAGAGAAACAAAAGAAAAATAGATGCGAGTGTACACTAAAAAATAAGAGACAGCAGAGAAGCAAACTACACTCGTGTTGGAATCTTTTGTCATTTAAATTTCTGAAGAACATTTTGCCAAAAACAATGCCAAAAGAGTTCGCGAATGCTTAAATTTCGTTCGAACGAGTTTCAGCTTTTCGTCCATAACTTTTCTGCTGATCACCCGAAAATTTTGATTTTTTGGTATTTTGTAGCGTTTTTAATTCTCTATCCAATGGTACCAAGAATAGAAAAAATTATCAAAATCATTTAGAGTTATAGGGCCGGGAATCGACTGAACTACTTCAGCTTGATTTACCCAAAATTCTTTATTTTCTTTTTCAGATTTTAATTAATTAAACAAATGTATGGACAAAGCACCAGCAATAGTAACAATGGAGTACAAATATGTGTCGAGCCTTTAAGTGAATGGAAAATTCAAGAAATTACTTACGACGGCTTTGAAAAATATATAAAGTTTGTTGGATTTTTTTTTTAATTTTAAAGAATTTTCTAAATTTTTTAAAGACCTAGCGATTTTAAAGACGTTCTCAGAAAAAATGCTCGTCGAATAAAATGGCGTAAAATTGTTGGAAATGATTCTAGTTTGGATAGAGCTCCAATAGATGAAGATTCTGATGATTCTGAGGGTGAAGGAAAAGATGACAACCAAAAGAAGAGTGAGGCTGTTAAAACTCCAAGTGCTTTAAATATTCATGAACCTGTTGCTGGTCCGTGGGCTGCTGTTGGGAAACATTTACAGTTTGTTATTTTTCCATATTTTTTTTTATTTTTTGGTTAAGTGGACCACACTAATTTTTCGCAGGGTATATAGGGGGTGCGGGTTCGAACCCGTCACGCTCCAAACATTTTTCCCTTTCCAATTATCTCTTCTAAATATTTTCATACTCTTTTCCCACCCTTTCTAACTTCTCAAAAATTTTCCCAAATTTTAGTAATGCTTTACAAGAAGTCCATATTCTCTTAGACGCTCTCAAGATCACTTCTCGAACCTATTATTTATCACCATCAGTGAACGCTTTAATTCAAGATGACATGCCAGAACACGAACAAATTGCATATTCAAAGACTTATCAATTATGTACTCGGAAAAGGGTATTTTTTCTTTAAAAAATTTTCAGAAGTTTCAAAAAAATTTCCTAGGCACTAATCGACGCCACACGTCTCATCGAAAAAATGGTTAAATATCGACAACAAGTGGTTGTGACACCTGTAGATACTGGGGAGGGGAATTTTACAAAGGTTTTTTAATTTAAAAAGATGAAAAGCAAGGTACTTTTTGGATATCCCGCCCAACCTCTAGGTTGAGTCTCAGTCGGAGGTTTCCTTAAAATGTACATAATGGTCAGACTTCCTTTTCTTTTTCTCATTTGAATATGTCACAGGGGAATCGAGGAAAAAGAAAGTCTGACAACTATGTCGAGACTCAAATTAGGGGGATTTGTGGGATACCCAAAAACTTGATAAAAATAAAATTAAAAAAATTTATCTTCTTTAAGGAGCTCCGCGAATTACGCGAAAATTGGCGCGTTCGAAAAAGTGGCTCAACCATTTATGGGGATCTTGGCTATAAAACTTGTATTTTTTAATTAAAAAATTTATTTATTTACCTCCAAATAGATGTCCCAAAATTTGCTCCACAAGAAATTTTTGATGTTTTTCAAAAAACACAAATTTCTCGGCAGCTTGGAATTGTGCGTTTTAACAATCCTTCTTATGTTGGAGTTAATATTGCACACAATTTGTGTTTTAGATCGAAACTTGTTGTGCTAATTGAACCGGGTTTGCGTTTTAAATTAAAATTTTTTAAGAAAGATACTAAAAATGAGGATTTTTTATATTAGTTTCTAAAATGTTTCTTTACACTTTTCTCACCCTTTCTAACGTTAAAAAAATTTTTTTCTAGTTTTCTACACTTTTCTCACCCTTTCTATCATTATAAAAAATTTTCTAATTCTGGTTAAGTGGCCATGCTAATTTTTCATTGGATAGAGGGTGGGGGTTCGAACCCGCTGGAGTCCAATATTTTTTTATCTTTCTAAATATTCTTTCTAATTATTTTCTACGATTTTTTACCATTTTTAAATTATTAAAAATTTTTTAGATGACGAAAAAAGTGCACTTTTATTATACAAAAACAGACCTACACAACAATCAATAAATGAGGACCAAATAAAACATATTCATTGGAAGCAAGCACTTCCTTGGGCACAGGATACCTTAATTTGTAAAGATATACTTTCACAGGTTTTCTTTCTTTAATTAAAAATTTTTTTTCCATGGGCACGAGGCGAAAAGATTTTTTTGAGATTTTTTTCATTGGGCATAGGACAGAAAATTTTTAAAAAATTTTCCCAGGGCACAGGGCAAAAAAATTTTCTAAAAATTTTTTTTTCAATTCAAGTTAATAAACGAATCAGTTTCCGCTCAACAAAACGATGCTCTAGTTTCTATTGCAACAGAAAATTCAATTGTAATTTCCTTGTTCGATGGATTGTTGATACGTGTGACTCTGCATTCATTTCCTTTTTTGGAAAGGGTTTTTTTAAATATTTTTCCGACCCAAAAAAAATTTTTAAAGGAAGAATTGTCTCCGTCAGAAGCAGGAATTCCTTTTCTTTCCCAAACTCTTCGAGAACTTTTTCTAGCCGAACATACAAGCAAACCTAAAAGAGCTCAACAATTTGTTACGCTACCACAAACAGCATTACCTGAAAGTTTGGATATGCGTGGACCTCAAGCTATTTGTTTGGAAGAGGTTTGTTTGTTGTTTTATGGGAGGGGAACTTTCTTAGGAGAAAGGGAGAGAACTTATAGCTTAAGGGTCTTGGTTTCCTATTTCCCTGAAACCCTGGTTTTGGAGAAAAGACTTCCTTAGTTCAGTGTCTTGGATTGGACCTCTTGAAAATTTCAAAAAGTTAGTTAATAAAGCCCCAATGGCTTAATAAAGTCCAACCTAATACCCAGCACTAATCCTTGCTCAAGTTAATTTTTCCGGTCCTGGTTTTCGAACAACGTTTTGGGTCTCTTGGAAAATTTTTTTGAGTTTTTAAACAGTTCTACCTCACTAATTTTATTATTTCAAGGTTCTTTCACGTATGAAAACGTCCAATTCTTTAATCAAAAAATTTGTGGATCGTTGTTCCCATTATCAACTCGTAGTTAGAACAATTGATTTTTTACAAGATTATTCAATTCATTTTTGTGATCCACAGGTTTTCTTTTTAATTTTTTAGTTTAATTTTTTTAAATTTAAGCCTCAATGGAAATGGGTACGTGTTACACCCAATTTTACTCTAATTTCTCTCAATTTTGTAAATAGAGGATTTGAAAATCTTGCAAAGTAATTATTTATTAAAAAAATTTTTTTTAATTTTTCTTAGGCTTGAAAATTTTTTTTGAAATTTTAAAAATCTTTTGAAAATTTTTTTTAATTTTTAAGCCTACGAAAATTTTTAAAAAATTTAAAAAAAAGTTTTTTTTACCCCAACAGATTTTCGAGCCAAATTCACATAACCAACACATCAATAACTTTGACTTGTAAAGAAGTTCAGCAAATTAATTGTCGTCGTGACGTCTCAATTTTGGGGGAATCATTGCTTCTCTTGGTATAACTTTAAAAAAACGATTTTTTGAAGGCGTAAACATTTTTGAAAATTTTAAAAACTCAAAAAAATTGTTAAGCCTACAAAATTTTTTTTAATTTTAAAAAATTTTCTTACCCCTCAAAAAAACAGGCCGCCCATTTTTGGGTCAGTTCTCTCAACACTCTTTCTCGAGCATATAGCTGGCAAATACTTCATGCAAATATTAACGCTTTTGACATGGAAGGCAATCCAGCACCAACATTTTATGCTTGTAATCAAACGGCGACAAAGTCTGAAATTTTTTTTTAATTTTTTAAGCTTCAAAAATTTTTTGAAATTTCTTAAATTTTTAGAAGTCTATTTATTCAATTTTACTCAAATGGAAATTGCCCTGGAATTTTTATTAGAGAAAATAATATTAAAGATGATCTTCAAATTAAACCAAATCCAACAAAAGAACTTGGAGGTTTTCGTTTTTTAAATTATTCGAGAATTCCGGGATCGACGCTTATGAGAAAAATGGATAATTTATTGGCAACTTTTATCAATTAAAAAAATTTTTTTCGTTTTTTATTTTGTTATTTTTTAATTTATTAAAAATAAAAATTATAAAATAAGAGTTTAGAAAAAGTTTGGGCACTAAAAGGAATCGAACCCACGACCCCTTGGTAAACATCGGCCGTCAAAGACGGACGCTCTCCCGACTAGACCACCGAGACGATTAATTTAGGAACCCTTTTTAGATCTTATACTCTTTCCAATATTTTAAACAAACTAGAGGATACCTAAAACCCTACAAAAAATTTAAAATTTTTTTAAAATTCAAAAAATGTTCCAACTCTCAAAATTTCATTTTTCTCTTTAAAAAAGAAAAAAATTTTTTCTAATAGATTGCCATTCTTTTTCCCCTCTCCCTTTCTTCCTTAAAATTCAATTATCTTTCCTCCTTCAATGAAGAGGAGGATAAATAGAAGATAGAGGTAATTGTGTTTAAAAACGCGCAATTTAGATGAGTAATAGCTTTATAAGCTTTATGGGAAAAAATGAAAAGCCTTTTTTAAAGTTAAAAAACGTTATTTTTTTCTCTTCATTTTTTAACAAAAATATTTTTCCCCCAAAAATTTCTTCCCCTAAAATTATCGAAAAAACCCTTCATAAATTTCCCCGAAAATTCTCCCCAATAATTTAAAAAAAAAGTTTAAAAAAATTCCCAAAAAATTTCCCAAAATTTCTCCCAAAAATGTTTCCCTTCTTTCATTCCCTTTTAATTATTTTTTTACTTTTTAATTTTATTTTAATTAAATTTGGCTGTCTTTCTTCAAAAAGTTTTGTCATTCTAAGAGATGAAAATGAAATTACAGATAATGAGAAAATAAAAGGTTTAAAAAACCGAAAAAATTTTCAAAAAAATCCCCAAATTTTTAAAGGCTTCAATGAAACACCCAAAAAGTTTATGCTCAAATGCCCAAAGACGTCGAAAGTAAGGAAATAAATGCTAAAATTGAGAACAATTGGGTCCTTCCCAAAAGTCCGCAAGTTTTGTCCGCAAAACTCAAGTTTAAAAAAATGAGTTAAAATCCTGTTTATCAAATCTCTAATGAAATTCGGCCATCAAAGCCTTCACAAAAACGCAGAACCTTTATTTAGAACAAAATCTGTCATGACTAAAACTTGCGGACGTTGGGAACATATAATAGCTGAACCCCCTATTTTCTTATTTTTGGCCTCCCAGCCTTAGAAAATAAACCAAGGAACCAATTTTTATCCTTTTAGAACATTTCCAAAGTTGAATGGAGCCACAACACCCGGGTAATATTCAAAATCAAGTTTACCCAAGACGGAACACCAGAACCAATTTTAAACGAAAAGGACAACCCAAAATGGTCAATACACGCAAAAGCATGGCATTCAATAGACAAAAATGTTGCAATGATTTTAACAGCAAAAAATGAAAAATTCAAAGTAGAAATTGAATTGGAAAGAAAAAATAATTCAAAAAATTCAAAAATAAATTTTCATCAATGGATGGTTTTGAGAATAAATAAAATTGATTTTGAGGAAGATGAGGGGATTTGGAAATGCCAGATTTTTGTGAATGATGAGAGGAATAAAGAGAGGTTGAAATTGGAGGGAGAAAGTAGAAAGAGAATTGTGAGTAAATTTTTTGGAAATTTTAGGAAAAATTTTTGAAAATTCTTTGGAAATTTTTTGAAAATTTTTCGTGCCCTAACCCCTAACAAGAAAAAATCCCAAACCTTTTTTTAAAGGCAGCAGACAACATCGGGACAACACACTCCAAATCAAGCGAATTTCGAAGAAGAGGAAGACGAACACAACAGAGCGATTTGAATGAAGCATCTTGGTATTTGAAGCAATCTGAGGAAGAAGCATCGAACGGAGAGAGGACATTTGGGTAGGGCTAAAAAATAAATTGGAAAATTTCAAAAAAATTTTCAAATTTATAAAATTAAACCTCTTCCACTAGCTTTTCAAAAAGCGACGGAAACTACGCTATTTTTGAGCGTTCATCAACTGGAGCAAAATCATTCCAATCATCTTTGCTGCCCAACCTTTACGACAAAACCTATAAAATTGAATATATTCGCAACACTAAAAAATCCTCAGAAAATAAAGAAAATACTTGGAAGCGCCGTTTAAGAACCACAACGTCGTCCAAAAATGGAGCTGTTCAAATTGGTCTAAAATTTTCTAGAAAAATTATTTTAATATTTATAATGCTCAAATATATGGTCTTTTTTTAATTAAAAATTAACTAAAAATTTAAAAGAACATATCCAATTTTTTATCCAATTTATTTGTGAAATTTTTTTTAAATACGGAATGAATATTAATACAAAAACAAAATATGTAAAAGAAAGGTAGAATGCCGTAATACCTAAAAACGGAGAAATATCAGCCAGTATTCAAAAAAATTTTTTTCAAAAAAATACTACCAAAAAGAAGACTTAAGCGAAACGCCAAACTTGTCGAAAAAAAATGTTTTCCACAAGTCTGGCATTTTGACGGTTTTTTTCGGAAAGGCTGGTATTTCGGTATTTTGGAGTTACGGCGCCCTCCCTTAAAGAAATAAAATATATTGGGAACGTTAAAAGACAAGCTTCGATTTTCTTAAACCTTAATAACTGAAACATTGTAAAATAAAAAAATTCTTGAACCCCAAATAGTCAAAAAACCTCTTTTCACAGCAATTAAAACGAAATTCGTTCCAAAATTGAAAGTCCTCTTCCTCCTCCTTTTCCTTTCTTCATCACTCCTTTACCTCCAATATTTAGTTTTCTTCCTCCACCTCCACTTCCAGACAATGTTAGTTTACGTCCATCCAAAGTTATTATTGGACGTCCTTCTCGTTTTCGAACAAGTTGAATACGTTCAGAGATTGGAGTCCGTTGTTGCTCAACAAGTTTAGGAATCTTTCTAGCAGCAGGAACAACATTAAAAAGTCCTTCATCCTCCAAATAATCTTCATGTGCTGAAAAATAATTTTTTAAAAGAGACTTGCGGACTTTTAGGAACAATTAAAAAGAATCCCCTATTTTTCTATTATTGATCTCCTATCTTTAAAAATAAACCAGAACAGCCATTTTAGCCCTTTCAGAAAATTTTTACAGCTAAATGCAGCCACAGGCCTTCCAAGTCTTCAAAATTAATTTTACCGAAAACGGAACACCCAAACCCATTTTAAACAAAAAAGACCTTTTAAAAGGTGTTGGAAGTCAGCTCCCCTTTCTTGTCATAATTCAGGAAGGACCCTGCCCCTGACATAATTAAGAATGACCCTTCAGGCAAGGGCGTATCCAGGGGGGGGCTGGGGGGGGCTAGAGCCCCCCCCCCGAAATGGGGGAAAGGGGGAAAAAATTAGGAGAAGGATGGTCGAAAAAGTGAAATTTTTTCGCCTACAACCTTCAAATTTTAAAAAATTTTCGCCTGCGGCGCAAAAAGTGGAAGAAATCTGGCCTCTTGAGCTCCAAAATCCTCAAAATTTTCGCCTGCGGCGCTAAAAAAGGAAGAAATCTGACTTCTTGGGCTCTAAATTCCAAAAAATTTTCGCCTGCGGCGCTGAAAAAGTGTAATTTTTTGGCCTACGGCCTTATAAATTTTAAAAATTTTCGCCTGCGGCGCAAAAAATGGATGAAATCTGGCTTCTTGAGCTCCAAAATCCTCAAAATTTTCGCCTGCGGCGCAAAAAAAAGTGATTTTTTTGGCCTACGGCCTTCCAAAATTCAAAAAAATTTTGCCTGCGGCGCTGAAGTGGAGAAAATTTATGTACAAAAAATTTGAGTCCGGAACGCCAAGGTAAACGCCAAAAATTTTTGCGCCCACCCAGTGTTAGCCCCCCCCGAAACCGACCCCCTGGATACGCCCTTGCCTTCAGGTTACTCCCCTCATCAGCTTTAAATAATAAAAAATAAACCTCCAATATCAAACATTCCATCATCCTCCTCATAACGGACAGTTGTTCTTTTAATTGGACTGCGCAATGGCGCCCTCAAAGCTGCTGCAATTTCATCGCCCAAATTCACTCGGACTGGAATTTTATTCCCAGTTAATTTTGAAGGGGTTGTTCGATTTGCAACCCTTAAAGATTAAAAATTTTTCAATTCTAAAAATTAAAAAAAATACATTCCACTTATTCCACGTCCAACCAATGTACTTGAAGCATCTTTCACGACCATAGTTTTTGTGGAGATCGCATCACTACGTAAGGAACGTGTTGGAAGCCAACCTGCTGCCGTTGAAGAAGTAATATCTGTGTCCTAGAAAATTAAAAAAATTGATTTCAATAATTTTGACAGCAAACCCAACCAAAACCTAAAAATGCTACCAAAAAACAAAAAATCAACAAAAGACCCAAAAGTAATCCGAAAATAAAACCAAAAAATGCCAACCAAATCCAGAAAATAATCACTCAAAAAAGCATTCTAAACCTCCCAAAACCCTCCAAAAACATTCTAAAAAATTAAAAACCAATAAACCTGAACAACAAGAGCAGCCGTAGGCTTCGGTTTCAGTGGCGATTGCTTTTGTATTGGTTTGGAATGAGAAGAGACCGAATGTAATTCCATTCCAGAACGGCGAACGCCTGTCACACCTCTTTTTATAACACCTAGAAAAATTTTAAAAAATCCCAAAAATTTTAAAAAACCTTGTTCTCTCAAATTATTATGCACTTCCAAAATATTTTTAGCTCTTTTTGAGTTACTCTCTCCAGTAGGCATTTTAATATGATAAATATCATGCCGATCTGGAGCTGTTGACAAGACTGGTTTTGTGGGGCTGTAAACATCCTCCTCTTCCAGCATTAGAATATCATCTTGGAAAAATTTAATTAAAAAATTTTAACAAAAAAACCATCAACATAAGCATCATTTCGGTGGACGGTACGTGCTGGAGGAGCAGGAGGAGGTGCAACCGTCTTTTTTGGTGGCGGAAGGAATTCAGGTGGCGTTCCATCACAATTATTTATATAACTGATAATGGCTAGCTGAAATAAAAAAAATTTTTAAATTAGAATTTTTAGAAATTATTCCTGTGATAAAATTATAGTTTGCGATCAATTTGCCGTTAGCTGCACACCAAGGTTAGGACGAGTTACTCAGAATCTGGATTTTTTGAACCGAAAGCGAATCCGAAATTCTGGAAAATTCAATCCGAAATGTTTTCCTCTCAGTCCGCCCATATCTCTGCTACTACACAGCAAACGGCCTCGGTTAGGCCTGGATACTTTCCACGTTAATCCAATTCCCTGCCAGTTTTCCCATACCCCATAAAAATTAAAAAAAAAATTAACCTGATCTCCCAACGCACTAATACCCAGTTCTTTAAGGTCATCCTTTCCTTAAAGATTATTTAAAAAATTAAAAAAATTTAGAAAAAATTAACCCAAATCACGCAGCAAATGCGGCTGTATCCTTTGCTTCACAAATGCTGAAGCATATTTCTTCCTCGTTTCTGAAGGTATATCACAGCAAGCCTCGAAAAACTTTTCCCATGTTGCTTCAAAAGAAAAAACAATTATTTTTTCATCAAAAATTTAAAAAAACCTGAATCAATTTTAGATCTACTAGAATTTGATGAGCTCATTTTTCAAATTTATTCTCACAATCAAAAATATTTTTAAAATAAAGCTGAAATTACTAAAAAATATTTGAAAATTAATTTTAAAAAATAAAGAAAAGTAAGATATGTAATGTTAAAATTCAACATTTGAAAAAAAAAATTAAAAAAAAGCTTAAAAAATTTAATTGAATATATGTATAGAATATCTATCTCATTTTAAGTAGATAATAAATTGAAAATAATATTCTTATAAAGGTTGCCGTTTCGAAATAGAATCTAACCAAGGGAACCGAAAATGTTTCTTTAGGTATAGTACAGTTCTTTATTTCGAACGTGGTTCTGTTCGGGCTCGGAAATTTTAGAGAATGGGCATCGAGGAGAGCAGACCTGAGTCTGGCTTTTAGAAACAGGACCCGAGGATCAATTCTTCTGTTCCGAATTCCCAAAAGATTTTCCATGAACCGACAACCCTAATTTTATAATCATTTAAAAATGTATCACTTTGAAATTATCTGTATAATATAAAGAAATTCTTTCCTACTTGTCATAATAGATACAATAATACATATTCTAGAATATATTTAAAAATTCACTCGGAAAATAACACAAGAAAATATTTTGAAGAAAAATTAATTTTGGAATGTTTTTCAGTTTGGGAATTTTTTTAAAAGTCAAATTAGGGTCGATGAGGTCCTTCAACGCTATTGGTCTTTTTGTACTAAATTTTAAAAAATCGAAAAAATTTTTAAAAATTAAAACAAACCGTCAATTGAAATTGGCTTCTATATCCACGCATAAAAGCAGAGATTACATGAAAAATAAACCGATATTGAGCTTCTGTTTGTACCATTGTCGCCCGCTGTTCACGAAGCATTTTAACTGTACGTTGAACATCACAAACACATTTTGGACCTTTAAATAATTTTTTTTCTAATTTAAAAATAAAAAACCTTTTTGTTTAATTCTATTAATTATAATGTCCAACGCCAAAAAAGTTCCTGTTCTACCAATTCCAGCACTTAAAAAAATTAAAATTTATAAAATTCGGTTCTGGTCTAGTTCACGAGTCCAATCAACCTTTATTACACATATAAAGGTCCACTGGACTCATAAAGCCGTATTAGACTTGTAGATGTTTCATTGGACCCAAAACCATTCTATTGGACTCATGCTTTTTATGGGAATCATAAACTCTTTTACCGGACTTACAAATATTAATTGACCATATAAAGGTACCCTAAAATAGTCATTGAACTCATAAAGCCCCAATAGACTAATACTCTTTATTGGATTCGGAAATTCTTTATTAAACTATAATTACTAGACTCATAAACTAGACCAGAGCCAGAAAATCTTAAAAAAACCTGCAATGCACAATTGTTGGGCCAATTTTTGACTTTTTATTCATTTTATTCATGACTCCTCCAATTTCATTCTTTTCACATTCATTAACCGCATCCAAAAAATTTAGAACAGATTCAACAGGACAAGCATCATTATCTTCCCAACTAAGTATTTGGAAATGATAAATTAATTTTTGTTCTTCCTTATCGTCTTTTTGACAAATTTCTTCTTGTTCTTCTTTACAGGACGCGGTTGAAGAGGCAGCAGTTTTTGCTTCATTTGCCTTATTCTCATCTTTTTTTCTTTTCAAAACAAATACTCTACGCATATAATCATCACTTTTAGTTTCCTTTAAAAAATTAATTTAAAAGTAGGAGTGGACTAGATATCGAGATTTTTGAAATGCCTGGGCATGTTCCTGGACTCTGGCTTTGATTTATTGACCTGGCCGGATCCTGGGACTGTAGTCCAGGAAAAATACAGGAAGGTCAAAAAATGCCTGGGCCTGGACTCTGGGTACAAGAAAAATCCAGACCCAGCTCGATCTCTAAATTGGACACAAACTGTCAACCGACACAAAACAAAAAATCGGTATTTTTGGCTAATTAACCAGAATCAAAAACCATGGCTGAAAACCAAGGCCGAAAATCGATAACCGAAAACCAGGAGTATCGGTTAATATCAGGTTGTGCCAAACCCTATTTCTAACTTATAAATAAAAAAAATCCAAAAAGATATACCTCAATAGTTTTAACAATTAAATTCCCATAAATAAATTCTTCGTCCAAATCAGGCCAATAACGATAACATTTTACCTTGAAAAATAATTTTAATTTAAGAAATTTTCGAGCTAAAACAGGGATGGGCCGGATTGAGAAAATGACTGGTCAGATTTTCAAAAAAAAAATTTAGAAAGATGCGAAAAAAAGTTCAAGTTTAAAACCGACCCATCCATGGTTCAAAAAATTAAAACAAACTCGTCCTCTTTCCACTTCTTTTGTAACCATAACAATAAGTAATGAGTTTTCTTGCCAAACCATTTGCCTTTAAAAATATTTTTTTAATTTTAACAAAAAAAAACCAAAAATCAGAGACAGTTTCTTCCAAGCATCCCTAAAAATAAATTACAAACAACTTATAAAAAAACAAGTATCCAAACCTGAGTTGAAATATAACGTCGTTTAAAGTCAGCAAATTCAGGATATCGTTTTGTGTCCAAAGGAATCTTTAAAAATTATTATTTAATTGAAAAAAATCCAAAAAAAACCTCAACATAATTTGCATTTATATAATCATTATTTACTAAAAGTTTCCCTCCTCCTCCACCAGCACATCCATTATTTGAAGAAGGTGAACGTTGTAGTCTTATACGTGTGTGATCAAACGGAACAACATTTCGATAACGATTTTTGCGAACATTTTCTGCCTTTCTACCTTCTTTGCAGCTAATAAAGAGTTGAGAATCTTCCTCATGACGGTGGAGGTTCTTAAAAAAATTATAAAATTTTAAAAAAGTTTTCTTATGACCAAATATTTGGTAGAAGTTAAGGACGAAGGTAGGAAACTTAAAAAGAGAAAGCTGACTAGAAATTCGGGATATTTTCGCCCGAAACCCAATCCAAAGAAAATCTTAAAAACCCGATTAGAAGCCCGACCCGACTCTCTTCCCAACCCGGCTTATCCCTGTGAATCAACCAGCACATCCTTATCTGAATTTAGAACGAAACCTCAAATTCTTCAGCAAATTCATCTTTAGCCCCATGCTTCTTTGACGGTTTCAATAAACAATCTATACGATCATCAATTGTGGCAGCAGTAAATCTGGTAGAGGGGAGGGGAGTTTTGAGTTTTACAGCACTGCCGCCATTCTAAACAAAAAAAAATTGAAAAAAAAAACAAATTAAGAACAAACCTGAACCATCGGCAGTCGAATATAATTTTCTACAAGTCCCGCCAATGTTCGGAAATTGTCTTTGGGTACAATACAAAATCTCCCATTCTTATGAGATATGCGGACATGGACAACTTTGTCGGTATTGCTACGAACGGATAGAGCAAATTCGCCTTCATTGCTGCAGCTTTCTCAAAATTTAAAAAATAAATAAAATTAAAAAAAACTAATCAAACCCCTAACAAGATAAGTTCCACAAGGTTCGTCTTTTAATAATGCTTCTGCCTCATGTCCACTTGTAGCAATATGAAAAAAGCCTTAAAAACAGAATTTTGAAGATTAAAAGCCAAAATAGAGGCCAACCAGCAAAATAAAGAGGTCAATCACGTATATCGACACCCCATATATTTTAATCGACACCCCATACTTTTTAATCTATGAGCCAGTGTATCAAAAATCGTGACGAGGAAGCTTGTGCATCTACATGGGATGATCAAGTGACGAGGAAGGCTGATAAGAGTACGTATAGCCTTCCTGTTCCAATAAAGAGGGAGAGGTTGTTTCAATGACGGGTGAAGGAAATTTCCCCAGTGTAGGGCTGGACCATCTGTCCTAAAGGGAACTCCCCCGTCTATGTTGGAACAATAAGAAAAAAAATAAATAAAACCAACGATCACTTCCAACATTCACAACAGTTTCCGCAATAGGTAACTGTGCAGGTTTAGTCAATTCAATACTCAAACCATCAGCTTCTGTCAACACTTTAGGATTACTTTCCAAAAATTGTACAACCGCTTCAACTGAATGAAAGTCATGTCCAGAGGGTAAACGAAGAGTTTTGGAAAGAGGATTGTGCACGATTTTGACGTGAGTTACTCGTGTTCCTCGACTAAAAAGTATCAAAAAATATGATTAAATTACAAAAAAATACTGGATAGACAAGGTATAATCAGAAGCGCTTGACTCACTTGGACGAACAATAAACTCCTAAATAACAAATTAAATTAAAAAAATGGAGTTCAAACCTGGGTCGAGCCCGGTTTTCAAAACTGTCCCGGGAAACCTGGACATGGTAGCGCGGAAACAACGGGTATTTTGATAAAATTCGGGGTTTCCCAACCTTCAGCCCGGAAAATCCGCCAATGGGTCTTATTTAAAAGACCAGGTTTAGCCTGTGCCTAAACTCTAGGTTTTCAAGGTCTCCTTATTTTTGGTTTTAGCCCAGAAAAATCAGCCCAGATAAGTTAGAAAAAAAAACCACGGACACCGGGCAGGCAAAGTCAAAAGTTCGAACCCTAATAAACCCAAAATTAAAAAAAACCTACTCCATTAGATCCATATAGAAATAAAAGTTCACGAGCTCTTTCACCGGTAATTTCATAAAAGAAACGTCTAAAGTTATAAAAATAAATATTTAAATAATAAAAACAAAGAAACCTTTCTACACCCATTAAGTAGCCACAAAATATAATACAGATAATAAAATGTAAAAATAAACAAAATATAACCCTGAAATTCGAAAAAATTAAGCAGAAACTCGAGAACAATTATTTGACTGATGTCTAACAAAAAATAAAAAATTTCTCTGTTAGTCTGACTTTAAAATGTCTCTCTCAAATATTTGTTATCTCTAATAGTCTACTTCTCTTCTCATTACAGTTGCAAGTTTTATTGAATATTTTAAACATTACGCCAAGTATTAAAACTTTCCGTTTATTTACAAATTAAACTTCATCTTCATTTTTCTCAAGGCCATATTTTTGGCTATAACTTTTTTGATTCTTAACCGATTTAAATAATTTTTATATCAATCGAAAGCTCAGGATCTAAGGATTATTTAAGTTAACAGGATTGATTTGATCAGATCACCCTACAAAAAGTTACATCGTCTTAAGTAGACGCAATCGTGATTTTTGATCTTTATTTATCTAACTTTATTTATAATGATCTAATCAAATCGATCCTGTTAGATAAAATAATCCTCACATTCAGAGCTTTCGATTGATATAATAATTATTTAAATCGGTTACGATTTGAAAAAGTTATGGCTAAAAATGATCTCGAGATTGAAGGCCAACAATTCCAAAAAAATATTTAAAGTAATTTTTACAATTAATATAAGTAAAAATACAACAATAACTGTTAGTTTATTAATTACAAAATGTTAAAAATTATTACAATTAATTTTAAAATATTGGGAAGGAATATTTCACTAATTTACAAAAATAGGAAAAAGAATTATTATATTATTTACCGGGAGGGGAGACAATTTTCAATTTATTGGACCAATTATTTTTTTAAAATTCTCCTCTTACATCCCTGCATCATTAAAATGAGATTTAACATTCTCCAGCTTAAATTTAAAAATAAGTAAAATTTTTTTATAGTAAAAATTTTTTAAATTACCTTAAGCTCTCTTTTTGAAATTTCTCTCATTTCAAATTTCTTTACCTTCCCAGTCACCTTTAAAAAAATTTTTTTGAATTAAAAAATAAAAGAAAGATTAATTTATTCAATTCCCTCAATTTAAAAAATTAAAAAAAATTTTAAAAAAAATTAAAAATTTTTACAGTTAATGGGAAGTCGGTTATGTCCTTGAAAAGAATGTATTTTGGAACTTTATAGTGTGCAATCTATAAAAATAAAAAATAAAATTTTAAAAAATTTTAAAAATTTTCAGCACCTTCCCCGCACAATATTCACGAATGTCACTTTCTGTAATGGTAGCGCCATTCTTCAGTCTAAATAAAAATACAAAATTTTAATTAAAATACAAATAAAAGTTTACCGGATCCATGCACATACAACCTCCCCGAACCGCTCACTAAATTAAAATATATAATTTTAGAAAATCAGAATTTTTTGTATTTTTCAATAGGATAATGTTTTAATTAATTAAAAGTATTTTCCGGAAGAACCAGAATTTTTATATTTGTGTTTTCCGGAAAATAATCATTTACTATATTATGTGTTTTCCGGAAGAATCAGAATTTTTGTATTTTTCTGTGTTTTCCGGAAGATCAGAATTTTTGTATTTTTCTGTGTTTTCCGGAAGATCAGAATTTTTATATTTTTATGTGTTTTCCGGAAAAACCAGAATTTTAATTTATTCTTTTTGTGATTTCCGGAAGAATCAGAATTTATTTTTATTTATTTTTGTATTTTCCGGAAAATAGTAATTTGTATTTTTTAAATTGTTTCCGGAAGAATCAGAATTTATGTGTTATTTTTGTGTTTTCCGGAAAACAATCTGTATTTTTTTAAATTAATTTATACATACTCCGGTACTCCAATAACTTGCACATCAGCAACCGCCGGATGTTTATCAATAAATTGTTCAACTTCTGTTGGATAAATATTTTCACCCCCACGTATTATCATATCCTTGTAGCGACCGACGATTGAAACAGTTCCATTTTCATTCATGACACCGATATCACTAGAAAATAATTTTGAAAATTTTTTCAAGAAAAAAATTTTTCAAAAATTCCTACCCACTCCTATACCACCGATCTTTCCCTATAACTGCACGTGTTGCTTCCTCATTATCCCAATAACCATACATTAATGAATATCCTCGAATAAGCACTAAAAAATAATTTTTAAAATTAAAAAATTTCCAGAATTTTACAATCCCCCCTCTGCCCTCTCGGAACGATTTTTCCATCCGCATCGACTATAGCCGCTTCCAAATGATCCATAATGTGACCAACCTTCAAAAATTTTAATTTATTTTCCGGAATTTAAAATACATTTCTGATCCTTTCCTCAGGTGGGTCATCACAAATTGACATAAACGAGACCGGAGACGTCTCTGTTGTACCATAACACACCTTTAAAAAATTTATTTAAAAATTCCCACACACTAAAACCTGCAAATTTTTCATTCCCAACTCATTAACAAGTCGAGAACAGAGAGTTACTGGACACGGAGCGCCAGCAACTATTCCAGAATGGATCGAGGAATAATCAAAAGATGGGTACTCTTCGTGGCCTAACATATCAATAAACATTGTGGGAGTGCCATAAACTGCTGTACATCTGCGGAAATATTTTTTAAAAATTTTTAAAAATTTTTTTAATTTTTCAAAATGATTTTTCTTCATATTTTAATTAAAACACCTCTCTTCATGAATTGCTTCAAGTGCTGCTAGCGGTTCAAAGGAGGGCGCAGGAAATACACAAGTATTAAAATGTACAAGTGCTAAAAATTAATTTAATAAATTTAACCATTATTAAATTATTTAACCTGCCAAACTGCCCATAACACACCCAAAGCAGTGGTAAAGTGGGTTTGGAATGCATATTATTGCTCGCTAAAAATATGAAATTTTGCAGTGTTTTCCGTTAATTTATTTTTTTGTATTTTCGCAATATTAAATCAGAATTCTTCATTTAACTGTATTTTCCGGAAATAGTTTAGTTTCCGGAATGTGTTTTCCATTTAATAAAAAATCAGAATTATTTTCCGGAAATCTTTCTTCCGGAATGTGTTTGTATTTTCCGGAATGTGTTTCTTAATTATTAAAGAATCAGAATTATGTATTTTCCGGAAATTGTTTATTTTCCGGAATGTGTTTGTATTTTTCGAAAAATACATATAACCTTCCGGAAAGCTTTTGTGTTTTCTAACCAGAATTATTTGCTAAATATTTCCCTAACGTATTTTCCGGAAAGCTTAATTAACTACCTTTTCATGATACCCAGCTCTCAACCCCACAAAATAAGCGTTGTTTACAATGTTGTGATGTGTAAGTGTTGCTCCTTTAGGCTTTCCTGTGGTTCCCTTTAAAAATTTTTTTTCCTAATTTTTTCATCAAAAATAGAATAATTACACTAGTATATTGTATATTTGCTTGATCATCCGGTTGGACATTTGCCTCATTCTGGGCCAAACGCCTGCGGTCTTCAACAGTTCCCATGTTGAGTACGTGGTTATAGTCCCAAGCGCCATTATATCTTCGCTCTATTTTAATTTAATAACTTAAAAGACCCAAGAAACCCCCCCCCCCCCCCCCCCAGAAAATTTACCCTCATTTCCATTTTCATCAACCCCCGCTTCCGTCCCATTTCCCATTTTAAACACAATCAAATTTCTTAATTTTGGGAATGTGTCAGTAGAGATTCTACCATCTCCTGGAGGTGCATCTTCAAGTTCTGGGATCAATTCGCGAAGAGTGTTGTAATATTGGGAACGTTTAAAAGCTGGCGGGCATATTAACTGAGGCAAAAATGAACAGAAAAATTAGGGAATTAAAAATAATTTTTTAATTCACCGTCTTAATGCCCACTTGCTCAACAGCATAGCAAAGATCTAAAGAAAAATTTAAAAAAAATTTAATTTTTAATTTTATTAAAAATGCTCACCATCAGCATGATACATAGGGTTAATATTTACCTTAAAATTAATTTTAGAAAATCAAGAAAAAATTTTCAATACCAAAATAAAGCCAGCTAAGGCGCTCGCAAACTGTGTAGTAATCCACTCATATTTATTAGGCGACCATATTCCTATTCGGTCACCTTTTTCCATTCCTAAATGGATAAGTCCAGTTGCGAGACGTTCACTCTTAATATAAAAAATTTAATAAAATTAAAATGCTTTCCGGAAAATATTATGAAAAATATTATTAACCTTCCGGAAAATACAAATACATATTAATAATTAATTCAGAAATTCTGAAAATATATTCTGAAAAATACATTCTGAAAAAATAAATATCCCGGAAAATACATTTCTGATAAAAATTCTGAAAAAATATTCCGTTAACACACTCCGGAAAATACAAATTTTATAGTTAGGTAATTTTAAATTCTGAAAATTAATTCTGAAAATACAAACCTTCCGGAAAATACAAGAATTAATAAACCATTTTAAAATTCTGAAAAATATTCCGGTAACACATTCCGGAAAATACAAATTTAAGGTTTAATTTAAAATTCTGAAAAATAATTCAGAATATAACTTTCCGGAAAACACAAAAATTAATATTTAATTCAAAAAAAACACAAACATCATCGAGAACATCCTTATAAGTTTTGCGCACCCCATCCCTTTTGAAGAGTACAAATTCGCGTGTTGGAAACAGATTTGCTGCCAATCTTAATCGTTCACCTATTGTGCTGTAAAGTAGGGGATTTTTGGAAGCAGCTCCGTGCACATAACTTTTTTTCCGTTCCACCCCATTTTGTGTTGTTGATAAAGATAGAATTGATTCTGCAACCATTTGTGAAAAATGTTGTTTCCGGTGAAGAAGATTTTTATTTAATTTGTAAAATAAAAAATTATTTCTGGCGGATATATAAGGGAGATGAGAAGTTGTTCTGATTTGTATTCCTAAAGAATATTAAATTAATTAACTAATCTAATTAACTTTGTATGCTAAAAAGGATTCCGGAAAATACAAAACTTAATAATTAATTTTAAAATTCTGAAAAATAATTCTGGAATTATTTAAATAATTCTGAAATATTTACGGAAAATACAAAAATTCCGGAAAACACAAAACTTACAACATAATTCTGAAATAGTATTAACTTTCCGGAAAATACAAAATCAGAAAAATAAAGTTTCCGGAAAATACAAACTTGAAAATTAATTCTGAAATACTTTCCGGAAAACACAAAACTTAATAATAAATTCCGAAATACATAAGTATTATTAACTTTCCGGAAAATACAAAAATTAATACTTAATTCTGAAATAATTCTGATTTGTATTTTGAATTCTATTTTTCTTTGTATCAAGGTATAATTAATTAAATTCTTATAAGAAGGATTAAAATATTTCTAAAAAATTTAAAAAATAAAAAAAAATAAAAAAAATAAATTTGGCAGATAAAAAGTGGATTCAAATAATAAAGTAAACGATGTAGTCCAAAAAAATATTTTGGTAAAAATATTAAAGACCAAAAACCACCGTTCCAGAACACATAGTTAACTTTAAATAATGTTCTAAATTAAAAATAAAATTTTAAAAAATCCTAAAAAATTGAATAACTTTCTCTAATTAAATTTGACGTTATTCAGAAATTACTCCAATAAATAAAATTAATTTAAATTTTTATGATTTACTCAGTCAACCCTAAAAATGGCTTTAACGCGCCCATCTGTTCTGGCACTAAAAAATGGAATTAAAGTGATTTTTTAAAATTCTCAGAGGAATTTTAAATTTTACTTTATTCATTCTTTCTAAATATTTTTAGAGGTGGAAATGATGATTAAAAATTTTTAGATTTTTTTTTGGGATTTTTAGAAAGCTTGGGATTAGGTTAAGTGAAATAATTTTCTGATTAAAAAAATTAAAAAAATAAAAAAGAGAACTTAAAATAAAAATTTTTTTGTTAAAAAATAGACAAAGAAAATAAAAAATAAAATAAAAATAAAATTGAAGTTAATTTAAAAAATGAAAAAAATATTAAAAATGTTGGAATGTTGAATAGACTTTGATAATATTACAACAATAAATCAATTTAAAAAATCTCTGGGAAAAATTTAAAAAAAAATTTGAAATAAATTTTATAAAAAAAATATAAAAAATATGTCTACATTTCCAAAATAATTTTTAAAATGATAATAAAAGAAATTTTAAAAAATGTGTGTTTTGATTTGATAAATACAAATAATGTCGAATGATTGTCGAACGACCTAATCAATTCAAAAATAATAGCAAAATTTAAGTATTTAAAAATTAAAAAAATAATTCTGAAATATTTCTGATTTAATTAAAATTCCTCCTAAAAATTTATTACAAATTGTAAATTCTGTTTATAAAAATAAGCCTACAAATTCTGATTTTTAAAATTAATTTACAATTTGTAAATTCTGGTTTTTAAAATTGTAAATTCTGGTTACAAATTACAAATTCTGATCCTGAAAAATTACAAATTCTGACTTTATATAATTTTACAATTTGTAAATTCTTATCTTAAAAATTGTAAATTCTGATTACTAAAATAAAAATTCTGATTACGAAATTACAAATCTGATTTCAATGTATACTTAAACTTACTGAACAGAAATTACAATTTGTAAATTCTGGTCTTAAATATTGTGAATATTTAAATTGTAAATTCTGTTTCAAAATTACAAATTCTGATCCTGAAAGATTACAAATTCTGATTTAAATTAATTTTACAATTTGTAAATTCTGATTTCTATGTACATATACTTAAACTTTCTGACTAAAAATTACAATTTGTAAATTCTGGTTCTCAAGAATTGTAAAAATTAAAAATAAACTTACTTATTTTTAAACAACTAAAAAATAAAAGGACAAAAACAATGAAAATTTAACAAAATTGAGCGAAGCGTGATAACGATTTTTTGAATTAAAAAAACAAGTAAGAAATATTTTTTATTAAATTATTTTATTTTAATTGACTAAAAAAAGATTATTCGTTCACTAAAATGTTTCAAGATTGCCCCTATTTTTGTTTTTATTTTTCGGTCAAAACGGCTAATGATCGCGCTCCTTTACCTATTTATATATTCTAATATTTCCCTAAATTGATGTTTTATATTTAGTACAATTTCTGATTGTTATCTCCTTTTTTTGCTAAATATATTCAATTACTTTTATATTTTAAATATTTTAATTTTTAGTCAAGAAAAATAAATAATTTATTACAAATCGTAAATAAAATTCTGATTTATAAAAAATAATTCTGATTTAGAGAAAAATAAATTCTGATTTTTAAAAATTCTGATTTTTAGAAAGAAATTCTGATTTGTAAAAAGATTGATTTTTAATAAATTCTGATTTAGAAAGAAATTCTGATTTGTGAAAAATTTTAATTTCTGATTTAAAATAAAATTCTGATTTATAATAAAATTCTGAAAAAAATTCTGGTTTGTAAAAACTTTATTTTTAATAAAATTCTGGACTTGAAAATTCTGATTTTTAATAAAATTCTGATTTGTAAAAAGAAATTGTAAAAATCCTAAAAAATTCTGATTGTAAAAACCCCCTATTTAAAAAAAATTCTGATTTGTAATTGTAAAAAATTCTGATAAACCACACCTCTACAAATCCTGCATTCTGATTTTCCAGCAGATCGCACAAAAAATAAATTTGGAATTCCATTAAGTGTTGTTAAGTTAAATAGAAAGGGTGGTTGCAGAACAAATTTCATTAGAAATTAATAAAATATTAAATAATAAATATGCTAAAAAATTAAAATGCTAAAAAATTAAATTTAAAAAATTTTCTTAAATAAAAATTAATTTCTAAACTAACCAAAAGTAAATAGAATCAAAAATACTTTGATCAGGCAATTCACGAGGTTATCGTCAAAGTAAAGAACAGAGCAAGTAAACCACCCCTCCCCATGATTAGAAAAAAAACTGGACAGTTACCCAACTATTTATCATTGTTTATCAACAATTTACTTGTCTTTACCACCCATTTGCGGTTCACTAATTCGAGAATAAACGGGGGTAAATGCTGTCTGATTTTAATCCTTTATAAATTTTTTGTTAACGAATTTAAATAAAAAAGAGAGAAAATTTTAAGATGCATCAAATTAAAGTGCAAATCGCTTTTGAGTGAAAGTTAGAGTCCAACATTAAATTTTGAAATAGAAGTTGGTCGAGTTTGAGTCCCCTCAAAAATATGTATGATTTTATTTATCGGAGCATGATTTTGATGCTGTAGATTCTACAAGGAGACCAACAGACTTTTGTACAATGGCTATAAGCGAAAATATCACTTTGAGTAAGTCTACACCAAAATACAGAAATACCCTTTAGTCATTTCAGATTCATCACTAGAGACCGTAATACGGCACGGTTCGGTCTCTAGTTATGACTATGGTCCAAGGTCTAGATCCAGTATTCTATGCTCTTTAGAATGAGCTATATATAGATTATCCAAAATCGACTCACTTTAAATTATCTCGTTTTTAATTTTTATTTTCTATTCTCTCTCTATACATCATTTAAAAATGCCGTTTCACTAGCAACCAGCCTACCAATAATTTAAAAAAAGTAAAATATTCCCATCATTCCCTCTTCATTTCCAATTCCTTTTTAATATTTTAATATGCCATATATTCCTCCCTTTTTTATCTGCGTGGGAGGGATTTTGTGAATAAATTGAATAAAAAAAAGTTTCTAGTCTTCTTTATTAAAATGTGAAACAAGCAAAAATAAAAATTTTTTTATTAAATTTATTCAATTTCCTTAAAATACTTTTCGCCTTTTTTTATTATTAAATTCCAAAAAAAAATTTTTTTTGGAATTTAAAATCAATTTTTGTGAATAATTTATGCCCGGGTACACCCCCAACATTCTTCCAGCCCAATGCAACATCAAGAAATAATTCCGTTTAAATATCGAATCCGGGGGTACACCTTAACTGAGTCCCGACTTAACTCAGTCCCGGACCCTATAACTTATGAAGGGATGGTCGCTTTTTTGTTTTCTTAGTACCTTTGGATAGAGCATTAAATAGGCTACAATATATCAAAAAATCAAAATTCTTGACCAATTGGTAAGAAAGTTGTGATCGAAAAAGTCCGAAAAATTATCCACCTTCTTGAGTTATAAGGCCGTGACTCGGTTTAGCTGCTCCGGAATCCGGGACGTTCTGGTATGGTTCGATTCACCTCCTCAAGGCGCATAGAATCATACCAGAGCGACCCCGATTCGACAACTTTGAATGAAGTTACAGCTCATTTTCAGCAATACTTTAGGCTTGTGGTACTTTTTCCCTCCATTTTATACTTTTTTTTTATTCCATTTGCTCCCCTATACTTTATCCTTTTTTGTATTTATTTATTATTTATTTTCCTTGCCTAGTACACACTTTTCTATTTTTATTTTTATAAAGCGCCAATGTGCTTCTTCTCTTTTAAGCTTTATTTTCTTTCATGTCTGGCAAGTTGCAAGCTTTCTTGGCCATATTTAAAGTCCTTTAAAACTCACTATTCTTTTACATATAAATGAAGAATAGGCGTTGAAATAGGCGTTGAAATAGGCGTTGAAATATTTATTTTAACAAAGGTTTCAAAAATCAAATTTTAGCAAAATTTTAAAGAACAAAGGAAAAAATTCCTTCCCAACAAAAAAAATTTCCCCCTCAAATATTAAATGAATCTCTTCCTCGACGCTTTCGACCGCGTTTTCAACCCACACACTTCTTCCTCCTCAAAAAGGAGAGCTTCCAGTTCTGGTCTAGTATCATCACTTGGCCCTGCTTCCTCCTATTCTTCCTCCTCTAGAAGAACAACTAACACAACAATGACTACAACAACTTCTACCACAACAGCTTTATTAAATTCTCCCCAAAAAAATAATTTTAGACGTCAAAGTGGTGGGGCGGTTAATGCTGGGTTTCAGAATGAATTTGTGGCCCTTACTATTGGGGAACCTGAAGAACCTTCCACTTCAACCAGAATTCAAAGACAACAAAGTGCGAGTAGTGCAAGTCGGAGCAGGTAATTAGAGAACATCATCTCAAATTCGTAGAGGCTATAGCCTAACAAATCATCAACAAAGTGACCGTGCTTAATAACTATTCTTGAGCTCTAGTGTCTCGGATTTCTCATGACTTTAGTGTCTAATACTTAAAATTATAACCCAGACTCGAGTGAATAGCCTATCTTTGAAACCGTAAGACTCTAGTGCCAATATCATTAGAGCTCAGACTCTAGTGGCTTTAGTTTAAAAATTTTATCCACCAAAATCCCATTAGAGCCTTAGATTAGGGGTTTTCTTTTTTCACTTGCAATCCTTAATTTTGTTGACGTTCTGGGTGAGTGTAAACATTCCTTTTTTGCTTTAATCATATGACTGGTTTGTTGTTGACTTTTAAGCTTTAAAAATCTATGCAAATTTAATGAATCTTTTTTTCAACTTTGAATAAACAATTCTCTTTTTTTAAGGTCATCCAATGCTGGCGGAAGTAGAAGAAAACGTAAAAAGAGTATTTCTGCTAGTGGAAGCGAGAAATCTCAATCTTTTGCTTCGTTAATATTTTCAGCATTGTCTTCGCCTACTTCGACTAATGGAAATGATAAAATGAGAAGGAGGAAATTAAATAATGAGTAAGGGGATTTGAGTAGAAATTAGTTGAAAAATATGTTGAGACTCTAAAGTGATCCTTTCATCAGCGTTGCGTAACTTAACAAAACGGACACATCAAAACTTAACATCGCTGCAAATATGTTCTCTAACCTACACTGCGTTCCAAAAGTATATGCACCCCTAGTTTTTTGATTTTTTATATATTTTTCTTTGTTATTTTGATTAGATTTTTTGTCTATTTATTCTTCCAGATAAATGTGTATGTATAAACAAAAAAATAAAAATTTCCCCCATCTCGTTCCATTTTTATAAACATTTATACAAATATTCACTGTTCCAAAAGTATATGCACCCCCCTCGAAAATTTTTATTTAGCAATCAAAAAATCCAAAAAAATTTCTCCAAAGATATCCATAAATATAGATAAGAAATACAAAAGAAATGAAGTTCTGATGTACTTCCATCATCGAGATCTTGAAACCCGAAAATCAACGGAAAACAGGGGGTAGACGTCTTTAAAAAATATTTTCGACCCCTTACAGGTAAAATAAAAATTTTATTTTAGGCTTATTTGAAAGCCCTTGAAATTTGCTACAAGAAAGTTTTCATCTCATAATCCAGAAAAAATTAATCTTTGAGAAATAATGAGTTTAGTTTTTAAGTTACATTTTCATCACTTTTTGGGGGCGTTTGAGTGATTTTTATGACCTGAAAGTTTATCACATTAGGTCTTACAGTTGAATTTTTTTAGGAAAATAAAATTAATGCTATCTTGTAGCAAATTTCAAGGGCTTTCAAATAAGCCTAAAATAAAATTTTTATTTTACCTGTAAGGGGTCGAAAATATTTTTTAAAGACGTCTACCCCCTGTTTTCCGTTGATTTTCGGGTTTCAAGATCTCGATGATGGAAGTACATCAGAACTTCATTTCTTTTGTATTTTTTATCTATATTTATGGATATCTTTGGAGAAATTTTTTTGGATTTTTTGATTGCTAAATAAAATTTTTTGAGGGGGGTGCATATACTTTTGGAACAGTGAATAATTGAATAATTGGTGATAAAAAAAATGAACTAATATGGGATATTTTTATTTTTCAGTTTAAACATACACATTTATCTAGAAGAATAAATAGACAAAAAATCTAATCAAAATAACAAAGAAAAATGTATAAAAAATCAAAAAACTAGGGGTGCATATACTTTTGGAACGCAGTGTATGTCCTGTATGTCAACTGAGTCAACTCGCTGTGGGGACTCTACTAGGAGTCTTTCTAGGTACAGGGACTCGAACAGTCAATTTGACTGGAATTCATCTGACTAAGGACTATTTGAGTATTGAGAACTTTAAGCTCACCTAGTAAAGGCACTTCTGATCCAAGATTAATTTAGGAATCGAAGCAGCGGAAGACGCAAACACTTGCCCCCTAGGCAATGGAGCGTCCCAGAAAGAGAAGGCAACAATGACTACAATAGGGAACCACAGACTACAATAGAGAGGAATATTGACGTTGCTGAACCATTCAGATTGATTCAGAAGGCATACTCCTTGGTAAGGGACATTTTAAAATTTTCAAAATGCCACGGCGACAAAATGCCACGCCGTCAAAATGCCAAAAAAATTTTTCAGAGTTGTGAAGACCCTCTCAGTAGTTCACGTTCTTCTTTAATGGGCTCTCCACATTCTCCTCTTTCTATCTCCTCACACAATTGCTTTAACAGTGGATCTACATTTTTGTTTGGATTTGTTACCTGTCAAGCTACTTCTGCTTCTTCCCCTATGAATGCCTCGCTTCATTCTTTTTGGGAGAAGTTTTCTTTGGAGAGTGATCGGGCGTTGAATTCTGAAATTTATTTTCTTCGATGCGTTGATGCTGAACGTTAGTTTAAAATTTTTAATTTACGTAGTGAATGTCAAAATGGTAAAACGTCAAAATGGTAATATTCCTATAAAATGTCAAAATGGTAATATTTCATATGGTAAATAACAAAACGGTAATATCTCAAAACGGTCAATTTTCATAATGGTAACTTTCAAAATGGTAAAATGTCAAAATGGTAATATTCCTATAAAATGTCAAAATGGTAATATTTCATAAGGGTCAAATTGCAAGGCGTCTAAAATGCCAATCTTATACTTGTATTTTTAGCGAAACTCCCGTTCATTTACTATGCAAATCTTTCTCCCCTTTCTGATCATGAGCAACATATAAACAATTTGGGAGAGGCATTGGTGGATGTTGGCGATACTCCTGCCAGAATCCAACTAGGTTATATTTTTTAATTTTATTTATTTAATGTCTTTTAAAGGTTGTTATGAACAACTTTATACATTAGAAAGGGCAGCATCTCCATCGCCCGTCATTAAAAATTCTTTGAAACACCAAGGCTTTATTTTTATATTTTTTCGTCTTTTGGTAGAGAATTGTGCTTCATCTAATGCAGATTTGGAGAGTAGATGGTTAGACTGGACGGGGGCTGGACAGATTTACAAGGTTTGCCTTTTTGACTTTGAATTGGAGATCGAGATTTTTGAAAAGCTTGGGTCTCTTCCCGGACTCTGAATTCCTGTAGTCCACAAGGGCGTAGCAGGAGGTCGATTTCAGGGGAGCTTTCCTTCCTAAAGTTTTTTTCATTTTTCCCATTTCAGGGGAGGCTATAGCCTCAGAAGCCCTCTCCTCTGGCTACACCCTTTGAGTCCAGGAAAAACCTAGGCCCAGGAAAACCTTAGGAAGGCCAAAAAATGCCTGGGCCTGGACCCTTGGTACAGGAATACTCTCAGGCCTTGGTCCAGTCCCAGCTCGATCTCTACATTAAATTACCCATATTTTTTAAAGTATTCTCCGCGTTGTTGGGACCTTCAAAAAGTCTGTCTGTTAAAAAGTATTGGGCAGTCAACAACATCAACACCTTTTGTCTACATTCTCCTCTGTGAATTTAATTCAATTTTGCATCCATCTAATACTATAGCGGCGTTGGATTTTTGTGAAAGGCTGAGAAGTCGAAATTGTGGATTTGTTGCTCTATATAAGGTTTTTTGGAGTTTTTTGGGGAAATTTTTTTGCGGACAATATTTGCGTACTCGAGGATTAGGATCGGCTGATCCGAAAGGAAACCTGGAGTTACGGGAATTTAGTTGGGAGATGGGGTTGTTTGGTGTAGAAATGGCTTTTTGAGGACTTTTTCCAGTCGTTCCCTTGAGTCCGCAAAAATTTGTCCGCAAAAGTAAAAACTTGTCCGCAAACGCAAAACTTTGTCCGCAAACTCAAAAATTTGTCCGCAAAAAAAATTTTTTTAAAAAGGTTTCTCAAAGTCATTGCCCCTCTCCAAAACAACAAAAACAATATCCCTACCAACAACAAAAATCATTTGACTATCAACCACAAAAAGAAACGAATCTTTCTCCCAATTGGCCATTACAACAACAATATAGAAGACAACAACTTGGGAGGATGGGTCGCTCCCATGATGAACGTGTAAGTATTGGAGCTAGGAAAGAATCACAACAACAACACTCTCCACCATCTCCTCGTCCGATTTCTCAGAGAGAAAGTGAAAAAGGTTTGAAATTTCATTTTGTCAACTTTCACTTTGCCAAGGGCTTATTTCGTCCAATTTGTCAAATTTTCGTTTAGGCCATTCCCAGCAGTCTTTAAACGATAGAGGAGGTACTGAAAGGCTTCGCCGTTTAATTTGGGCCAGAGAACAGCAACATTCGTTAGGGTGGGATCAACAACAGCCTCAACAATGGTTCGGACAAACAACAAATGGAACGTTACTTTAATGCAATAAATTTAATTTTTTTATTTTTGAAGAATTTTTGATTACTTTTTAAAGAATTTCTTTAAAATTTTATCAAAAAAATTTTTTTGATAAAATTTTTGAAATTTTTTTCATTTTTTGAAATTGGCGTTTTTTGCGCACATTTGAAATTTTTTTATAAATTAAAAAAATTTTTTTGGCATTTATTCGTCATTTTCTTTTAAAATTATCTAACCTATAGTTAGAGAAAGAAAACGAAAATTTTTGGCTCTACCATATTCTGCCAATATCATATTTTGCCAACAGGTTGAAAACCACACATATTGTCATAAAGTTGGTTACCCTTATTGGTAAAATATGACCTTGGCTTACTGGCAAAATGGCAACATTTTCCCTTACTGGCAAAATGTGTGGGAACGGAATTTTTTCTATTTTTCTTCAAAACAGCGCGTAGATCATTCGAGAACTCTCTCTTCTATAAGGAAGGAATGTTGGGGGCAAATTTTATTTTTTTTATTTTTTGCTTTCCTTTTTCAAAGAAAGTGAGTGGAGGGACGTAAATTTTTTTTTCTTTATAGATTATTTATTTAAAAAAATTCACTTTTCTTCGATTTCTTCAATTTTTGTGGCATTGAACATAAAAAATGAGTGACAAGGTTACTACTTGGTTTTCACTTATTTTCACAATTTTTACTCTTTTTTAGGCATTAAAAGAAAAGGATTTGGGCAACGAAGCTTACAAGAAGAAGGATTTTGCTAAAGCACATGAACATTATGACAAGGCTATTGAACTTGACCCGAATAATATTGTGTTTTATAATAATAAAGCAGGTTTGTTTCAGTTAATTTTACTTTTTGGGATAGGTTTTGAGTAGTTTCGCTGTTGTGAAGGTTCGATCTCACTGGCGGGTTTAAAACAATGGAAGCTTCCGTGGGTCTGATTTCATGGGGTTTTCGCCAGTATTTTGATTCTTTTTGGGGCCAAAATTGCGAGCCAGTTTTCCCCGTTTCAGGGGACTAGTTCGCAATCGAATTTGTCACTAGGGGATATCCTATATCTAGTTTTGACTAAAAAGACTAAAAAAATTTTTTTAAGCCGTCTTCTTTGAAGAAGGAAAGTATGGAGAGTGTATCTCAATGTGTACAAAGGCTGCTGAAGTTGGTCGTGAGAACAGAGCTGATTACAAACAAATTGCAAAGTTGGTTGTTTTCAATTTTTTAGCATTTATCAAGGATGGGATGGGTTCCCCAAATACAAACCCCGGATTTTCAAACCGAAATGCGAGGACGATCCGGCTCGACTTAGTTTTTCTTAACCCGTCCCATCCTTGATAACTAGGGTTGTGCCTCGTCCTCGAAAGCGGGGAATTTGAAATGGTTGTGGAAATCCCCCTCACTCCGATCCTCCGTGGCGCTACTTCTCCGAAAATTTTCTACATGTTCCTTCCTCCCTGTCGGATAACAACCATATCGCTAACTATTGATTTTTAAGTTTTATTTTCAGAGCTTATGCTCGTATTGGCAACAGTTATATGAAACAAGACGACCAATCCCAGGCTTTGCATTGGATTGAAAAATCTCTCTCCGAACATCGTGACCCTGAAATTGTTAAGAAACAAAAGGAGTTGGAAAAATTGGTTAAAGAGAAGGAACGTTTGGCTTATATTGACCCAAAAATCTCTGAAGAGGAAAAAACCCGTGGAAACGAGCTTTTTAAGAAAGGTTTTTATTTTTTTGAGGTTTAACATTTAAGGGCAGGAGAGCAGGTGGAACCTTTCACGGGGACAAGTGTTAAGGTGATTTTTAGCCTTGTTCCCTTGGAAGGTGTAAATGAGTGGGAACTCCCATCGTCCCTGGTCAACACTCGTTCTCTGGAATGAGGACGGTGGCTCTGGTTAGGAACCTCTTACCGAGGACGGTGTCACCTCTTACCGTTCCTCGGTCAACCCTGCGAGGACGGTGGTTTTGGGTGAGTCCCCACTGTTTCCGGTCAACCCACGACGTGGGGATGAGGACATGGCAGCGGGAACTTCCTGTTGTTCCAGGTCAACCCCCATCTTTGAGGATTGATAAAAAAATATTTTTTTCCAATTTTAGGCGACTATCCTGGTGCAATGAAGCATTACAATGAAGCTCTTAAGCGTAATCCGGATAATCATGTGCTTTATTCTAATAGAGGTTTTCTTTTAAATTTTACAAATAAATTTCAAATTAATTTAGCTGCTTGCTATACAAAATTGATGGAATTTCAAAGGGCTATTGATGATTGTGATACTTGTATAAAACGAGATCCGAAATTTGGTAATTTTTTTTTATTTTTTTTTGGGTTTACTTGGGGCCATTTTAGAAGAAAAATTATTTTGATTTTTTCTGAAACTCTTCTGATTTCTTGTCCTGATTTTATTCTGCTTTTCTGATTAAATTCTGATTTTCTTCTGATATTTCTGGTATTTCTGATTTTTTATTCTTTTCAGTCAAAGCCTATATTCGCAAGGGAGCAGCTCTTTATGCAATGCGTGAGTATAGTAGAGCCCAAAAAGCTTATGAGGATGCAATGACAATTGACCCAAATAATCAAGAGGCTATTGAAGGATTCACGAATTGTATTCGTTCTAATGATGAAGATCCTGAAAAGGCTAGGGAACGTGCTTTGCAAGACCCTGAAGTTCAAGAGGTTTGAAAATTTTTTGGGAATTTGAACTTTTATGGGCCTGAACTTTTGGGACCTTATAGTATTTATTCTATCTTCCCATGTTTTACCTCTCTGCAAGACCAAAAGTTTAAGATGTTTGGCAAAAAGGACTTTGTGGGGTCCTCTATAGTAGGTATCGTCGGCTAGTCCCCTCGGGACCCAGAAGTTGAACACGTGGTTCCTCAATTCATGGAAATAGAAAGAGATCATTGAATAGAAAGATGCCTATAAAGTTCACACTTCCCACATTTTCAAATAAAACTAATTTTAAAATATTTTTTCAGATTTTGCGTGATCCAGGAATGCGAATGCTTTTGGAGCAAATGAGTCAGGATCCGGTTATATTTTAGCTAAATTTTTCCTTAATTACCTTTTAATTTTTAGAACGCCGCTCGTGAGCATTTAAAGAACCCGGACATTTTTTCCAAATTAATGAAACTGCGCCAGGCTGGAATTATTCAAATGCGTTGAGATTGGAGATGAATGTGACGATTTAATGGAGGGAAGGTTTGGAGAGAATTTAAAATATTTAAAAAATTTTTGTTTTTGCTCTTCAGAAAATTATAAAGAAACGGTCCATTCCTTCTGAAAATCCTCCAACACGTTTATTATTATTTTTTTGATTTTTTTGACTCGATAAAAATTTTCTTCCTTTTTTTAACGACAGGGAATCAAGTTAAAAAGCCCATAATTAAAAAACAATCTCTTGAATTTTATCGATAAAAATAAAGATTTTTAAAGAGGGTCAAAAGATAGGTTTCTCTAGAGTTGGTCCTAATTCTTCGTTTTGCTCGACAATGATTTATAGGCCATGCATCGATCCTCGTCCATCCATTCTTTACTCCGTATGCCCGATAGTCTTCCCAACATCCCTGTTCTCCGAAAATGTTCTCTACAACGAATCGAGGACCAACCCTAGTTTTTTTTCTAATCCGAAAATAAATATATGTATAACTAACATAAAAATGTATACCTGTGAAAGAAAAGAGAGTTTGAATGTACAAATAAGATAGAAAAAAATTTAGATTAGAGATATAATGTCGGTCATTCAGTTTCGTTAAAAATAAAAATAATTTTCCCTGAGCGGGTTCGAACCATGGACCTCGAATTTTGAACAAATTTAAGTTTTCCTTCCCCGAATATATCTCTAATATAAAAAAACAAGTTTAAAAAATACACTTTAACCCCTAGCAAATCGATTTCTAAAATAACAAATACCAAGCCACACAGCTAGTCCAAAAGCTAAGCTCATCGCATAAAGATCCCAGTCTGGGCCTAGTAAAGTGTCCAAATTGTCCAGAAATTTAAATGAAATGCCTCCTTTTTGAGCAAAATTCTTTAAAAATTTAAATTAATTTTAAAATTTTTTAAAGAATACCATCATCAAAAATTCAATTTTAAGTTTAATTAAAGCTATAGTAACAGGCCAAAAAGCATCTGTACTCGTTTCAGCTGCAGAGTCATAAAAACGTTTTGCTAGGTAAAGGTCCTATCAGAAAAATAGATTTATTAGAATGGAGAAATCAACAAACTTTGTTCACTCCAATGCCATTCTCGTGCATATAACCCAAATTGAACCTGAAAATTAAAAAAAATTGAAGTCGGTCCTCAGTATAAGATACATCTTTGGGATTGGAAATTGATCTTATAATGAGGCGTATCTTGAAATGGAGCCATCACTTACATTAAACGACTTCCCCTACCCAATAGCAGGCGTATCCAGGGGTGGATTTGGGGTGGACCCACTTCAGCCTCATGAAATCTGACCACTGGACCAAAATTTAAATTGAGGTTTATCCCATTTTGGGTTCTTATAACGAAGTTATTAAATTTAAAAATACATTGCTTGTGCATTTTGATGTGTTTGAGCAGCTATTTTATAATGTTCTGCTGCTTCTTGCAAATCGGAATCACTTCCAAGGCCATAATATTTATAATCTCCCAGTTTTACACGGGCAACGGGATAATCCTTTGGAAAAATTTTTTTAATTTCAAAAATTTTCAAAAAAACCTGATTAGCAGCCCTTTGCCAATTCATAAAAGCCCTTCTATAAGCCTCCTCCTTACTAAACAAAGCCAATTTTTCATCTTTTCCACCTCCCTCCTGCGAGTCAATTAAATAGGCAAAATTAGTCTGCGCTGCTTCATATCCCAATTCTGCCAAAAATAAATATCTGAAAGCAGCCTCGTCAATTGCATTGTTTTGAAATTTGAGATAAGCGTCCATAAAGCGTTCTGTCCAACGTCCCCTCTCTGCTACATTTTTGTATAAGGCTACAGCAAATTTACAATTTCGAAATACTCCTGTGCCTTTTGCATGCATTTGGGCTAAATTGTAAATTGCCAAAATATGTCCAGATTGGGAGGCAAGTTGGAAATGTTTTAATGCTTGTTTAAAATCTCTGAAAAATTATAAGTAGAAATTTAATTAGAAAAAAATTTTTTTAAATTTTAACAAAAAGTAGGGATGGGGTGGACAGAACTGTAGGGACCAGTCAATTTTGAAAACGTTAAAAAATCTATCTCAAGGCCCTTGCCTCAAGAGTAGGTAAGAATCTTAGGGAACATCCCCATTCCAAAATATCATAAGTTCTCTCTAATTAACGCCCACTCTCTAATATAAGTCCACTCAAAATGACTTGTTAAAAATAGAAGCCCAGGACTTTAATTAGAGCATTTACGGCATTAAAAAAATTTTCCAAACCTTTTAACACCCAATCCTTGGTAATACATTTGGCCAAGATGGAGTTGTGCATCAGAGGATCCTTTAAAAAATTTTAAAAAATAATTTTAGTAAACTAAAAAACCTTGTTCTGCAGCTGCAGCAAAGAATTTAAGTGCCTTTTGTGAGTCGGCTTTAATTCCATAACCATATAAATACATTATTCCAATACCCGCCTGGCCTATTGAATTTCCCTGGAAAAAAATTTTTTTTGAAGAAATTTTTTCAAAAAAATTTCTACTTTATCAGCAGCCTTTGTAAAATATTTTAAAGCCGTATCATTATTTTGAGGAGTCGCTGAAGTTCCTTCCAAAAACATTCGTCCAAGATAGCCGTTAGCTTGTGCACTCCCAGCATCAGCAGCAATTTGAAAATATTTGCGAGCTGCTTGCTGTTAAGAAAAGAAATCAAAATAAATTTTTGAGGAAAAAATACCAAATCCATGGGAACACCTTTTCCTCCAGTTAGATAAAGTTGGGCTAGTCCAAGCTGAAAATTTTTTTGAAATTTTAAAAATAAAAAATTTCGACAATTTTGCCCAGAGGAGCAGAAAAAAGTCTCTTATAATGAGGTAATTTAAATAGAGGGTATCGTTTAGGTATCGTTTAGGAAGCTCCCACCACCCAATAGCCAAATACAAACTTCCCAACACATTTACAATTATTTAAAAAATAATTTCCCCGTGTGGGTTCGAGCCCCTAACTTCAAATTCTAAGGGAGAGAAAATTATTTTTCTTTCACAAAATTCTTTTGAAAAAATTTTTTGAAGGGAAAAGCTTCTTTTAATTAAAAAAATATATACCACAGCCTGTATATCTCCAGTTTCTGCCAAATATTTATAATAAGAAAATACATTTGTGTCCAAAATAGTTCCAGCAATGGAAGAGGATTCCTTAAAAAAATTTTTTTTGAAAAATTCTCGAATTAAAAAAATCCAAACAATTTCATCAGGTATTCGAATGCGTTGAACAGAGGGCATTCCAGTCAATTTAACTTTTTTGGCAACTTTATTTGCAACTTTTTTGTACCAAGTTAAAGCTGTTTCGCAATCCTGTTTTACTCCAATTCCGTGGCCATATCTGTAGCCCTACAAAAGAATTCTTTTTGATAGAGAATACAAATTGGGAGGTGACAACAGATCCCATGCCCATAAAAATTTTCTTTGAGGTGACAAAAGATCCCACGACCTTAGAAAAATTTTAAAATTTCTTCAAAGGTTGTGGGATCTTTTGTCATCTCAAGAAATCTTTTTCGAGAAAATTCAAACAAACCAGAGCCATTTGAGCCAAAGGATTTCCGCCTAAAGCAGCAAAGGTGTAATGCAAAAATCCAAGTCCAATATTAGGCCCATCCTTCATCCCAGCGCCAGTTGAATATAAAAAGCCTAGACCGAGGTGAGCATCTGCTGAACCTGTCTCGGAAGCCAATTGTTCAAAAATTTTGGAAGCCTCGTCTATACTCCATCGATAGTCGCCAAATAAGTAGGAAAAAGCTGAAAATGATTTGAGGTGACAAAAAATATCCGAAAATTTCAAAAAATAAAAAAACCTAAAATTTTCTTCGCGTCGTCAGATCCCAGTTTAGCCGCCTCTTCAAGGTCAGTATAAGCTGCTCGAATGTCTTTTTGAGCAATTTCAGACCATCTCTTCTTTGATAAAATATTTAAGGCGTTTTCATAGAGGACCTCCGCTTGTAAATTGTTACTAAAAATTTTTTTAATTAAAAAAAATTTTTTTGAGGTGACAAAAAATCCCAAAAAATTTTTTTCGAAATTTTAAAATTTTTTTTAAAAAAATTTCTGAAATTCCTAAAAATCCAAAAAACCCCTAAAAACCCCTCACATTTTATTCTTCTCCGCAACAAACTCTTCAAACCCCAAAACTTCATTATTTTCCTCCTCAACTTCCTCCGCCTTTTTAGTTTCTTCTTTCTTTTCGTGGGTATCATCAGACAGAAAATCTTCGATAGAAAAAACTAAAAAAAATTCTTTTAAATTTTATTTAACAAAAAACCATTTTTGTCTTTCAAGTCTCCTTTGGAATCCATAAGAACAATTCTGGCGGTAATTTTAGTCTTTTTATCTTCGAACACATCAATCTCCTCTTCTTCACCTGATTCCTTTGGTTCTTCTGAATAAAAAAATGAAAAAAAATTTTTGAAGATGGAGGGAGGGGAGGTGAATATCTCAGAAGATCAAAAGGATGACAAAATATCCCAAAATTATAAAAATAAAGTCCTAAAACATGCCCAAAAGTGTGTTTTAAAAATTCCTAGCCTAAACCTCACCCCCAATTCTACTTTTAAAACAAATTTAGATTTTTTAAAATTAATAGGCCACCGCAAAAGAAAAACAAGAAAAAACTGGTGGAGGAGGTAGGAACAAAAAAATAGAAAGAAAGAATTAGGACGGGACAAAACTTGGCCTAAAACCCAGCCTAAAAGCCCCAAAACTCCCCAAAAAAACAAAACTAACCATCCAATTCTTCCCTTTTCCTCAATTCACCTTCAGAATTCAAAAGTACAACATTATCCGGATTTGGGTCATTTTTAACTTCCTCAATATCCTCGTCTTGTTCGTTGTCTTCCCTCCTCTTTTCAATTGTCGCATTTGAAAATAAAAATAAAATTAATAGAAGAAGAATTAAATTTAATTTAAAAATCATTTTGTCTGAAAAAAAAATAAAATTTACTAAAATTTAAAATGAACAAAAAAAATCCCAGACGTTGAGTAAGCTAACGTAGAAAATCTACGTAACGTTAAAAGAGGGACACGCCAAGTAGGCGCGCGGTCATACTGCGCAAAGCCATAACTAGCTGGAAAATTTCTGTTCCTTATCAATTTTGGTACCAAACTCTTTAGCTCGGTGAGAGGAATCGTTTAATACCAAATTTGGTAGGATTCGGAAATATTGAAGCAAGTTATAGCTTTGCGCCGTTATGGCCGCGCGCCTATTTGTACCCGTTAAAAGAATGGGGAAAATTTCTCTAAAATGGCCTCTCCATATTCTGCCAATAAAGGTAGAAGCCCTCGTCTTGCCAATATGTTTTTTTGTCGAAATGTGGAAGTTTACCCTTATTGGTAACTTGTAAATTTGGCAAAATAAGGTAAAAGCCCTTTCAGTGTCTAAAACCTCTCATTTTTACATTATCTCTCACCTTTGGGATAAAATGTCATTTATTAAAAAATAAAAACATAACGCCAAAAATTAATATTTTTAAAGTTAGAAAATTTTTAAATTTTGTTTTTTACTAGTTTTTTGAAATTTTTGTAGGTTTTTTGCTTAGTTTTTCGTTTTCTTTTCAATATTTTTCCTTTTTGAAGGAGTTTCTGTTGTATTTTTACTAGCTATACATTTTGTTTCCTTAAATTTTCTTTAATTTTCTCCTTTTTTTAGATTTCTCCTAAAATGGCCAAAACAACCAATTTTATTTTATTTTCTTGTATTTTCTTGTATTATATATTTTGGCAAAGCTCTGCAGGTGTCCAAACATTATTTTACAAACTACTACATTTTTTTTACATGGCTTTTGTTTATTGAAAATATGTTGGATGGATTAATTGGACAAGGAAAATTTATTTTTTAAACGGTCAGGTTGGGAAGCTTTTTTGTTATAAAGAACCTCTATTTTAAATACTCTTTGTATTAGATACTTGGTTAGGATTTCTTTTTTTAATTTGATTGGCCATTAGTAGGGGAAACTGAGTGACCCCTCCCCTAATTTAAGATAACCTCATAAGAGAATCTGGTACTTTTCAGTTCTGCCACATCCCTGACCATTCCACAAAGCCTGACCATTCTGTACGTATGAAGAATAAATATAAAATATAACCTGCGAATATATGGGAGGGTGTGGCTGAACCGAAAAGTACCGAGAATTTTACTGATTGTTTATTTTTTAAAATTTGGTTGACCAACAGTTGGGGGACCATTATAAATTTAAAAGTGAGGTTCGACTATTTTTTATTAAAAATTTTTTGAAATATTTTAACCGTCTTCTAAATATTATTTTTTAAATTTAATTTTTATTTTTTACGTGCATTCCAACTATTTTTTTATTTATTTTCAGTTCATTTTTTTATTTTTTTTTTCTGCCACCCACACCTATTTATAAACCTTTTTTTCATTTTAAAAAAATTTTTGAACCCCTTTTTTCACTCAAATATTTATTTATGTATTTATTGTCCATTTCCTTCCTCCAACATCCTTCTTTTGTTCTCGTTCCACTCCCCCCTACCATTAGAAACACTCAAAAGTATTTTTGTTTTTGTATTATACTCTTCTCATTATCTCTCTAAAAAGCTTATATTCAAGCTCTCAAAAATCTGCAAAAATTTGTTTTGTTTGCCAAAAGGGTTTGGCCTGAAAAATAAATAAAAGTAAAATATTATATTTTTGTTAATTGTAAGCTTATAAGGGATGCAAGGGGTTCAGGATATATCTAGGATTACTCGAAACCTAATCTGAAACTCGTGATCCGAAGAAAATTTTTTGAAACAATTTCTTATCCCGTGACATCTCTTACAGAAATCCCCATATATATGCGCACACACACTTTTTTTTAGCTAGAAATCGAAAATTTTAAAAATTAAAGGCATGGAATCCAAGAAACCCTAAGCCCAGGAAACTCAAAAATTATCTGGGGTTAGGCTCTGGGTTTAAAAACTGTTCAGCAACTCCTTTTCTAATTTTATGAATTTTTGTTCAAAATTTTACTTGGATCAGGACGTGGGATCTTTTTGAGGGTATTTTTTCTATTCTCAATATTTTTCTCAACTTCAATTTTTCTTCTCTTCCACTACTCCCCTTATTTTTAATTCTTCCCTCATTTTCTTCCTCATTTTCTCTCCTCTTCAAAATTTTTTCTCTTTTTCCCATATATCCACTTAAACTCTGTCCCATTTTTAGGATAATCCAATCTTTTGTTTCTTTCATTTTTTCTCTTCAAATCCGTTCTTGATGAGGCCAAAAAAGGAGAGAGGTTCTTCCATTTAAGGTTCCATTTGGTAATTAGCGCGCAAAGAAAAAGCTTTCTCTCTGATTTTTTAATTATTTCCGCCTTAATAAATTTGAAAAGAAATTTTTTCAGAAGAAAATTTCTCAAAAAAAAATTTTAAAAAATTTCAAAAAATTTTTTAGAAAAAATCTTTAAAAAAAGGAAAGAAAAAGGTGCGCATTCTCTTTGCGGACAACTTACCATTTACCAAATTTTCCTTGGAAATTCGAAATTTTTTTTGAAATTCCCAAGAAAATTTTAAGAGAATTTTTTCATAATTTTTTAAAAAATTTTTTAGATTTTGGTAATTCTTTGGTTGTCGCCCCCCTTTTTTTATGCTTCCCTGACCATTTTGAGCTTTTTTGCTTTGACATATAATAATTTACATATCATTCGAAAGAGCTATCTTAGCTGAGTTGATTGGTACTATGATCGGTTAGATTTGGCAATTTTGAACAGAATTATGAAGCTAAATCCTTTGTGGACATGTTTTTTGCGATGTTGAAAGGGATTAAAACAATTGCTCATAACTATGTTGATTTAATTCAGATTTCAACGATTCTAGTGCCGTTCGACTCAGCTCGAACTGCTCTTTCGAATGTATATAAAAGTTTATAGAAATTTCATGGAAAATGTAAAAAAATAGAACATAAAGAAGGGGGGGCGACAACCGAAGAATTACCTAGATTTTTTGAATTTTCGAAAAAAATTTTCTAGGCGCCTAACTGTCACTTACACCTACCACAAGTTTTATTAGTCAAGGTTAAAAATTTTTTCCAATCATTCCCCCAAATAAATATATAAACTTCTGCTGCGCGTAATATATATCCAAGCATTTTTAATATTGTTTCGCGCCGTTGCTCTCGTAGAAAATTACACCCCTAAAAACACATTAAAATAAATAAATATATTTTGCTTGATCGACTGCCAATCAATTTTACGATTATTTTAAAGGGGGAAAAATTAAAGATTAAAAATATTCTGATTTTTGTATTTTGGGTATTTTCTTTAAATTTGTATTTTTCTCTCTTGTATTTTTGATTTCTGTATTTTTTTGTATTTTTGTGTGTATTTTATTTCCGGAAATTTTATAATTTTGTATTTTCCGGATTATACTCTATGTATAATCCGGAAAATTCCGATTATGTATAATCCGGACATTTCCGGATTGTATTTTTTCATTTAATTCTCTAGTTGTATTTTCCGGAATTAGTTATTTGTATTTTTGTTTTCCAGATTATATTGTAGTTTTTTCCGGATTATATTTTTACGCTTAATTTTTATTTGCATTTTTCCGGAATTATTTTATTTGTATTTTCCGGTTTTATTTGTATTTTCTAATTTTATTGTTTGTATTTTCCGGAATAGTTCTTATTTAAATATGTATTTTTAAACTTCTTTTAATTTCTTCTTATTTATTTCTACTTTTCCAATTAAATTACAAAAATCTCCCCCTCTAAGCTTGCTATAAACGGTCTCCGCGGATATTTTTTCTTTAATTTTATTCTCATTCATTTTTAATTTTCTTCAATCACTTTTTTTCTCATTTTCTTCTTTTGATGCTTTTAAACCTGTCCTTTTCCGTCCATCACCTAAATACCAATTTAATTATATATTAAAAATCTTTTTTTTTAATTTATTTTTATTTTTTTCACAGGTATTTAATCATAATAAAATTATAAAAAAAAATAAAAAAAAAATTAATTTTTATGTCAAAAAAATTTTTTTTCGGTAACCCACCTACAAATAAATGTTTAAAAAAATAAAAAAAATAAAGAAAAGATTTATTGCTTTATTTTTACAATAATTTTTTTTTGTTTTCCATGCACGGCGGTATTTTTTTCTTAAAAAGAAAAATTTTTTATTAATTGTTTTCCCTTAATTTTACCTAATTTTTGTTTGTACAAGTTTAATTGTTTTGTGGTTTTTTCTTTTTTTATTTTCCCAGAACATTTAATAAAAGAATTTTTATTCTGAAATAATCCGGAAAGTATTTTTTGTGTTTTTTTATTGAAGTTTTAATTAATTTTGTATTTTTTCCGGTTGTATTTTTATTAGGTTTTTACTTATTTTTATTTGTATTTTCCGGAATTGTTCCTGATTTGTATTTTTCCAAAACATTTCTGAATTATTTTGTATTTTTGCCGGAATATTTGTATTTTTGTGTATTTTATTTTTCCGGATTGTATTTTTTTTTGTTTTCTGATTTTCTATTTTGTTGCCTATTTTTCTCATTTTTCAGAATATTTTTGAATTATTTTTATTTGTGTTTTCCGGAGTATTTATTGGTACTGATTATTCTTTTTTGTATTTTCCGGTATATTTTCCCACCTTTCCGGATTTCTCAATTAATTTATTTTTGTGTTTTTTCCGGAATGTATTTTACAGTTGTATCAATTGTTTTTCCATTTTTGTATTTTCGAAAATTTTGTATTTTCCGATAATTATTTAATTTTTAACCTTTAAGCATGTTAAATTTATCATTACCACAAAATCATAAAATACTCAATTTTTTTTTTTGTAAATTTCCGTTTCGCATATAAATTAATTTCCGGTATTTTTTCTTTTAATTTTTAATTTATTTTTTTTCAACTTCCGTTTCACTGAGTCGATTGATAGCACCGCAACAAGTTAAAGGGGGAAGGAAGATTTTAACTGATGCGCAAATTTTTTTTTCTAATTTTGAAATTTTTGTTTTTATAGGAGAAGTAAGGTTAAAAGAAAATTAAAAGTATATAAATTGACTCCGACAATTAATTTTTAGTTATTCTCCCAAAAATCTCTTCTTCCCCTCTAGCGATTGTTGCGCATTTTGTTAATTTGTGGTGGTGATGATTTTTTTTTTATTTTAAAAATAATTTTTAAAAATTCAAAAAATATTTTAAAAAATTTATTTGTGGATTTTTAAAATATTTTTGATATTTTAGAATTTTAAAAATTATTTTTGGAGTATTTTTTAGTTGAAATTTAATTTTTGAAATTTTTAAAAATTTTATTTCTTCCAAAAAATCTAAAAAGGTAAATAAAAATTAGCCCCAATTAATTCTATTTTGAACCACATTTTTATATAAATTCAACACTTTTTTGTTTTTTTTTTCTTTTTTATCGTCCAAGAATGCGCAATTTATATTTAGTTTTAGGGCAGTTTTTCGTCTTTTTTTGTCGTCTTTATTTTTTTTTCTATTACCTTCCTGTCAATTTAAATCAGTGAAAAAAACAGTTAATTGTTTAGAGACGACTTTTTTATACTCATTAGAGCCTTATTTTTATTTTATTTTTAATTTTTGGGTAGAAAAATACAATTAAATTAAACCAAAAAATTTATTTTTTTAAGTCAAACCAATATTGAAAAATAAATTAAAAAAATTTTTTTGAAATTTAAAAAATTCAATTTTTAATTCGGAAAAAACGCATGCCTTCATTAAAATTTTTTAAAAATTTTTCTAGATTCTCTAGCCCCTCTAAAATTAAAAATTTTTTTTTCTAGACTCCTGACCTCACTATATTTTTTTAAATTTTCTAAGCTCTGCCTAATCTCTCTAAAAAATATTTTTATTTTTCTAAACCCTTTCTGACCCTCTAGAAAATTTTTTTTATTTTTTTTTCAAAATTTTCTAAACTCCTTCTAACCCTCTCTAAAAATGAATTTTTAAAGAATTCAAATTAACCTCAATCCAAACTTTTTTTTGAATTTTTTTGTCCTGTCCGAACAGCAATTTCCCGCTGTTTAAAGTTAATTTATTACTTTTAATTTATTTATGTGTCTCTGATCATCCAAAAAAAATTTTTTTCTTTTTTTCTAATTTTTTTTTCGCGCAGTTTTGCATTTTTTGCTTTGTTTCAATCAGTGTCTTTTGTTGTTTATAAAATTCAAAAAATTAAAAAAAAATTATTTTTTAAGCTATACACATTTTATTATTTTTTTTAATAAAAATATTTTACTAAATTTTAAGCTTCACTTGGTTTGGAATTATTTTGCTGTTAAATTGCCTATGGCATTTTCCCACAAAAAATAAAATTTGAAAAAAAATTTATATTAAATTTGAAAATATTTTTTTTCGATTTTTAGGTCTTTTTAAATTTTTTGGATATTTTTATTTTATTTTAAAAAAATTTCTAGAATTTTTTAAAATTTATTTTAAATTAAAAAATTTTATTTTTTTCTATTTAGCTATTTAAAATGACTTAGAATTTTTTAAAGATTTTTTTAAAATTTTTAGTTACTATTTTTAAATCAATTTTTCGTTGAAAGTTTTTTTTGAATTTTTTTTAAATTTTATTTTTTTATTAAAATATTTACAGCTCTATTTCACACTAAACCTTAGAATATTGTGTCCACAAATTCTTTTTAAGATACCTTTTTTGTTAAATTTAAAACCTTTTCTATTCAACCAAGCATGTTGTTGGTTGACCAACATGCCTCCTTGGAAACCTTTTATTTGAAAAAATTTTTTTCTTTTTATTTTTCTTGGGTTTTATATTTTTAAAAAGAGGGAGAGAACAATAAATTCCGAAAATATTTTAGAAAAAAGGTGACCATTTTCTGAGAAAAAAAAATTTTTTTTATTTTAATTGAGATAGACAAGGTGAACCACCAACAACGCTTACTCCGAGCCTCAGAAAAAAATTTTTTAGGAGTGAAATCTCTTCGATTTCGGTATCATTCGATGAAGCTCTTCAAGCTGCGTCGAATGATAGCAAAATTGAGGGGATTCGATTCTTGTGGAATTTTTTAGGAATTTTGGGGTAAGTGTGGTCTGACTTTGGAGGCTATTTTTCAAAGAAATTTTTTAATTTTTGGAAATATTTAAAAAAAATTTTCCTTTTAATTTTTGATTACACCTCAATTCTCTACTAACTCTCCAGCTGCTTCTCATTATTTATTTTGTAAGCTTCATCTAAATAATAATATTTTTTCTTTCCTTATTTTTCTTTCCTTATTTTTTCTTCCTTCTCCGCCCCTCATCCAACCACCTCCTTTTCCTTGTCGAAAAATAATTTTGTATGCAAATTGCTTTTACTTTTATGCGCGAAATAATTTTTAAAGAAAGAAAAATAATTTTTAAAAAATTAAGAAAATTTATTTTCTTAAAATTTTTGACTTTTTTTTTTAAATTTTTTGTCTCTCTAATCAATTTTTATTTAAATTTCCTTTCTTCAATTTTATCCCCCCTACTATTTATTACAACCTTTTTTATTTTATTCGAAATTTGAAGAAGCTTCTCTCTCCCCTTAATTTAATTTTTAAAATGCATTGTTTTTTTTTTGTTTTAAATTTATTTTATTTTTTTGAATTTAAAAAAGGAATGCTTTTTATTAGCATTTTAAAATTTGACAACAACAACAATAAAAATAAATTTTTATTCAATTCATTACTTGAAAATGCTAATTAGATTTATTTTTCGAATTTTATTTAATTTTTTAATATTTCTTCTGCAAGTCTCAGGTCGCTAGAAAAAAAAAGTTTTTTTTATTAAGGGGGCTCACTTACTAGAAAAAAATTTTTTGGGAAACAAAGTCTAACGTCATTAAGGGAGTGTCTTATAAATGGGAGGCATTGTTAGGTCATTTTGGGGCAAGATAAATTTAATCCTTAACTGAGAGTACTTCTGAGAGTACAAGTGAATTCTTCTGTAATTAAAAAAATTTTTTAAAAATATTTTTAAGGTAGTTCTTCTTCTTCATATTCTTTAAATTATGACGAGAAACGGGAAAGGAGAGAACAGCAACAATTACATGATGAAACAAATTTTGCTGAATGGCTTCCTGGACATGTTCAATCGGAGGGAGGTTTGATTATTTTTGCTTATGTTTTTTCTTAAATTCCTGTAGGCATTGGATTTTTTTTAGAAATTTTCGGGCAAAAAATTTTTAATTCATGAAGACCTGGGATTTATAAAAAAAAATTTTTTTTTAATTTTAATCCAAAAAATTCCAAAATTTAATAAAAAAAATTTTTTTGAGGCTTGGGAAAATTTATTGATTGTTTTCTGCCACCCTAGGATTTTTTAGATTTTTTTCGAAAATTTTTAATAAATTTTCAGCCCAAAAATTTTAAAATTTTTATTTTAAAAAATATTTTTAAAGGACTTTTTCTACTCGATCGACGTGCCCTCTCTGAAGGAGAAGTTTTGTTGTTTCGAACAAAAAAGAGTAGGCATCGAGCAATTCCCGTAATGAGTTCACAAAAAAAACAACAAAATTTTGGAAATTCAAAAGAAAAAATTATATCAACAACTTCGAGGTTTTCAGATGCTTTAACTTTTAAAGATTGGTTGAGGAGAGTGTATCATAATGGAGATAAAGGTTTTTTTTAATTTTTATTTTTTTTTGAGAGGGGGAGTGGGAGACTGAAACCCTTCGAGATGGGAGAAATTGGAAATTTTGAGAGCCCCCCCCCCCCCCTGAAATTTTTTTCGCCTACAACCTCCAAAATTCTCATAATTTTGGCTTCCCACCTTTTCTCTATTTTAGCCCCCCCCGGCTACGCACTTGGAGAGTGGCTTCTTCACTTTAATTTCTCAAATTTTTATGGAATTTTTAGAGGGACACTCCTATTTTTGTTTTCCTTCTTAAATCTTTGAAAGAAAATTTTTTTGGGAGGGGGTGGGATTTTTGGTAAAAATATTTTTTAATTCAATTATTTTTTAAACAAATTTTCACTCTCTCACCCCTCCTCTCATTATTTTTTTAATTTTAATAACAAAAAATTTCTTTCCGCCATTTCTCCCAACCAATTCCCCTAAATAATTACTTTTATTGTCTCCTATTTTTGGCGTACAAAAATGAGCAAATGACCAGTAATTTGAAAAAAGAAATCTTTTTTTTTCGAAGCAAATCTCTTTCCCCAAGTTTTATATAATTATTTTTGTAAGAGGGAAAATCCTCTTGTTTATATCAACAACAATAAAAAATTACCCTTCTCATCATCTCATTATTCCAATCCAGTTAATCCTTGGAATAAAGTTGAACAAAAAAAGAAGAAATTACAATAAAAAATAATTTAAGCTTATTTGGGTAGAAAATAATTATTTTTTAGATTAAAAATTGTGGGGAAAAGAGGGTTGAAAAATTTTGAAAATTAAAAAAAATTTTTTTGCGGACATCTTTTGCGGATTTTTAAGTAAAAGAATTTAAAATTTTTTTGCGGACATTTTTTGCGGACTTTTTAATTTTCAACAAAAATTTCAAAATTTTTCTAAAAAACTTTTCTTTTCAGCTTTAAAAATATCAGTAAGAACAACAGAAGTAGTTAGACCTGTTCTTCAACACTTATATGCAGCAACTCGAGGTCTTAATCGTTTTAATGCGCCGATAATTGTTCATGCGGTTTATTTAAAAATGTTAAATTTTATTTAAAAGAATTTTTTGCAGAATACTTTTCAAGGTGCAGGAATGGGTTCTGAGGTAATTATATTTTATTGCACTAGCTGAAGACTGAAAGGTTTTAAAAAAATGTTGAGAAATTTTTTTGCGGATTTTTTTAAGGAATTTTTTTGCGGATTTTCTTTTTGCGGACATAATTTTGCAGACTTTCGACAAATTTTTGTGGACATTTTTTTCAGACTTTTGTTGATTTTTTAAAAATAAAAGACGTCTATTAAATGTCCACAGAAGACGCTTATTAAATGTTCTGTTAAAAATCCGCAAAAGAAGTCACAAAAAAAATCCGTTTAAAATGTCCGCAAAAAGCCCTTCAGTCTTCACTAGTACTCTTTTATTTTATTCTTCCTCTTTAATTTTAAAAATTTTTTTTAGAAGCCAGTAGATATTGTTCCATTCCTTGAATCTGCTCACCAATTATTACCCGAAGCAATTCTTTCTTTGGGATGGACTACAAGTTCTTTTGAAAAAGGAGGTGGAGATTGGACGGCATTTAATAAATTGGATTGGCAACAAGCTTTTAGACTTTTACAATTACTTAGAGCTATGGAAAGGAGAGAACCTATTCTTTTAAATATGAGGCTGAATGATGCTGTACATTCTGCTGAGGTTTTTTTTATTTTTTTTGAGAATATTTTTGATTTTTCTGAATTTGCGGACATAATTTTGCGGACAAAACTGAAACCTGTTGAAATCTTTGAGGGTTTAACAAACGGTTACTGGTTCGTGACCAATACCCAAGGATCCAAATTTATTACACATCAAAACATTCTTGAGTTTCGGAAGATGGTTAGGTGTCCGCAAGTTTCTGTCCGCAAAAAATTTGTCAGCTAAAGACATGATATATTTATTCTAATAGAATGGCACGCACTATTAGTTTTTTTAATTATTTTTAGAAGCAAAGTTGGTATTTTGAATTTTTTGCCAGATTAAAATTGGAGTTGAAAAATTAATTGGTTGTTTTTCTATTAGAATAAATATTTCTGATTAAAAAATTTTTTCTTTCTTAAAGGTTTTGGAATGGCTCTTAGGCATCGATTCTCCTCCAATTTATTTAGTTTTGCGAGGAGATGTAAGTGATGTTGTTGATTCAGATTCTCCATTACGTAGACTGGCAAGGATTGGAATTGAGGAAAAAAATGTTAAAAAGAGGCGACTTTTATTTGATTTGGATGAAAGTTGGAGAAATCGTATAAGAAGGTTTGTGGCTCTTTCAAAATCTGGAGGTGATGACAATGGTGAATTTAGAGGGCAACAAAGTAATAAGGTTGGGGTTTTTAATTTTTTGAAAAATAATTTTGCCGGGTTGACATTTTAAAAATTTTTTGGGGAGTTGACATTTTGAAATAAAAAAATTTTTCCCTTAAGGATTTTTCTTCCTCTTCCCATTGGCTCAGTCTTCAATTTCCTTCTTCAAATCCAGCTGCTGGACGATCTTCCTCTCCCTTTCTCTCATCAACTGCTGTTTTAAGCCCTAAAGGAGTTGCCTTTTTGGGTTGGCCAAATGCTCTACTTTTGTATGATTTTGGAAAATTTGAGGAGGAAAAGGAAGAAAATGCTTCTCCAAAATTTAAAAAACAATTGGTTGAAGGACGTTTAATGTTTGTTACAAAAAGACAGACAAAACAAAAAACAATTTTGCCTCAAAGGAAGAGTGGAATGGTTTGATTTTTTTAATTAAATTAATTTTTTAATGTTTTCTTAGATGTCAGCAAGTTTTGTCCGCAAAAAAATTTTCAAAAAATTTTTTTTTTAATTTTGCGGACTAAACTTGCGGACTTTTAGGAACACTTAATTTATATTAATTAAAATTAATTTTTATTTTTTTTAAAAAGGTTATTTATTTGTTTGATCAAGAACCGGAATTTTTAAATTCTCCACGGGTACCTAATTCTATTCAGGTTTGTTTATTTTTTTGTTTTTTTTTGTTGGAATAAGAGGCCCTTGAATTAAAAGTAATTTGCAGACAAAATTTGCGGACTTTTTAAAATGTGATTTTTTTCATTTTGTCGGCAATGGGAGTGGCAATTAATTTATAAAATGTTTTGTTTTGCACACCTCTGTCAAATCGGGGACCAAAAATGAGGATAATAATTACGAGGGTTCTCTTCCTTTATGTTTCTTAAAATGTCCGCAAGTTGTGTCCGCAAAAAATTTAAAAAAAATTTTTTAATTTTTAAGGCATTTATTGGTTATGATGGACGTGTTTCTTTAGAAAATAAAAATTTAAATAAAATTGGTTTGTCCGAATTTTATGCAGAAAGTTCAACTGCACAATTGCCTATTTCAAATTGTTATGGTTTCAAATTGTTAGATAAAGGGTGGAGAGTTGAAATGGAGGTTTTTTCTTTTATTTTATTTAAAAATTTTTTTGAATTTCTGGAAAATTTTTTTAAAAGGTTTTTCTTGAAAATTTTCGAAAAATTTTTTCCCGAAAAAAATCCTCAAGTTTTGTCCGCATTTTTGTGAGGGTAGAGCTTGCGGACAAAAATTTGCGGATTTTTTAACGATAAAGTGAAATTAATTTTTTTTAAAGGTTTGGACAGAACAGTGTTTTCTAAATGACGAATTTAACGAGACAACAAAATTTTTAAATAATGAGGACGATAAAAGATGGATAAGTCAAAGAACGTTTGTACAGTTGGATACACCTGTTAATTCTAAGTTTGTGAAAATTTTTTTAAATTTTTTTTTGAAAATTTTTAATTTAATTTTTTAAAGCAAAAAACGTCGTAATATTGCTGTTGGTAAAAGCGGTGATGGTGCTATAGATTTTCTTGCAAGAGATTTGTATTATAACAATTCATTGAGGAGATCAAATTTTATGGCACTACAGTTTATTTTTTTAATTTTTATTTTATTATTTTTATAAAAAAAAATTTTTTTACGGTCGGACCTTACTTTAGGATACGTTTTTAATTTTATAGATTACTAGGGAGTGATCCATCCATTTTTGCCATCCATTTAATGCCTTTTCCTTTATTCTCCTAAAGAAAAGTCCGCAAATTTTGTCCGCAAAAATACCCTAACATTGTCAGAATGCCAAACAAGGGGGAAAAGATGTCAAGATATCAAAACCCATTTAACTAAAGTTTAGGGAACCCTTAATTAAATAAAATCTCAGTTAAAAGATGGGGATTGACCTACGAGGATAATAGCGAGGTCTGACTGTAAATACTAATACAAATTTTTATTTATATTTTTAATAAGCCATCCATTTTTCAGTCAAAATCCATTTGCGCCTTTTCACTTGTCTTCCCTTTAAAAAAATATAATTTTTCTGGTTCTAATATTAAAAAAAAATTTTTTGTTCCTTAACATTTTCGGAACCAGAAAAATTGAATTTTAAAATTTTGTGCTTTTTTTGTAGTTTATTTTTGATCTCCTAATTTCCAAAAATTTTTTTGTTTGTTTGTTTTTTATTGTAAATTTTTTATCGTTTTTTTTAATTTTTAAAAAATAAAAGTTCCGCCGATTTTTGGCGTGTTTAGAAAGTTGGTGTTTCATAAATTACCACTTTGAAATTATATATTCTGTTTTACATTTTGACGTTTTTACTCATTAATATTTCGAAATATCTACACAAAATTTTGGTCATTTTATTTTTATGTTCGAGATTTTTTACTTTTTTCGGTGTTCTATACATGTTTATCTTTTAAAAATTTTTTAGATTAACGTTAAAAGTGAATTTTCTTGTTATTAAATGGAAGAACTGCAAGAAGAAACTGTTGAAAACAACGACAATAATGACGAAATTGGGACTTTTAAAGAATTGGTTTATTTTTGATTTAGAGGAATTTTTCGTTTTTAAATCTTTAGGGAATAAATGAAGAATTGTGCAGTGCTTGTGAACGTATTGGTTGGAAAAAACCTATGCCTATACAACAAAAGGTTATTCCGATTGCCTTAAAGGGAAGAGATGTAATTGGATTGGCAGAAACTGGGTGCGAGGTTTTTTAGATTTTGGGGTGATTTTTTGGAGTGATTCTTACAAGTCTAGGAAATCGTTGGGAAGCTCAAAGTGGCCTCTTTATACATCAAGACTAAAATATTTCACGTTTACCTGTCTGCAGGCCAGTAACCAGGATTTTTCGAGTGGGGGCCGGGGGTGTGGTTGTTAAGGGTCTGCCTGTCCTTTCTCATCGGGGAACTCTCTTACCTAGCATGAACCCAATTAATGAACACATGGACCCCGTTTGTCAATTATCCATTTTTTCTAGTTCTGGTAAAACTGCAGCATTTGCTCTTCCAATACTTCAATCCTTAATGTCCAATCCACAACGTCTCTTCGCTGTTGTATTGGCTCCGACGAGAGAACTTGCATTTCAAATTTCGGATCAATTTGTGGCTTTAGGTGCAACTATCGGCCTCCAAGTTTGTATGTTTTTGAGTAAATTTGCTGAGAAATTCATAAACTTTAAAGCTACAATTGTTGGTGGTATTGATATGTCAACACAAACATTGTCTCTTTCTAAAAGGCCTCATGTTATTGTTGGTTAGTTTGTTGAAGGGGGATTTTGAACTTTATGAGCTCGTTTCATCTTCCTTATTCTCTACTATTTGAAATTAATTCCTTTTAATTGTAAGGGATAAGGTCGTATACATGGGGTTGGGGACGCTCTCCTCCTTAACTCTGTGTCCATAAATGCGCCTCTAGAGCAAGGGGTCTCCGTTTTTTGATCTGGTTGCCAATGGTGGTTGAGGTAGGGAACACCTCGGTTTTATCTCTTGGAAGCTCATTCATGAGTGTGTCCTTGGCTATGGATAAATGGTAAAATTGGGAAGATGAAAAAGGGGTCATTAAGGTCCAAAAGCTTAATTTTTATTCAAACATTTTTTAGCTACCCCCGGTCGTCTCGTTGACCACCTCGAAAACACCAAAGGTTTTGATCTTCGGTCAGTCAAATATTTGGTTTTGGACGAAGCGGACAGAATACTTAATATGGACTTTGAATTGGAATTGGATAAAATTCTTAAAGTTATTCCAAATACAAGGCATACATTTTTATTTTCGGCAACGATGACACACAAGGTTATTTTGTGAAATTTTCTAAAAAAATTTATTTTAAAGGTTTCAAAATTAGAAAGGGCCCATTTAAAGAAGCCTGTTCGAGTTGAATTGTCTACTAAATATCAAACAGTCAGTACATTGATTCAAAATATGCTCTTTATTCCCTTCAAGTATAAGGTTTGAGTTTTGTTTGAATTTTATTGTGTTGTTTGTGGGCTTTTTTGTGTCTTTTTAGGCGTATAAAAGCATAGGTCATCCAACCAACTTATACTCTTTGGGAAGAAATTTAAATAAAAATAATTTTTCCCGTAACTGGTCGAATCATGGAACTCACTAAAATGTCACAAGTTTCACTGAAAAAAATTTCAAATTTTAGGAAGCTTATCTAGTCCACGTTTTGAACGAAAAAGCAGGCAATACAGCAATAGTTTTTTGTTCAACTTGTGCAAGTTCAGTAAAAATAGCTCTAATGTTAAGGCAATTAAGTTTTGGAGCAATAGCATTACATGGACAAATGTCACAGGTTTTTTTTTCTTGAAAATTTTCTGAAAATTTTTTTGAAATTTTTCAGCCAAAACGTTTAGGAGCTTTAAACAAATTCAAAAAGAAGGATAGGCCAATTTTGGTTTGTACTGATGTTGCTTCTCGAGGTCTTGATATTCCTCATGTTGATATGGTTTTAAATTATGACGTCCCAACACATTCTAAAGATTATGTTCATCGTGTGGGAAGGACTGCTAGGGCTGGGAAGGTTTGTTGCTTTTTTTACTTAATAAAAATTTTTTGTGTCGAAATGTCAACATTTTTCGAAAATGTTAAAGTGTCAACTTCGAAATTAAAAAAAATTTTTAATTTTTCAGTCAGGGATTTCAATCACTATAGTCACGCAATACGATGTTGAAATTTATCAGAAAGTTGAAAATTCTATTGGAAAGAGGCTTGACCCGTTGGAAGTTAATCATGAAGAAGTTATGAAATTGGTGGAAAGAGTGTCTGAAGCTGGGAGGATGGCTGCAAATGTAAATTTATTTTTTTATCAACTAGAGGTTTGGGGTTAATTTGGGGAAATGAGGGTTTGGATGGTGGTAGTCATATTTTTTTAAAGTTAAGATTGAAAAAATTAAATAATTTTCCATGAGCGGGTTCGAACCATGGAGACCTCCTGAATCAATAAGAGCGACCTCCATAAGTTTACAAAAAAATAAGAACATATGAAAGATCTTTAGAACACCTGGTTGTGGATTTAAAAATATTTTTTGACCATAAATGCATAAATAAAAAATAATTTTTCCTGGTCGAGTTCGAACCATGGACCTTGAATTGGACAAAAAATTATTGAGAATTTCTTAACTTTTTACCTCATTTTTTAAGCGTTACAAAGAAATGTTGGAAGGAAGTAAAGGAGGAGGATCTAAAAAACATAAATTAATGTTGGGAGTAAATAATGAAGATGAAGATTTGGAACCAGCAAGAAAGCGCCAAAAAGCTGTTTTAATGAAAAAGAAGAAAAATAGATGAGTGAAATTAATGGAAGAGTGAAGTTGTTTTTTTTATTAAATTTATTTTTTGGACTCTAGTTTAGTTTTTATGAGTCTTTCAAACCTTTTTATCTTTTGTAAATTTTTTGATCTCATAGAGGTTCATAGGACTCGTCAAGGACGTATCCAGGCCCCCTCCCCGAAACCAACCCTCTGGATACGCCCTTGGGACTCAAGATAAGACTAGAGCCACCATTGAGCTGATTAAGGTTCATTGGACTCTTAAATTAAACCAGAGGTATTTTTGTTATTTTTTGAGTAAAATTTTTTTTTAAATTTTCTTGAAAAATTTTTTTGAAAATTTATTTTTGTAAATAGTTACAATATTTTTAAATTTTTAAAAATTTCTTTTTTTTCAATAATAATTTAGAATATTCAAAAATTTTTAAAAAAAAGGGAACATTCAAAAATGGCAAAGAAAACAAAGTAAATTTTATATTTTTTACAAGTTAGAAAAATTTTTTTTTAATTTAGATATTTAGTTGTACGCCTAGTTAGTGTTATTTCAAATACCGCCAAAGTATGGGTTAGAATGCGAGAATCACCAGAATCTAAAGGAATATTTTATGATCCTGCAGGTTTATTTTTGAAAAAATTATTTTTTGTTTTCTTTCCTTTTTTGTGGAGGGGTTTAAAAAGTCCGCACGTTTTAGCTGTTAATTTATTTTTTGGAAAAAAATTTTGATATTACGGAGGTTTCGTTAAGGATTTGAAGTCCATGGTTCGAGCTTGCTTAATGAAATTATTTTTTGAATTTTATTTTAAAGAAAAGTAATTGTAGACACCTTCTTGTGTTTAAGAAAACATGCATTCTTGTATAAAAGAAGCATAAACTCCTATTAGTTTTTTTCTGATAAGATTGACTTGTGGACAAAACTTGCGGACTTTTTTTAATTAAAAGAAAATTTTTTAAAAATTTTTCTAGTTGGAAAAGAAGTTTTGTATGTGGAGAAGGAGCATATTAAAGGAAGAGAATCTTTGCCTCTGAGGGTTAAAGAACGTTTTGGATTAGAATAAAAATTCTTTTTTAAAGTTTTTGAGGTTTATTGGTATTTTTAATAATAAATATTTTTGTTTATTTTTAATTTTGATATTTTTTCGGTTTACATCCGTTCTATAATTTTATTTTTTAATTTTTTTTATTTTAGGTCATGTAATGAAATGTGCCCCCACACGTCCGCAAATGTTTGTCCGCAAAAGTGTATATTGCCTCTCCCTCTTTATTTTCCCCTCTTATAAAGATTAAAAAATGTCCAAGGTCAGATGAATAAAATGCCAGACACGTAGATTTCCACATCTCCGGTTGCGGACGTCCGCAAAAAACATTTGCGGACGGATGGGGGAATAATGTGATCAACCTTTTAATTTTTGTGATTTTTAATAAGGATAGTGACTTTATTATAAAAAATGACAAAACAACAACCAAAGCAACAACAACACCAATTTTATTCTTCAACTTTAATTGCTTCAATTAAAGATAACCAAATATTTATTCCTGCATTTGTTACATTAATTATTTTGGTTATTACTTCTCTGGTATTTTTCTTCTATAAACGTAGCAAGGCAAAGGCTAATACAATTTTGATTATTGGACCGTCGGGATCTGGAAAGTCTACAATTTTTGGAAAGCTTGTTAATCAAAGTATTTTTGTTTATTTTTAAATTTTATTTTTTTAATAATGACTAAGATGTGTTTATGACTTGTAGGCAAAAAAGATCTTTAGTTGCTGGTTAGGGGACCATGGTTCGAACCCGCTCGGGGAAATTATTTTTTAATTTACTAAATTTTTGGTCAGAAACTTTTTATTACTCAACCGAGGTTTTTTAAAATAATTTTGAAGTTTCTACACGTTGATTTTCTTTACATTTATTGCCCTATTTACTTCGAAGTTGTTGATGATTTGGAGGTCCATGGTTCGAACCCGTTCAGGGAAAATTTTTTTATTTTTGTATTTACGAATTTTCTGTCGATTGGATTTTTAGTACTCAATAGGGTTCTTTAAGACAATTTTTATATATTCTGATTTTTTTTAATTTATGGAGGTTTAAGGACTTTGAATCATAATCTGATTGTGAGGTCCATGGTTCGAACTCGCTCGAGGGAAATTAATTATTTTTTAATTTTTTTTAATTTTAATTTTTAACAGAAAATGAATGGTCTACAGTTTCTTCTGTTCAAGAAAACATTTATTCTGACTATCTCTGCAAAGACGGATTGGACAAACCTTTCATTTTGGTAGATTATCCAGGTGCTGAAACCTTTCGAAAGGCTTTATTTAATAAATGGTTTAATGAGGTTTTTTCAAATTAATTTTTAAAATTAAAAATTTGTTTAGCAAATTAATTCTGTTTGTTGTGTTATCTTTGTGGTTGATAGCGCTACTTTTTCGAAAAAGGTTTTTTAAATTTTTTTTAATTTCTGAAAAATTACTTAAGGACGTTGCCGAGTATCTTTATGATGTTCTCTATGAAACTAAAAATACAAAGATTCCGGTTTTGGTGGTTTGTAACAAACAAGATTTGGCTCATGCTAAGGCTGGACAGGTTCATTTTTTATTTTAAAAAATTTAAAAATTATAGAGCTCTTTTATTGGTGATTCGAGGGGGGGTCCGTGGTTCGAACCCGCTCAGGGAAATTATTTTTTTAATTTTGGAAAATGAATTTTATTTGATGAAAAATATTTTTTATTACCCAACCGGGTGTTTTAAATTTCAAAGCTTCCAAGAAATTAAAAAAATTACTCGATTTTTAGAAAAATGGCATTTTTACCTCTTGGCGTTTTGTCGTTTCTACCCCTCTTGCCTTTTGTCAAAAATTTTTTTTTTCAAATTTTTTTAAATTAAAAAATAAATTTTATAAAGTTAATTGAGAAATTAATTGAACAAGAATTTGGTTTAATTAATATTTCTCGTGAAGCTGCTCTTTCGCTTACTGAAGGTTCTGGAGATTTGTCGTTGGCTGAACAACAAAAAATTTTGACAAATAATGGACAGGAATTTAAATGGGAAAATTTGAATGATGGCAAGAATAAGGTTTTTTTCGTGAATAATAATAAAGAATGTAAAATGAAAGAAAAAGATTTCATTTGCCCCCACGCGGGTTCGAACCCGCGACCCCCCTCTCACCCTATGTGGATTTGTTCAGATGCTCATAACTTGGTCCAAAATCATCGAATCAAACTGATTTTGGTGTTGTCCGATTCAGCTCGATGAGGGTTTTTAAATGAGCTCTCACTTGCTTATGAAAACTTGGAATCACATGGAATCTGCTGTCTTGAAATCTGAAAAATTTTTGGGGTCATGGGTTCGAACCCGTGTGGGGAATTGAATTTTTTAACCTGCAAAAAAACCCAAAAAAACATCTTTTGAGTATTTTTAATGTTTTGGTTCAATTTATATTTTATTAATTAAGAAGGAACGTCCACTCTTTGTTGAATGTAGTGCTATTGAACAAGAAAAAGAAAATAATGAATTTTCTTTGGATCCTTTGCGTAAATGGATTGGTGAAAAATGTAGCTGTTTTTAGAGGATAGAAGAAGAAATTAAATTGAAGATGACAATGATTTTTGGATGAGGGAGAGGTTTTTTAATTTATTTGGAATGTTTGATTTTTTAGTTAAAAAAGGATATTTTTCATTGAGACAACAGTAAGGGCGGTTAAAAAATTTTTTTTCGAAAATTTTTTTGGAGAGCGGTTTGGGGGGTAATTTTTGGAGGAAACAAGAAACTTTTGAATTTTTAAAATTAAATATATTATAGCCGCCTTTCTCGTTTACCCATAATTAATTTTTTATTTAAATTATTTGATTAAAAATTGTTTTTCTTTAAAGGAGAGCAGAGGTGAATTTCAATTTAATTTTTTGCATTTTTTGGACATTAATGCTCTCTTTTTTAATTTTATTTATTTGTTGTAGTCTCATACTATCCCTACAAGATGACAATAAATATTATGTGAAAGAATAATTTTTAAAGTTTATTGGTTTGACGACATTTGCGGACAACTTTTGCGGACACGTATTTGCGGACTTATATTTGCGGACTAATATTTGTGGACTAGAAATTAAAAAAAATTTTGTCCGCAAATGTCGTATAATACCATTTGATTCTTTAATAAGTATATAATTTTTTAATTTTTTGAAAATTTTTAAAGGAAAATTTACCTATAGAAAATGGCTATTTTTGGTTTTCATGTGATCCTTACTCTTTTATCAGCTAGTGTATTTGGCAAAATTCAAGGACGTTTATCTCTATGTGATATTTTTGTGTTTAAAGGGTTTGTGAATTTTTTGAAAAAATTTTTAAAGAATTTTTATAAAAAAATTTTTAGTTTGTACTATTATCTACTTGAAGGGTCATTGTTTCCGAGATTGGTAAAACACAAACAAATGCAGCAACAGAAGGGGAATAATCAAGGAGGAAATGGTAAAAGACGAGGAGCAAGTGCGAGGTTAGAAAAAAATTTTTAATTGGAGGGGGGAGGTTAGTCGACGGTTAGTCATTTTTTGAATTTGTGTGTCCGCAATTTCTGTGCAAGTTTTTATTTCTTGTGGGGTTTCAGAAAACCCTCTGTTCTAGGGGTTTAGGCTTCTGACCTTCTCTTTAAAGAGGTTTGGTCCTCTCTTTAAAATTTTGTCAGTAATTTTGTTTGCAAATTTTTTTTGTTTAAAAATCAAGACTCATGAAAATGGCACCGTTCTGATTCTTTCCGTCACTTTACATCTTTAACTGTAAAAAATTTTATTTTCCAGTCAAAAGGCTACCAACAACAAATCCTCCACAGAAAAAATTGGAGAAGAACATGTGGATCGTCTCATTCGTCTTCCTTTAAACTTGAATGCTTTAGAAGGTGTTCCATTTTTTGATTCACTTATTTGGACTTTTAATTACAGCTGTTTTGCTTTGTTTGTTTTTGTTTTGAGCGATTTGTACAATTTGGTCTTTCCAGAGAATAAAGGTTTGTTGAACTTTTAAGAATTTTAGATGAGTGACGCCTAAAAATTTATCCTCTGTGTCCTCTTGGTTTCTGTGCCCCTTGGCTGTCAGGGTCGAAACATTTTGTCCCAAATTCATCCTCTCTGCCCCCTTGGTTTCATTAGCGTCCTCTTGGGGAAACTTGCACCCTGTTGACATTTCGTTCCATTTGTGACATTCATCCAAAGGATCGTCTCCTGGGTGACATTTGGTCCCATAGATTTTAGATTTTTGTGAAATTTGTCCCAAAATTTCGTTCTTGTCCACTTGGTTACATCTTGCCCTCTCAATGACATTTTGTCCCTAAATTTTTTATTAAAATTTTTTCCTAAAGATTTAAATGCTTCAATGATTTGGACTTTTTGTGCCCTAATATTGCAAATACACATTTTATTAAATATTGCTTTTGAAAAAGTGTCTCTAGCTCAATTATTCCCAGAAAGAAATACACTTATTTGTGCAACTGGTTTATTCTTTTTGGGATCTTTACTTTTTAATGCTTTTGCTGATCAATTTTTGGATATTGAAATTTCTAAAGGTTTATTTTTGAGATTTGAGGTGTTTGTAGATTTTTGTGAATTAGGTGACATTTGGTCCCATATTTGAAAAATATTAGGGTTGAAATCCGACCACCTCGACCTATGCCTAGTTTTTTTTAGCTTTGTTATCAACGTTAGAACGTGACGAGATCCCGTGGTATTAATTCCGAAAATTGACAAAAATTCGGTCTCTTCTATTTTTTAAATATGGGACCAAATGTCATTTAATTCACAAAAATTTTTTCTTTAAGGTTATCTCAACTTTATCAACTCTTTAAATGATTTTTTACAAGAACATGGCTTTCAACCTTTATTTTCTTCAAGTTCACGCTCTCCCTTATTATTTCTAGTCTGTTTGGCTTTAATTTTTTCAATAATTTTGAGTGCTTTTTTCTTTCCATTGTTACAATATACATCTCTATATTTCGATTTTTTTGAAGATGAGGATGAGGAGAGAGGATTTAAGAATATTTTTGTGAGGTTTTTTTTTATTTTTTTAAATTTTTTATTTAAAATTTTTTCTATAGTTGTGTGCTTCATTTTTCTTTTTTGGCACCAGTTGGAGTTTTGCTTCTATTTTTACGCCCAATTGTTGAACAAATTTTGGAATCTCAATTGTAAGGGTATAAATATTTTTTAAACTTAAGGGGTTCGCATTTTTGAGAGAAGATGCTTCTCTCTATTTTGAGGGAAGATCTCCTCTCCTTTTTTGGAAGGAACTCCTCCATTTTCTCTCCATTCTTGAGGAAGGAGAATTTTCTGCTGGTAAGCATCTCCCCACTGGAATTAGGAATATTTTTTTAATTTTTTATGTTTTTAAAAACTAAAAGTTCGCTTTAACTAGTAACTTTTGATTTGTTAGACAAACTGACAGAATGGGCCCCATAAGGATACTTTTATCAACATAGGTGAGCGAGGAAGCCCTCACAATTGAAAAAAGCTTATGTAACTGATTCCGCCTGTCTAGTGGGAATTTTCTTGGTTTGTGGGGGTATCGGAAAATTTAACATTTTAAAAATTTTTTACATTTTTCAGTATCACTCATAAACAATTAAAATCTCTTCGACTTGTGGCTTTATTTGTAACTTTATTTGCAAGAATTTATTCTTCACGAATTTGTCTACAAACATTTTTGGATAAACCTAAAAAGGTTTTGATTGAATACTCTTTCAAAAATTTAAAAGAAGAGGAAAAACAGAGAAAGGTTTTTTTGAAATTTTAAAAAAAGTCCGCAAAAATCGTCTGCAAAAATAGACTTTTTTGCGGATTTTTCTTGCGGACTTCTGCAAAATGTTTGCGGACGTCTCTTTGCGGACGTCTCTTTGCGGACATTTTTTGCGGATTTTTTTAGATTCAAAAAAAATTTACTTTTTTTAATTTAAAGGTAGCCAATTATGCCTCATATGCTTGTACTGCTGCTTTACAACATTATATGCCTATTGCTATTATTTTGTCAATTGGATTAATTTTAAAGAATTTAGGTTTGGAAAAAAAATTTTTTAATAAATTTTTAATGAGGAGGGGGGGGGGGCTGGGTTTTATATTTTTGGAATTTGATTTGCGGACATATTTTATTGACTTTTCTGGGGATTTTTTTACTTGCGGATATTATTTGCGGACTTTTTTGGACTCAATCAGAATCTGATTTATTAAAGAATTTTTATCTTTTTTTAGCTGATGTTTCATTTTCTTCTCTTTTGTATCAATCAACCACAACACCTCCATCAACAACAAAAACTACATTATTGGATAAAAAATTTATTTTATTAAATATTTTGTTTTCAAAAGAATTTCACGAACCTTTGTGGACATTAGCTTTAACAACTTTAATTTGTGGACAATGTTTGATTTGTCTGTTTGGCGTTATTATGAGGAAAACTAGTAGGGGAAGATGAAGGGAAAAATTATTTTTTTGGAAGGAAAATTTAATAAAAAAAAATTTTTTTTGTTGCAACTGCCAACTTTTTTTTTTGTTGTTTTTCCTTGTCTCAGAGCCCCCAGAATACAAAAATACCCTCTCATTGGAAACTGGAGTCTTAACCACTAAACCAACGACAAATTATGTCGTTGGTTAAGTGGTTTTTTTTGAATAAAATTTTAGATTTTTTTAGGCATTTTCCCCAAAATGGAGGGGGGATGGAAATTTATCCTCCTGTCATTGTATTATCCACAGAGTATTTTTGACTCTAATTTCCAAAAAAGGGTATTTTTCAGTCTTAAAAATATTTTAGAATAAATTTTTAATTTTTTTAAATTTTTTCGGCAGAAGTATTCTAAATATGTTTATAATATTTTTCTATGTATTTCAAACTCATTTAGTATTTTACTTTTAAATTTTAGAATTTTTAGTTTCAATCAAAATTGTTTTAAAGAAAATGGCTCAACACAAAATGGAAAGCTTGCTCTTGCTTGGCAGTGTATATTTTTTTTATTTTTAACTAAAATTAAATTAAAAATTTTTGTAGAATAACAATAATGTTATTTTCGAAGAAGAATGGGCAAAATCTCTGCCTGTGGTTAGAAATTTGCTTTGCAGACAGGTTATTTGATTTGGAATTTTTGGGGATTTTTTTGTTTTAGTTTTTAGTGGTGTTCTGTTTGCATTTTTTTTGTTTGGGGTATCTCCGCCAATTTTGGCAAACTTCGGAGCCCTATAATTTTTCAGTTTCCTATCGATAGGGAAAAACCAGAAATTTTTCAAAATAAATCGAGCGACAGGCCAGTATACCGCGAGCCCAGTGTACCGGGCTATAACTTCGTAAAAAATTGTCGAATCCGGGACGCCTTTATGTTTTGATTCAGCTCGTTAAGGCGCATCGACCATACCAGGGCCTCCTGGATTCGACCATTTCGAACGTTGTTATAGCTCGGCGGTATAACGGGGTGTAGCACAATTCGAAAGGTTGCTTGGTTTGAGTCAAACTGCCTTTTAAATTTTTTATTAATAATCAAATATGATCCCTAAAACCTTTTTATCCCAGCTTAACCGCCTTCAAAAAATTTCTTTTAGAACGTTTCCAAATTTGAATGGCAGGATTTGTTCAGCACAAACAACAGAATCACTTCTTGGGTTGACTCTGGCAATGAAAAATTACTTTCAGTATTAAAAGAGGAATTGACCAAACATGTTGGTGAAGCTGCTAATGTAAATATTTTTTTAATTAAAATTTTCTAAAAAAATTTTTCAAAGAAAATTCTCCTTCATTCTGATGTCGATTCTCTGCTCAAAGCTTATATCCAAGAATGGGAAGGTTATTCAATCTTATGCCGCTACTTGCCTCTTCCATTCTGTTTTGTTGAAAAAAGGGAAAAGGAATCAAAAAGTGGGAGGAATAAGCAAGGTTTTCAAGTTAGAGAGGTTTTTTTGGATTTTTAAAAAATTAGAAAAATTATAAATTTTTTAGTTGATGCTTGACCGATGGAATAAATACGTGTTCTCCAAAATTTCAACTCGATTGTTGAATGCAGCAATGAGGTTTCAAGAGTTTTTTTAGTTTATAGATCATTTTTTGAGACTTTGTTCTTTATTTTGGGAGGGGATGTGGATGATTGATAGGAAATTTTTTTGACAGATTTTGTGTTTTTAATGAGAGTCTTGTCTAGTTTTTACCCTAAAAAAATTTTTTTAGTTGAAGAAGTTTCTGGGGAAAAATTTTTTCTGTTGGCTACTTACTATGGTTGTCGGGGTGGGTTTTCAAATTTTATCCAGGCCGGGTTTCGAGTCGAAAAAGGCCAGACTTTGATTTTTGAATAGCTCCTGTTACTGGCTTTCCTAACATAAATTTCAAATATTTTACCTACCTAATTAATTTTAAGTTTAATCGATCGTGAACGTAATGGAGAACTAGTCAATTCACAACATATAATTGGTGTTCAAGAATCCTTTGGTATACAAATTTTATTTTTAAATTTATTTTTTATTTTTTAAAGTTGATTTAAGCATTGTTGGAAACCTCAATTATGCAGAACAATTTGAAGAGCAATACATTACGTTTACCGAACAATTCTATTCTTCACGGACTTCACAAATATTGGCAGAAAATGGAGTTTTGGCTTATATGGCCTATGTTGATGAAAAATTGGTTGAAGAAGAGGAAAGGGCCAAAAAATATTTGGATGGGGAAACCGATGGAAAATCAAAGGGAAAGGTTTGGATTTTTAAATTAAAGTTGAACTTTACTTTAGGGAACCTTATCTGCGGGGTGATAAGACGAATTTTATGATGAGTGGTTGCCAGGGATCTCACGGGTTGAAGAAAAAGTCGAGCGGGTTTCTGGTCAAGTCTTGGAAAATTTTTTGGTTGAAAAAAAAGTCCGGCGTAAGGGTCTGGTTAATGGTGGGTCATTTAGGAGGTAATAAAGTCGGGTCGGGTTTTCGAAAATTCCTTGGACCAGATTTCGGATCAAAAATGTCATATCGGATTTTGGATACTCCGTAACTTTTCTGTTGGATGCCTTAAATACTATACCTTAAAGTTAGCTGTAGTGCTTAAACAGCTCCTCTGCTTGTTGTTCAACCAAATTTTAAGAGACTTCCTAAAATTCAGTAGATACTTCTCGGGGTATCATATATTGAGATTTGACTTTATTTTATATTTTATTAATCTTCCCAAATTAAATTAGTTAAGTTGATGGACAAATGTGTTCAAGTATTAATTATCAATTATCAAGACCAAATATTAGCAGAAGCTCCAGGACTCATTAAAAGTGGACAAATTGATCGATTACAAATTCTTTATCGTCTAATAAATCGAACTTTGGATGGAATTCCAACATTACTGGATGCTTTACGTTCACATATTTGTGAAGAAGGATTAGCTGCGATGAAAGCACATGCGGCTGAAATATGCACAGATAGTGAAAGGTTTGGAAATTTTAAATAGATGTGGGGTAGGGATGTCTCAGGTTACCCTAACCTTTAACTTTTTTTGACACGAGACCCGGCCTGGTTCGTTTTTTCAAACCCGTGACATCCCTGGTGTGTTCTTGGGGACATTACTAGATGCTTTACGTTCACATATTTGTGAAGAGGGATTAGCAGCAATGAAAGCACATGCAGCTGAAATATGCACAGATAGTGAAAGGTTTGGAAATTTAAATAGGTATGGGGTAGGGATGTCTCGGGTTACCCAATGTCTCGGGTTCTGGTGTTGGTTTTGGGGAAAATTTTGAGTAGGTGTCCATAGGGTATTGGCTAAAAATAGATTTTTTCCTTTGACTTCTAGAATTTTTTTCATTTTTTCTATCTATCCATAGGTGTCATTGTTCTCATCCCACAAGTTTATAGTCCAAAAATTTTTTTTGAAAATGTCTGCAAAATTTGCCTTATTCGAAAATTTAAAAATTTTTAAATTAAAGATATGTCCATCAATTATTAGAACAATACACTCGATTCTCAACATTAATGCGTGATGCATTTGCCAATGATGCCCGTTTCCTCACCATTCGAGACCAAGCATTTAGAGAAGTTGTAAATAATACCGATGTTTTTCGACTTGAATTGGGAGGGAATGGAGGTGGAAAAAGGTTTTTTTTGAGATTTTTTGATAAATTTTTGAGATTTTAAGAAGTGGGAAACCCCAAAATACTGAATCTAAATGCCCAGAATTATTAGCAAATTATTGTGATTTATTACTAAGAAAATCAGCTTTAACAAAGCGTTATACTTGTGATGAAATTGATGAAAGGCTTAATAATGTGGTTAGTTTTAATGAATAAAAATTTTTTGCGAAAAATTTTTTTCGAATTTTTTGAAATTTTTCGAAAATTTTTTGAAAAATTTTTGGAGATACTTTTTGAAATTTTAAAAAATTTTTTAAAATTTTTTTTTCGAAATTTTCTTGAAGAATTTTTTGAAATTTCTCGGAAATTTTTTGAAAAATTTTTTAAATTTTTTATTTTTTCAGTTGCTAGTCCTCAAATATGTCCAAGCAAAAGACGTTTTTATGCGTTATCATAAAACCCATTTAAGTAGAAGATTAATTTTAGAATTGGTTGCGGATCAAGAAAAGGAAGAAATGCTGGTTAATAAATTTAGGGTTTCTTTTATTTTTTTGAAAATTTTTAAAAATTCATTTTTTTAAGGAAGTTGGAATGCCCGTCGATTTTGTAAATAAATTATTTCGAATGCTGCAGGATATTGAAGTTAATAAAGATTTAAATGCTGCATTTAAACAGTCTGTTTCACTTAATGAAAATTGTTCGGAGATGGCAGGTTTGGTTTTTTAAATTTTTAGAAAAAATTTTTGGGAAAGGTGGAAGGGTTTAAGTCAATTTTACGAATCAGACAGACCTCCTTTTTAAATACCCCAAAATTTTTCGATACCCAAAATCATTTCAAGTTAGTTTAGCCAATCTTTTAAGCTTTGGCTTGGGGATGCTATCCAAGCAATACCTTTAATTTAAGACCTCATTATATGGTACGACCTTCTCAAGAGGGTATTTAAAGATGAGATTCGGCTTTTTAAAAAATTTTTAAAATTTTTCTTTATAAAATTAAAGACTGTGTAAACATAAAAATCCTCAATGCTGGTGCCTGGTCTCGTAATAGAGAAACTATTCATTTAACATTGCCTCGAGAATTGGAAGATTTATTGCCTGAAGTAGATGAATTTTATAAAAAACAGCATTGTGGAAGGAAATTAAATTGGGCACATCATTGGTCTACTGGAACGGTTTATTTGAATTTTTTTAGTTAAAAAGAATTTTTTTCAAGTTATTTTTTACAAATGAAATTGGAAAATTTGAGTTGGAAGTAACTACTCAACAAATGGCTGTCCTCTTTTGTTGGAATGATAGACCTATGGATAGGCTTACATTTGATTCTATAAGATTGGCTACAGAATTGTCTGAAACTGAATTAATTAAAACACTTTTGGTTTGTTTTTTGGTTTTTTTAGAAATTTTTAAAAAACTTTATGGCCTCCCTTGATTAATGTCAAATTTAAGAGAACTAAAATAAGCTTTAAGGTAAAAAATAGAATAGCCTCTTGTGTGTCTCGTTGGCCTTCTGGTTAACGCTTGTGACTTTGGGGTAGGGTGGTCGTCGGTTCGACTCTGTTTGGTTCTCTATGTTTTTTTCTTATTCCTTTTAGGCTTGTTTTTTGTTCCTTTTTGATTTAAAAATTTTTTTGATAATTCAAAATTTTTAAAAATTTCTATACAGTATTTTTTTAATTTTTTAGTCACTAGTCGCTTTCCCAAAAACTCGTCATCAATTAATTTTGTGTGATGCTTCACAACCTATCTTGCCAAAAAGTTTTGGAAAAACTACACAATTTTGGGTTAATCAACAATTTTGTTTAATAAAGGTTTTTTAAATTTATTTTTGATTAAAAAAATTTTCCCAAAAGAATGATAAACCACAAACTCGAGGAAAATTAAATTTAATTGGGCGTCTTCAACTAAATCAAGAACAGGGTGTTGAACAGGAACATGAAGAAATTTTGCAATTGAGAAAGTTTAGAGTACAAGAAGCTATTGTAAAAATAATGAAAACAAGAAAACGTTTTACTCAGGTTTTATTTTAAAAAATTTTTTTGAGGGGCTTAGGAATTAAAAAAAATTTTTTTGGGAGTCTAAGGAATTTCGTAAAAAATTTTTAGGGGCCACGGGAATTTTTTTAGAAAATCTTGGGGGCCTCGGGGGGGGGGGGGGGGGGGGGGTTTAAAAAAATTTTAGGGGCCATGGGAATTGCAGAAAAATTTCAGAGGGCCTACGCAATTTAGAAAATTTTGGGGTCCCCGGAATTTTTAGAAAATTTTTGGGAAGAATATGGAGGGCCTCCTAAGGGTTTTTAATTGGCCTTTAAATTTTTTTTAAATTTCTTCTTTTTTAAGGCCCAATTGCAAACAGAACTTGTTGACGTTCTCAAAAATATGTTTTTGCCTTCACGTAAATTAATTAAAGAACAAATTGAATGGTTAATTGAACAAAAATTTTTGGGTCGTGACCCGGTGGATATGAACACTTTTGTTTATATTACGTGAAATTGGAATTATTTTTTTGAAATTATTTTTTAAATTAAAAAATGCCGGAACGCGATCATTGAGTACCGCCGTTTGTGTACCGCCGTTTGTGTACGGCTAGTTGTGTACCGCCGGTTGTGTACCTTGCCGTTTGTGTACCTGGCCGGTTGTGTACGGCCGGTTGTGTACCTACCCAAATGGGGACGTTTGTGTACCCGCATTTTTAAGAATTTTTGTCTTTATATATCCCAGAACGAAAGTATTGCTGGTAAGATAGTAAGGAAATATAGACTATATCACCCAATTCAGAATCTTATTAGACCCAAGGTTACTTTATCAGGGGATTTTAGGCCGTATCTTCACTTAAAGAGTTTTTTGTGTTGCTTCGGAGAATAGGTCGGCATTTCAACTCAAAAAATCGATAAAAGGAATAGGTTTATGTTACTGGTACGGAACCCAGCGACCGTTGACTCCCGCGAGACGCGTGCCGCAAAAGCCCGCGCGAAGCGCGGGCTTTTGCACAAGCGTCTCGCCGACGCCCATAGGTTTACTGGTTTATTTTTGAATCGTAACTTTGTCCAAATTTGTTAAATCATGGCAATTTTGGTCGAATTTGCATTTCGAATTTTCTGATAAGATTCTAAGTTGGGGAATATAATCTATATTCCCTTATTATATTCCTATATAATGCGGTACACAACTGGCCAGGTACACAAACGGCCAAGTACACAACTGGCGGTACACAACCGGCCGTACACAAACGGCGGTACACAAACGGCGGTACACAATGGTCCCCTACCGAAAAAATGCTTGTAAAAATTTAAGCAAAACGAAAATAAAGTGCCAAAGAATTTTTTAAAAACAAAAAATAAATTTTATATTTTACACACCTTTCATGTGACAATTTGTAAATTTTTATGCTTTATGGCTAAATGAAAATTTTTTATTTTATGCATTTTGTATTTAAATAATGTTGTTTACATTTTGATATATTTGCTTTTAAAAATTTTTAAAATATCTAATTTCAAAATATCTAAAAAATATTTTTTCCCGGTTGTTTTATACTTGAATGAGGATGGTTTTGGTTCTTTTTTATTTTTCAAGTCTTTTTTTGCGGTTAAGGACGATTCAGTATCGCCGATTCAGTATAGCCGATTCAGTATCGCCGATTCAGTATCAGCCGATTCAGTATATGGCCATAACTTTCCTGATATTCGACCGATTCGAATAATTCTCATATCATTCGAAAGGTCTCGTGATTCGACATCTTTTTCATAATTGGCCCGAACAGATCTGATGATCACAAAAAAAGTTACAGCGTGCAAACCGATTTTTTATGCCTGTGACGTCGTTTATCAGTGATAACTTTTTGTAGAGTGATAAGATCAGGTCAGTCCAATTATGAAAAAGATGCAGCACCCCGAGGCCTATCAAGTCATATATAATAATTCCTACAATATTGATCGAGCAAAAAGTTATGGCCAAAAAGCCCAAATACTGAATCGGCCAATACTGAATCGGCGATACTGAATTGGCGATACTGAATCGTCCCCTACCCCTTTTTTTGGGTATAGCCCTAAAGGGCGCGCGGTTATGACGGCGCAAAGCTGTAACTTTCTGCTAATTTTTTGGCCTTTATCAATTTTGGCACCAATCTCTTTAGTTCGATGAGAGGATCGTTTAATACTAGATGTGGGAATATTGAAGCAAGTTATGGCTTTACGCCGTTATGGCCACGCGCCCTTTTGGGCTGCCCCTTCTATCATTCTTTCGTTTTTCTCTTCTCGTTTTTCGACTCCGTTAAACTTTTTTTTCAGAAAATTTAGTTTTATATAATGGCATCTTCTTTGTCTTTTGAACAACTCAAAGTTACGATCAACTCTTCTCCTGAGAGTGCTTTGATCCACAAAGATGTTGAGCACCAGTTTAAATTGCTGCGGGAGCATATTTCAAGTCTTGATATTAAGACGGTAACGCAAGGTTTGAATTTGTTTTATGATTTAGAATTAGGTCTGGGGGAGAGAGATTCGAATTGGAGCTGGGTAAGGTTTTCTGCTGATAGATGATGGGGGGAAGCCGGGCATTTTTGCCTCTTGTGGTTGTATGTTAGGTTGGGTAGGCTCTTGTACATTTAAATAAGTTTTTTTGGCTCCATAAGCTTGATTCTTTAAAGTTGAGTATTTCTGTTGTTCCGACTCCGGTCATTCCTCCATATAGCGGTTCCGGGTCCTTTAATCAAAGGGAGTTTGGGAGGCCTATATTTTTTGAATGGGCTTTTTTGCCGCCCGAACTGGGTTCCTTAAAGGTTTAGTGGTTCTGCTTTTCTATTTCCTGGTGGTTCCAGTGGTTGGAGGTTCCCTTCCATAAGTTGACAATGAGTAACATTTCTTGAGTGGTGATACATTCCCTCATCTTGTTCAAATCAAATTTCTTTTAATTTTCTAGTTGGCTATTGCAAACAAGTTGCCCCTGATCCTCGAGGGAAGATGAAATGGAGGATGTCCATGTGCCACTTCCAGATTTTGCCATTAAATGTTCTTGCCAGTTGGTTGCTCCAGATCCAAGAGGTCCTCCTTACAAAAATTTTGAAGTTTTTGATTTGCCAGTGCCTGAATTTGGCAGGTTTTCTTCTGAAAAGAAAGGTTTTAATTATTGAAATTTTTTGAGTTTTCAATTTTTGCAAAGAAATTTTTTTGTTTTTGTTGAATAAATTTATTTGAATTTTGATTTTTTTGCAATTTCCAACAATTTTTAAAAATTGTTTCATATCTTTTAATTTTTTAAACTCATTTTTTATATTTTATGTTGGGCTGGGAAGTCCATAAGATTTTTCCATATTTCTTTCTCTCTAAAATGCGGGGACTTCAGTTATTGGTGGGAGGCTGCAGTGACCATATAGGACGGCTATCGCCTCCTTCCCCTTTTCCTCCCTTTTGGTGACTGCTCCACCTTAAGTTATTTTTCGTATACATTCCGCATTGGGAGAATTCAAAATTATTTGCGGACAAATTTTGCGGACATATCACACTATAATATTTTTATTAGATATTGGGCGCTGGGTGAGGATAATGCTTTTTTACAATTTCTATGAATATATTTTGATTTCGGGTTGGAAAAAAAAACTTGGTTCTTAACTTTCTAGGGAATGCCCCTTATTTTGTTTCGAGTTTAAATTTTAATATTGAAAGGATTTACTTTTGTTTAACTATTAATTTAATCTTTTTTAGAAAATAATTTAATTTCAAATTTTTTTATTTCTTTTTGACTTCACATCATGGCAGCACAACAACTTTTAAATCAAAATGGTCCAGTAAATATCCAGCAACCACCATCAGTAAGTTTATCTTTCAATTTTTAGCCAGAGATCGGGCTGAAATTTTATCTAAATTTTTAACAGTTTTTAAGATAATCAAAAAAATTTTTCGGGAGCCGAATTTAATAGTAAATTCTAGAACGAATACTGTATGTAGAGTTTTTGCATACCGAAATTGAAACTCGAAATTTATATCATTGGATTTCTTACGTTGAGCTGAGTTCAAACATGGAAGAATATTTTCCATAGACGAAAACTTGCAGAGACATATGCCCATGAGAATTGATAAAGGGGGGGAGGGGGGTAAGCTCAATTCTGTGGTAAAAACACGTAAACGTACATATCTGAACTCAGCTCGACAAGGGGAATCGAATGATATACATTTCGAGTTTCAATCTCGGTTGTCCTATTCTATGGTGGCCCCTAATTTTTATCAATTATAAAAGTCCGATCTCTTTTTTATTAATTTTTTAACTCATTTATGACCATTCAAAAGCCATACAAATTTAAATTTTGAAAAAAAATTTTCTCTTATTTTTCGATCTTTCATCTTTTCTTTCAAAAAATTTTTTAATCTTATATAGTGAAATTTAAGTTTCCATCGTTTTTTTTTCAACAAGCAAATAACCTTTAAAATTCTTTCACTAACACCGAGACGTTCTCGTCCAAACATGCTTGTTTCAAATTGGCTTTTATTTTCTCTTTTCTTCTGTTCTCTAACCACTCTTTATATTCTCTCTCTTTAATTCCAATTCTGAATCTTTTATCTCAAAAATCATTTCCATTTTTGAATCCGCTTTAACCATTTTATAGATAACGTTTCAAGCTTTAAGTAAAAATTATATTCATTTTTTCAGAAAAAAAACCTGATAATATACTAACAGGAATAAATCGATCTAAGTGACTGACCATTTTATAACTTTAGTCACTCTTACCATTTTTTCTCTAATACTTTATGTTGTATCCGATAGAATCTTCTTAATCTTGTGGGATATAAAATGCATTCCTATAACATTAAAAACCCCAATCTTTCAGTCGAATTAATACACGAGATTGTTAATTTTCTTCCATTTGATATCAAGTGGGAGGATTTTCGAGTCTCTTTAATTTTCGATTATTTACTTTTAAAAAATCAGCGTCATTTTATTATTCTTTCCAAATGTGTGAAAAAAGTAAGTTTTAACCTTTGTCCTTAATGGCTTTTAAATGGTTAAATTATTCTCAAAAATCCAAATATTTCTAATAAAAATTTTAAGATTATCAACATCCTTACACAAATAAGACAACAATATAGTGCGTTCTCAGTTTCTGTTGGTATGGGCAATCTGACTTACGAGACTCTTAATACCATTAATGACAGAACCAACTACTCTTTCCATTGTAAGTTTGTAAAATACTTAGGGTACTTTTGACATCCACTTTTTCCTCTTTCCCTAACCGTTTTGGGCTTTTGCTTGGCGAAAGTGCTATGGGTAATTTTAGGGGCCAGTAAAAGCAAGATTAATAATTAAAAGTAGAGCCCAGAATTTTGTACCGTTACCGATCGGAATATATAGATATCGAAAAATGCTGAAAAATTTGGCAAATTTCCATCGGTCTGTATCTAAAAGTTCAAATTTTTTCTTTAAATCCAAACGGTACTTTTCCGTATGTCGGCAAACTCCACAACTTTTTATCCGCAAGTCGTAATGTTTATTTCATTTTTGTTATGCCAATGAGATTCTTAAACGGAAAATAGAAAATATTCAGCATTTTTGCCCCCTATGTCGACCTTTTTGCACTCTAATTTTCATTTTCGTCATTTATTTTGTCTTTTTTTTTACGTATTTTGGAAAATAATTGGCAATTATCTTTGCAAGATTTTTTGGAGAGAAGATGCAGAGAGCGGAAGTTGATGCACTTTTGATTATATTCTTTCAAAGATTGTTGATTTTTCGTCTTCAAAATAATCCTTTTGAGAAAATAAACATGACATGCGGATACAGAGTTGCGGACTTAGCCGCCACTAACGGAAAAGTACCATCCAAACATTTTTTTAAGTTTTGAAATTGATAACGACAACAATATTAAAATATAATTTCAATTATTTGGCTCAAATTGACAACTACTCCTGGCCGCCATCTTATTTTCCTTTTGCTGTCATACAAGTGGTATCATTATATTTTATTTTATAACTCTTGACCCGGGAGTATCTTATTTAGTCTTAAAATTACAATATCGCAAAATTGAAAATAATCACTAGCTTTTTTATTTTTCTAAAATCTGCTTATTTTTTGTAGTTGTGGGCTAATGTTCATTTAAAATTATCCATTTTGGACCAAATAATGCAACTTTCTATAAACACACTTCAAAATAATTTTCAAATGACCGAGGTTGACGTTACTGCAGTCCGGCAATTTCTCAATGTTATCGAAGCGGGTGCACGAGAGATAAACATTTCAATTATGAACAATAATAATGTTGCGGTTTAATTGTATAAAAAATATTTTTAATTTAAGAATTTATAAAATAAAAATTGTTTTTGATTTTCGTTTTTTTCTGACTAAATCCTGTTTTGATTATTTAAGATCAAAGACCAAATTTTATTTTTGATTTAGTAAATATTATTGTTGGTGTAAATTATTTTCCAATTTTTTGTTATTTTTTAAGTAAATATTTAGTTTATTGTTTTTTGTTTTGGCAAAAAATATTTTAATTATGTTTATTTATTTTTAATATTTGTTTTACTTTTACTATTTTTTATTAGACTATTTTTTATTAGACTATTTTTTATTAGTTCTTTATTTTCGGAGGGGATTGGGATGATTGATAGGAAATTCTTTTGACAGATTTTGGGTTTTTACTGAGATTCCTGTCTAGTTTTTACCCTAAAATTTTTTTTTGCTTAAGAACCTTGCTGGGAAAAATTTTTTTCTGATGACTGGTTATCGGTGAGGGTTTTAAAAATTTTCTCCGGACCGGGTTCCGAGTCGAAAAAGGCCAGATTTTGAGTTTCGGATAACGGGCTTTCCTAACATAAATTTTAGACATTTTACCAACCTAATTAATTTTTAAGTTTAATTGATCGTGAACGCAACGGAGAACTAGTCAATTCACAGCATATAATTGGTGTTCAAGAATCTTTTGGTATATAAATTTTATTTTTAAATTAATTTTTTTATTTTTAAAGTTGATTTAAGCATTGTTGGAAACCTCAATTATGCAGAACAATTTGAAGAGCAATACATTACGTTTACTGAACAATTCTATTCTTCACGGACTTCACAAATAATGGCAGAAAATGGTGTTTTGGCTTATATGGCCTATGTTGATGAAAAATTGGTTGAAGAAGAGGAAAGGGCCAAAAAATATTTGGATGGGGAAACCGATGGAAAATCAAAGGGAAAGGTTTGGATTTTTAAATTAAAGTTGAACCTTACTTTAGGGAACCTTATCTGAGGGGTGATAAGACGAATTTATGATGAGAGGTCGACAGAGACCTCACGAGTTTAAGAAAAAGTCGACCGGGTTTCTGGTCAAGTCTTCGAAAAAATTTTTCGTATCAGTTTTTGTTTCGTAAGAGTCCGGGTTTTGGGTCTGGTTTCTGATCGGGTCAGTAGGAGGATCAGGAGCTAATAATGTCGGGTCGGGTTTTCGAAAATTTCTTGGGCCAGCTTTCGGATAAAAAATGCCCAGGCCTCGGATTTCGGATATATTGGGTGCCTTAAAGTTGGCTGTAGTGCTTAAACAGTCCCCCTACTTGGTGGTCAACCAAATTTTAAAATTGAGTTTTCGGTTATTATATATTGAGATTTGCCTTTACTTTATAATTTTTATTAATCTTTTTCACACTTAAAGTAGTTAAGTTGATGGAAAAATGTGTTCAAGTATTAATTATCAATTATCAAGACCAAATATTAGCAGAAGCTCCAGGACTCATTAAAAGTGGACAAATTGATCGTTTACAAATTCTTTATCGTTTAATAAATCGAACATTGGATGGAATTCCAACATTACTAGATGCTTTACGTTCACATATTTGTGAAGAAGGATTAGCTGCGATGAAAGCACATGCAGCTGAAATATGCACAGATAGTGAAAGGTTTGGAAATTTAAATAGGTATAGGGTAGGGATGTCTTGAGTTACCCAAGCCCCGAACTTTTTTCGACCCGAGACCCGGCTTGTTTCTTTTTTCAAACCCGTGACATCTCTGGTGTTGGTTTTGGGGAAATTTTTTTTGTAAAGGTGTTTATAGGTTATCGGCTAAAAATAGATTTTTTCCTTTGACTTCTAGAATTTTTTCATTTTTTCTGTCTATCCATAGGTGTCATTGTTTTCATCCCACAAGTTATAGTCCAAAATTTTTTTAAAAATGTCTGCAAAAATTTGCCTTATTCGAAAATTTAAAAAATTTTTAAATTAAAGATATGTCCATCAATTATTAGAGCAATACACTCGGTTCTCAACATTAATGCGTGATGCATTTGCCAATGATGCCCGTTTCCTCACAATACGTGACCAAGCATTTAGAGAAGTTGTAAATAATACTGATGTTTTTCGACTTGAATTAGGAGGGAATGGAGGTGGAAAAAGGTTTTTTTTTGAAATTTTTTTGAAATTTTTTGAAATTTTTAAAAAATTTTTTAAGAAGCGGAAAACCCCAAAATACCGAGTCAAAATGCCCTGAATTATTAGCAAATTATTGTGATTTATTACTAAGAAAATCAGCTTTAACAAAGCGTTATACTTGTGATGAAATTGATGAAAGGCTTAATAATGTGGTTAGTTTAATGAAGGGAAAATTTTTTTTTGAAGAAAATTTTTTTGAAAATTTTCTGAAATTTTTTGAAAATTTTTCTGAAAAATTTTTTGAAAATTTTTGGAAATTTCTTGAAAAAAATTTTGAATTTTTCGAAAATATTTTTGAGAATTTTGTAAAAATTTTTGTGGAATTTTAAAAAATTTTTTAAGTTTTTTTTTGCAAATTTTCTTGAAGATTTTTTGAGAATTTTTTGAAATTTCTCGGAAATTTTTTTGAAATAATTTTCAAATTTTTTTTATTTTTTCAGTTGCTAGTCCTCAAATATGTCCAAGCAAAAGACGTTTTTATGCGTTATCACAAAACCCATTTAAGTAGAAGATTAATCTTAGAATTGGTTGCTGATCAAGAAAAGGAAGAAATGCTTGTTAATAAATTTAGGGTTTCTTTTTAATTTTTTGAAAATTAAAAAAAATTTATTTTTAAGGAAGTTGGAATGCCCGTAGATTTTGTAAATAAATTATTTCGAATGCTGCAGGATATTGAAGTTAATAAAGATTTGAATGCTGCATTTAAACAGTCTGTTTCACTTAATGAAAATTGTTCGGAGATGGCAGGTTTGATTTTTTAAATTTTTAGAAAAAATTTTTGGGGAAAGGTGAAAGGGTTTGGGTTAATTTTAGGAGTCAGACGGGCCTCCTTTTTAAATACCCCAAAATTTTTCGATACCGAAAATCATCTCAAGTTTATTCCAATCTTTTAAGCTTTGGCTTGGGATTTTTTTTTTATTTTTTGGGAAAGGTGGAAGGGTTTAAGAATATTGTTCGGAGATGGCAGGTCTACTGAAGGGTTTTTTAAATTTTTTTACCCAAGCAATACCTTCAATTAAAGACCTCATTATATGGTACGACCTTCTCAAGAGGATATTTAAAAATGAGATTCGGCTTTTTTTTAATTTTTTTTAAAATTTTTCTTAATAAAATTATAGACTGTGTAAACATAAAAATCCTCAATGCTGGTGCCTGGTCTCGTAATAGAGAAACTATTCATTTAACATTGCCTCGAGAATTGGAAGATTTATTGCCTGAAGTAGATGAATTTTATAAAAAACAACATTGTGGAAGAAAATTAAATTGGGCACATCATTGGTCTACTGGAACGGTTTTTTTGATTTTTTTAGTTGAAAATAAATTTTTGGAATTTTTTCAAGTTATTTTTTACAAATGAAATTGGAAAATTTGAATTGGAAGTAACTACTCAACAAATGGCTGTCCTTTTCTGTTGGAATGATAGACCTATGGATAGGCTTACATTTGATTGTATAAGATTAGCTACAGAATTGTCGGAAACTGAATTAATTAAAACACTTTTGGTTTGTTTTTTTGGAAATTTTTTTTAATTTTTTAAATTAATTTTTTTATGGGTAACCTTGATTAATGTCAATTTTATGGAGAATTAAAATAAGCTTTAAGGCGAAAAATAGCGGAACCTATCGTATGTCTCGTTGGCCTTCTGGTTAACGCTTGTGACTTTGGGGTAGGATGGTCGGAGGTTCGACTCTTTTTGATTCCCTGTGTTTTTTTCTTATTCCTTTTAGGCTTGTTTTTTGTTCCTTTTTGATTTAAAATTTTTTTTGATGATTCAAAATTTTTAAAAAATTTTTTATACAGAATTTTTTTAATTTTTTAGTCACTAGTCGCTTTCCCAAAAACTCGTCATCAATTAATTTTATGTGATGCTACACAACCGATCTTGCCAAAAAGTTTTGGTAAAACAACACAATTTTGGGTTAATCAACAATTTTGTTTAATAAAGGTTTTTTTTAATTTAAAATAAAAAAAATTTTTTCTAAAAGAATGATAAACCACAAACTCGAGGAAAATTAAATTTAATTGGCCGTCTTCAATTAAATCAAGAACAAGGTGTTGAACAGGAACATGAAGAAATTTTACAATTGAGAAAATTTAGAGTACAAGAAGCTATTGTAAAAATAATGAAAACAAGAAAACGTTTTACTCAGGTTTTATTAAAAAATTTTTTTGAGGGGCTTAGTAATTTTTAAAAAAAATTTGGGGATCAGGGATTGTGTAAACAAATTTAAAGGCCTCGGGAATTTTTTTAGAAAATTTTGGGTGCCTCAGGGCGCTTTTAAAAAATTAAAGGGGCCTCGTGAAATGCTGAAAAATTTCTGAGGACCTACGCAATTTAGCAATTTTTTGAGGGCCTCGGGAAATTTTGGAAAATTTCGAGGATCTCAGGAATTGTTAGAAAAATTTCCGAGGGCCTAAGTAATTTAGAAAATTTTGGGGTCTCCGGAATTTTCAGAAAATTTTTGGGAGAAACATAGGGGGCCTCCTGAATTTTTAAAAATTTTTTGGGTTTTAATTAGCCTTTACAATTTTTTTTATTTTTTCTTATTTTAAGGCCCAATTGCAAACAGAACTTGTCGACGTACTCAAAAATATGTTTTTGCCTTCTCGTAAATTAATTAAAGAACAAATTGAATGGTTAATTGAACAAAAATTTTTGGGTCGTGACCCGGTGGATATGAACACTTTTGTTTATATTACGTGAAACTGGAATTATTTTTTAAATTAAAAAAAATGCTTGTGAAAATTTAAGCAAAACGAAAAAAAAGTGCCAAAGAATTTTTAAAAACAAAAAATAAATTTTATATTTTACACACCTTTCTTTCATGTGACAATTTGTAAATTTTTATGCTTTATGGCTAAATGAAAATTTTTTATTTTATGCATTTTGTATTTAAACATTGTTGTTTACATTTTGATATATTTGCTTTTAAAAATTTTTAAAATATCTAATTTCAAAATATCAAAAAAATATTTTTTCCCGGTTGTTTTATACTTGAATGAGGATGGTTTTCGTTCTTTTTTATTTTTCAAGTCTTTTTTTGGATATACCCCAAAGGGGCGCGCGCTTATAACGGCGCAAAGCATAACTTGCAACTAAATTTCTGGCCCTCAAACTTGCTACTAAATTTCTTGGCCCTTATCAATTTTTGTACCAATCTCTTTAATTCGATGAGAGGATCGTTTATTACTAGATGTGGGAATCTTGAAGCAAGTTATGGCTTTGCGCCATTATGGACGGACACGCGCCCTTTTGGGCGTGTCCCTTCTATCATTCTTTCGTTTTTCTCTTCTCGTTCCTCAACACCGTTAAACTTTTTTTTCAGAAAATTTAGTTTTATATAATGGCATCTTCTTTGTCTTTTGAACAACTCAAAGTTACGATCAACTCTTCTCCTGAGAGTGCTTTGATCCACAAAGATGTTGAGCACCAGTTTAAATTGCTGCGGGAGCATATTTCAAGTCTTGATATTAAGACGGTAACGCAAGGTTTGAATTTGTTTTATGATTTAGAATTAGGTCTGGGGGAGAGAGATTCGAATTGGAGCTGGGTAAGGTTTTCTGCTGATAGATGATGGGGGGAAGCCGGGCATTTTTGCCTCTTGTGGTTGTATGTTAGGTTGGGTAGGCTCTTGTACATTTAAATAAGTTTTTTTGGCTCCATAAGCTTGATTCTTTAAAGTTGAGTATTTCTGTTGTTCCGACTCCGGTCATTCCTCCATATAGCGGTTCCGGGTCCTTTAATCAAAGGGAGTTTGGGAGGCCTATATTTTTTGAATGGGCTTTTTTGCCGCCCGAACTGGGTTCCTTAAAGGTTTAGTGGTTCTGCTTTTCTATTTCCTGGTGGTTCCAGTGGTTGGAGGTTCCCTTCCATAAGTTGACAATGAGTAACATTTCTTGAGTGGTGATACATTCCCTCATCTTGTTCAAATCAAATTTCTTTTAATTTTCTAGTTGGCTATTGCAAACAAGTTGCCCCTGATCCTCGAGGGCCACCTAAAGAAGATGAAATGGAGGATGTCCATGTGCCACTTCCAGATTTTGCCATTAAATGTTCTTGCCAGTTGGTTGCTCCAGATCCAAGAGGTCCTCCTTACAAAAATTTTGAAGTTTTTGATTTGCCAAAGCCTGAATTTGGCTCATTTTTTTCTAAGAAGAAGGTTTAAATTATTGAAATTTTTTGAGTTTTCAATTTTTGCAAAGAAATTTTTTTGTTTTTGTTGAATAAATTTATTTGAATTTTGATTTTTTTGCAATTTCCAACAATTTTTAAAAATTGTTTCATATCTTTTAATTTTTTAAACTCATTTTTTATATTTTATGTTGGGCTGGGAAGTCCATAAGATTTTTCCATATTTCTTTCTCTCTAAAATGCGGGGACTTCAGTTATTGGTGGGAGGCTGCAGTGACCATATAGGACGGCTATCGCCTCCTTCCCCTTTTCCTCCCTTTTGGTGACTGCTCCACCTTAAGTTATTTTTCGTATACATTCCGCATTGGGAGAATTCAAAATTATTTGCGGACAAATTTTGCGGACATATCACACTATAATATTTTTATTAGATATTGGGCGCTGGGTGAGGATAATGCTTTTTTACAATTTCTATGAATATATTTTGATTTCGGGTTGGAAAAAAAAACTTGGTTCTTAACTTTCTAGGGAATGCCCCTTATTTTGTTTCGAGTTTAAATTTTAATATTGAAAGGATTTACTTTTGTTTAACTATTAATTTAATCTTTTTTAGAAAATAATTTAATTTCAAATTTTTTTATTTCTTTTTGACTTCACATCATGGCAGCACAACAACTTTTAAATCAAAATGGTCCAGTAAATATCCAGCAACCACCATCAGTAAGTTTATCTTTCAATTTTTAGCCAGAGATCGGGCTGAAATTTTATCTAAATTTCTAACAGTTTTTAAGATAATCAAAAAAAATTTTTCGGGAGCCGAATTTAATAGTAAATTCTAGAACGAATACTGTATGTAGAGTTTTTGCATACCGAAATTGAAACTCGAAATTTATATCATTGGATTTCTTACGTTGAGCTGAGTTCAAACATGGAAGAATATTTTCCATAGACGAAAACTTGCAGAGACATATGCCCATGAGAATTGATAAAGGGGGGGGGGAGGGGGGGTAAGCTCAATTCTGTGGTAAAAACACGTAAACGTACATATCTGAACTCAGCTCGACAAGGGGAATCGAATGATATACATTTCGAGTTTCAATCTCGGTTGTCCTATTCTATGGTGGCCCCTAATTTTTATCAACTATAAAAGTCCGATCTCTTTTTTATTAATTTTTTAACTCATTTATGACCATTCAAAAGCCATACAAATTTAAATTTTGAAAAAAAATTTTCTCTTATTTTTCGATCTTTCATCTTTTCTTTCAAAAAATTTTTTAATCTTATATAGTGAAATTTAAGTTTCCATCGTTTTTTTTTCAACAAGCAAATAACCTTTAAAATTCTTTCACTAACACCGAGACGTTCTCGTCCAAACATGCTTGTTTCAAATTGGCTTTTATTTTCTCTTTTCTTCTGTTCTCTAACCACTCTTTATATTCTCTCTCTTTAATTCCAATTCTGAATCTTTTATCTCAAAAATCATTTCCATTTTTGAATCCGCTTTAACCATTTTATAGATAACGTTTCAAGCTTTAAGTAAAAATTATATTCATTTTTTCAGAAAAAAAACCTGATAATATACTAACAGGAATAAATCGATCTAAGTGACTGACCATTTTATAACTTTAGTCACTCTTACCATTTTTTCTCTAATACTTTATGTTGTATCCGATAGAATCTTCTTAATCTTGTGGGATATAAAATGCATTCCTATGACATTAAAAACCCCAATCTTTCAGTCGAATTAATACACGAGATTGTTAATTTTCTTCCATTTGATATCAAGTGGGAGGATTTTCGAGTCTCTTTAATTTTCGATTATTTACTTTTAAAAAATCAGCGTCATTTTATTATTCTTTCCAAATGTGTGAAAAAAGTAAGTTTTGACCTTTGTCCTTAATGGCTTTTAAATGGTTAAATTATTCTCAAAAATCCAAATATTTCTAATAAAAATTTTAAGATTATTGCCGTCCTTACACAAATAAAACAACAATATAGTGGGTTCACAATTTCTGTTGGGATGGGCAATCTGACTTACGAGACTCTCAATGCCATTAATGATAAAACAAACTACTCTTTTTATTGTAAGTTTGTAAAATACTTAGGGTACTTTTGACATCCACTTTTTCCTCTTTCCCTAACCGTTTTGGGCTTTTGCTTGGCGAAAGTGCTCTTAGAGATGGGTAATTTCAGGGGCCAGTAAAAGCATGATTATTAATTAAAAGTAGAGCCCAGAATTTTGTACTGTTACCGATCGGAATATATAGATATCGAAAAATGCTGAAAAATTTGGCAAATTTCCATCGGTCTGTATCTAAAAGTTCAGATTTTTTCTTTAAATCCAAACGGTACTTTTCCGTATGTCGGCAAACTCCGCAACTTTTTATCCGCAGGTCGTAATGTTTATTTCATTTTTGTTATGCCAATGGAATTTTTAAACGAAAAATAGAAAATATTCAGCATTTTTGCCCTGATGTCGACTTTTTTGCACTCTAATTTTTATTTTCGTCACTTATTTTGGAAAATAATTGACAATTATCTTTGAGAATTTCTTTGGAGAGAAGATGCAGAAACCGGGAGTTGATGCATTTGATGATATTCTTTCAAAGATTGATTTTTCGTCTTCAAAATAATCCTTTTGAGAAAATAAACATGACATGCGGATACAAAGTTGCGGACTTAGCCGTTACTAACGTAAAAGTACCATCCAAACATATTTTTTAAGCCTTGAAATTTATAACGACAACAATATTAAAATATAATTTCAATTATTTGGCTCTTATTGACTCCTACCACTGGCCGCCATCTTATTTTCCTTTTGCTGGCATACAAATGGTATCATTATATTTTTAATTTTATTTTATAACTCTTGACCCGGGAGTATTTTATTTAGTCTTAAAATTACAATATCGCAAAATTGAAAATAAGCACTAGCTTTTTTATTTTTCTAAAATTTGCTTATTTTTTTAGTTGAGGGCCAATGTTCATTTAAAATTATTCATTTTGGACCAAATAATGCAACTTTCTATAAACACACTTCAAAATAATTTTCAAATGACCGAGGTTGACGTTACTGCAGTCCGACAATTTCTCAATGTTATCGAAGCGAATGCACGAGATATAAACATTTCAATTATGAACAATAATAATGTTGCGGTTTAATTGTATAAAAAATATTTTTAATTTAAGAATTTATAAAATAAAAATTGTTTTTGATTTTCGTTTTTTTCTGACTAAATCCTGTTTTGATTATTTAAGATCAAAGACCAAATTTTATTTTTGATTTAGTAAATATTATTGTTGGTGTAAATTATTTTCCAATTTTTTGTTATTTTTTAAGTAAATATTTAATTTATTGTTTTTTGTTTTGGCAAAAAATATTTTAATTATGTTTATTTATTTTTAATATTTGTTTTACTTTTACTATTTTTTATTAGATTTTTTAGGTCACTAATAAAAAGAAAATATTTGCGGACAAATTTTGCGGACATTTTAATTTCTTATCTTTAGCAAAACAATGTCCCAACAAAAACAACCTTATTCAAACGCAACCGATATATCGACGTATTGTGTAATTTCTAACGAGGAAGTAAGACGTGTTCATTGCCATCTTTTTCCAAATTTGAAAGCAACTACTGGTAAATTGGCCGATTTTCTTCCAAATGTTTGTTATTTCTGCATTGTTGCAATTAAAAAGATGGAAGAAAATGAAGATTTTAAACAAATTTGTGCTGAAAGGTTAAAATTGAAGACAATTTTTGGGGTTAAATTTGACGAGGAATCTGATGATTTTATTGCTGGAGCGGTTTATTTTTTAATTTAATTTTTTTATAAATTTTTTTGTATTTTAGCCTTGGGAACCTCGCAGTGTATTTGTGCCTGTTCACCCATTATATCCAAAGAGTGCGTTGCCGTGGTCTGATCAAAATAAGGTTTGTATTTTGATTTGAAGATAATTTTTTGAGGGACCCTCCCAATCTATGAGTAATCTTTTATTTTTTGGTATCATTTGATAGAGGGCATTTCCTCCTTCCACACCGTTTTATTCTTTTTCGACTTATTTTTCCTTCCATTTTGGATCTAAAAATGAATTTTTAAAAATATTTTTGGATATTTGTTTTCTTTTGGAATATTTGAGAGGCCTGTTAGATCTTTTAAGGACCAGTTTTTTTATCTGAGTTTTATTTTCCTCCTATTCTGGGTCTATAAATTATTTAAAAAAATATAATCATCGTGTTTTAAAGGTAATAAGCTCGGAATGTGTTGTAATTAATGATAAAGAAGTGTTTGTTGTACACCGACCTAATCATAAAGGATTGATTGGATTTGTAAGTTTAATATTTTTATAGAAAGAATTTTTTTAATTTTTAAATTTAGATTATTCCTGGCGATTTTATGTATGTTGATGGTCGTGTTCTTGGTTGTGAGGTTTATAGTGATATTTTAAATTTGTTTAAATTGGGTTTATTTGGAAATTGTGTTAAGAGTAACTTGGCTCAGTGGATTCGTCCTGGACTAGTTTTGTGGTGATAAGGGTTCGAACCCTTTTGCCTCCAATTTATTTTCTAGTTTTTACATGTCCCAAAAATTTTTTAAAACAATTTTAAAATTCTTTTACATTTTATTTTTTTTCAGCTCTACTTTTGTCGCTACAATATGGCTTACATTGTTTATGGTTATTATCCTCATCCTCTTGGAAAGGGCGGTCTTCGTGAATTAGCCTGGTGTACTCCAATGACGATTGGTTCAGAGAACCCAATGTATACACATTGGAAAGATGGCGGTGTTAAAGAGGTTTTTCTAAATATTTTTTATTATTTTTATGTGTTGACCCAAATGGATCCACTCAAACTCACTTGAGGTGAACTCCCAAAATGTCAACTGGCCCTTGATGTTAACTGGAAATATAGACGGTTAAAAGGGACTTAAGACCGAGAATACGTTGGTCTGCTCCCTCTTGACTTATCCGACAGTTACATGAAATATTTTCGGCTTCTGTCCCTTAACCCTCTTAATTCCAACAAATCCACCTTAATCCGACCAAATTCCTCTTTACCCGTCAGATATTTGGGTGGGCTCACAAAAGGGTGAGCTCACAAACCTCCTTGAGGTTGACCCTAGGATGTTGACCTTCTTGGGGTTGATTTCTTTTTTAATATTTAATTTTAAAGTTTCTGGGTTATGTCAAACTTTGTCGATTCAACAACTTTTATTGCACTTTCTGCATTCCTTTAATTGTTGACCCAAAAAATGTACTTCATGGAAGAGTTTTGCTTGGAGATTCTAATAAAATGTATCAACAAGAAAAGGAACAAAATGTTGGGATTAGAGTTTGGCTAAAATTTAATTCTGACAAGAAAGTTTTTCGTTGGGAAATTACTGGATTATTTGATGTATTCAAAACAACAACAAAACAATTGCCTCTGTGGGCGAGGCCGTTGCCTAGTGAATTGGAAGGTCCTAAACATGTAAGAAAAATTTGTGTTTTATCTGATTTTTGAAATATTTTCCGATTTTTACCATTTTGAAACATTTTTCGATTTTTACCATTTTGAACTCGAATTTTTTTAAAATTTTTTTTTTTAAATTTCCAGCATGCCTTTACCTCAGTTGGTCTTAGAATTAACCGTAAAGGAGCTGTCTATTGCCCTCATGTTTGCAATTTTCCAATGTTTATCGACAGCAAAACAACGAACAAATCAAAAATTAGTCTTGGCGATTGGTTTAGTTTTAATGCAATATTTGATGAAAAATCTAAAATTTATCGAATCTTGAGTGTTATAAAATTGGTTCAGCATCAAAAATATTTGTTTAAACAAATTGATGGAGAAGAGGACGTTTTTATGGTTTTTTAAATTTTTTTTTAATTTTAAACTTGCGGACGAGATTTGCGGACAAAAGTTTTTATCAAAAATTTTATTACTTTTGTGGACAAAAATATTATCTAAAATATTTTTTGTTTAATTTGCGTTAGACTTTATATCCGAATTGAATAAATTTTTCACCTATTTTTGGGTTGTTGACAAGAAAAAAATTGTCCGCAAAAAAATTGTCCGCAAAACTTGTCCGCAAAATTTTTTTTATTAAATTAAAAATTTTATTTTGCTTCTTTTAAGTTCAATATTCCTTTAACTTCGAATTATTTTACTTCTCGGCATTTACTGTTTAATGAAGAATTTGGGTTTGTTGAAGATGTTGATAAAAAAATTATTATGTTTACAATTGCTTTTGAAGAAACTCGTTAGTTTTTTTTTAATTTTATTTTTTTTTGAATTTTTGCGGATAAGTTTTACAGGCAAAAAAAATTTTTGAAAATTTTTATTTAATTTACTATAGGCTTTATCCTAATATAATTTTTTCAAACACTCAAAATTTGGTAAAAAGGAAAAAAAATTGTCCGCAAAAATTTGTCCGGAAAAATTATAGGCAGGAAATTTATCCGCAAAAAAATTTGTCCGCAAAAAATTTTTTTCGAATTCTTTTTTAAATTTATTTTTTTAGATCCAGATACTACTGAAAGGGGTGTTTGGTGCAGAGAAAATCCAGATGTCGAGAATCGTTTAGTTCCTTTTTGTGTTGTTGGAATTGAAGATCCTGCTGGAGTCATTTTTTAGAAGTAAATTGACTTTTATTTATTTTTGAAAAATTATCATTTTTTTGATGATGCCTTTAAAAATTTTATTATTTTTGATCTCTCTTTTTTTTGAATTAAAATAAATTTTTTAAAATTATTTTTTGAATTGAAAATTTTTTTTGAATTGTTTTAAATTCAATTTATTTATTTTATTTTGTTTTTTTTTAATTTAAAAATTCTTAATTTTTTTTTCCTATAAAAAATTTTAATTAAATTAATATTTAATTAACAACAATTTTTTATTTTGTGTGCTTTAACCAAAATGCATTGATTTTTCTTGTGATTTTTGAGGGGTGCTTTGAAAAGATGTTTTGGGAGTTGGAACGGAATGTTGCTGTGTTGTGTTTAGGTTGGGAATTTTTTAAAAATACTTTTTTAACTTGAAAATATTTTTTTGCTGTAATCCTACCGCTTTCCGCAGCGCCAAATTTTTTAGAATTTTTAAAATTAGTTTTAATAGGAAAAATCCGCAAAATTTGTCCGCAAAGTTTTTTCTAATATTTTTTAATTTTATTTTAATATTTCCGGAAAACCAATTTAAAAATTTATTTTTTTAAATTTTTTAAACCTCACTATTTTTAAATAAATTGAAAAGAATATTAATTTAAACCGCGCAAATTTTACCATTTAATTATACACACAAATAAAATTACCCCAAACAATAAAAAATAAATTTTAAATTAATTTTTTATTGTTTATTAAATTAAATATTTTTTAGAAAATTTTAGGGGGGGAAAGGGAAAAAATATTTTTATTTAATTTTATTGGCACTTTTAAGAAATTTTATTTTCTGAAAATAATTTTTCTTTAACCTCAAAGAATATTTTTTGAACTCTTTTAAAATTTATTTTTTATCAGAATCATTTATATTAAAATAGATATTTTAGCTTATCTAAAAAAAAATTTTTTTTTAAGTGAGGGAAATTTGGAAATTTTATTTTAATTTTTTTGATTAGAATTTTGGGGCTATTTTAATAATAAATTATTTTGTGTTAGTATTTTGGTCCTTCTTGAATTTTTTCTAAATTTTTTTTTTAATTTTTTGTCTTCCCATTTTGTCTTATCTTGCCTAAATTTTTTATTTTTATTAGATTGTTCAATTTTTAGTTTATTTATTTACTCATTTTCTACTTTATTTCACACAAATTCACTCATTTTCCTCTCTCATTTTTCCTCTTTTTATTAACTAATTTTTGAGGGAAACTAAAAATGAGGAGAAAAGGTGTCCGTAAAAGGAGGAAAGAGTGAAAAGAAGCTTCTCTCTTTTTATGCCTCAATTGCTTTTATTTTTTGGGACAACTGGAAATTTTATTAATAAAAGGAAAAGCATATTAAAAAATAAAGAAAAATCTAAAAAAGGGATTTTTATAATTTTTTGCGCGATTTTTTTGAGTGTAAATATAATGTAAAAATTAACTTTACTAAAAATAAAAGCAAATCCAGCTGTGTTTTATTACTTTTTATTTTTTGGCTTATCACCTTTTTTAATCTTTACATTTTTAAAAATAGCCTTAAAGTAGAACCTAAAAATAAATATAAAATATACTGTTTAATAATAATGTTCCAGTCAGAAAAAGTTTTTGGAACCAACTAGGTTCGATACCTGTTGAGGGGCATTTATTTTACTAAATTTTGCTATTTTCTAGTTATCTAATAGCTTAAATTTAGAAATTATGTAGTAGTTTTTCGATGGCGTTATGGTTAGTGTGTTTGATTTACTAGCTTGAAAGGCCCAGGTTCGATACCATTTGTGTGACATAATTTTTATAAAAAATTTTTTTTCTAATTACCTAGATAAGCCTAATTTATAAAAATTTGTATAGTTAGTCGGTTGCGTTATGGTTAGTGTGTTAGACTTTACAACTACAAGGGCCTGGGTTCGATACCTATTGGTGCCCATTATTTTTATAACTGCTTTTAAATTATTATTTTAATTGTTTAAAATATTTTTACGTTCTCCAAAAATTTTAAAATTTTTTTTTGTTAAGAAAATTTAAAAATAAATTTAAAAAAACTAAAAGGGAGAAAGGGGGCGTAACTGTGTTTATGGGAAATTAAAACTTTTTTTTGTTTAACGCAAAATGAACAACAAAAAAGTATTGTGTAAAATTAACCCCCACAAAACATAAAAACCTCCATTCAATTCCCGAAAAAGCAAAAATAATTTTTTTCTTTTAATTTCTCACAAATTTTATTTTAATATTTTATTTTTCCCGTTTTTTTTCGTTTTATTTCCGTAAATTTTTAATTAAGTTGCGCTAGTTTTTGTTGTTGTGGGTTTTTAGTAGAAAGGGAACAAACTTCCTAAATAAATAAATTTTTATTTTTGAAACAACAAATAAATTTTAATTTTTTTTCAAAATTTCTTACGTGTTTAAATTTATATTTTTTTTAAAAAAATTATTTTTATTTTTTAACAATTAATGGTTTTTTTCAATATTATTTTTTATTTATTTCAACTATCACTTTAAGCCCTATGGCATTTATTTTTTCAATTTTTTTCAAATTTTCTAACTAGTAAATAGGCTCGGGTTCGAGGTCGCTTGGTGCCGGCTATTTTTAAGACTGCTTTTAAACGTTCTATTAGCTTCTATTAAAGATGGGCGTTTATTAGAATATTTTTCCCCTATTTGTTCTGAACCTATTGAACAATTATTTGTTTTTTTTAATTTATTTGTTTTTCAAAACCAATTAATCGTTTGTTTTTTCAGTGATTAATGGCTTCTCCAAGCTACACAACTTCTTCAAATATTCCAATCCCTACCTATCGAAGTATTGGAAACAAAGTTATTGTCCCCGTTGGAAAACCTGCAGATCATTGTTTATTAGTGCCGGTTACGTCTGTGGTTACTTCTGGAATTTACAACAGTGGAATTAATGATAACAACAATAATGGAGGTGGTGGAGGTGATAGTCCTTGGAGTGGGGCATTTACAAAGGTAGTGTAAATTTTAATTTAAAATTAAAGAAAACAATTAATTGGTTGAAAAAAGTAATTGTGGACTGCTTAAATTGAGTGGCCAATTAATTGAGGAAAACAATTAATTGGGGGAAAACAAGTAATTGGTAGGAAGCAATTAATTAGTGGGTTTTTAGTTGAGTATTGGGGTTTTAAATTAAAAGACTAATTAATTTAAAAACCAGCTAAGTTCTTAGTTGAAACAAATAATTGTTTTTAATTAAATAACCAATTAATTGTTTCCCCAAAAAAATTTCCTTTTTTCATATTATTTTTGCCAATTTTTTTATATAATTTATTCAAAAATAATGAGAAATTCTATTCATATTTTTTTAAAAATATATATTTTCCCATATATTAAATTCCCAGTATTTACTAATATATAATTGGAAACAAACCACATGGTTCTAAAAAATTTTTTTGAGTTTTTTTAATTTTCTCACAGAAAATAATTTTTGGTATTTTTGAAATTTTTAAGAGGTTTTTGATTTTTTTTTTGATTCAAAAAATTTTTTTGAGTTTAAAAATTTTTTCCCTTCCTAGAATATTTTTTTGACTTCAAATATTTTTTCTAAACATTTTTTATAAAATTATATATTTTTTTCCTATTAAGAAAGTGCAATTTTATTAAGTGCCCTTCTTTTTTTTTATTAAAAATTAATAAAATAATAAAAGCTTTTAACGACCCTCTTAAAAATTTATTTTTATTTTTTTTTATTGTTATTTAATTTTTATTTTGTGTGTGTGGTATAGTCTCTCTATAAACGTCAGTCATGCTTTTTTAAGAAAATTTTTTTGGAATTTATTTTTAGAATTTTTATAAATTTTTTAATTTTTATTTTTAGTCCATATTCTTATTTTTAGTCCATTTTTAGTCCATATTCTCGCCCTATTATTATTTTTTATTCGTGCCACAAAAGTTTTTTTACCTTTTTTTCTCTTAAATTCCCCCCAAATATCTACACAATTTTTTAAATAATTTTAAAAAATAAATTTTCAATTTTCTAGACATTTATGAGAGGTGGATCATTAAGCAGTGCAAGCGGAATGGAAAATTCTTCTGGAGAAAATAATAATAGAGGTGGAAATGTTGGATATTTATTGAGAGATAGGCCTTTTACAATGATTAGGTAATTTAAAAAATTTTTTGAAATTTTCCAAAAAAAATTTTTAAAGCAAACTGTCTGCTGAATTTATTGGAACATTGCTTTTAACGTTTATTGGTTCCCTTTCCGGTTTAAATATTATATCAAATTCCAATGCTGTGTTACATGCTGCTTTTGCTCATGGATTGACTGTGTTTGCTTTGGTTTCTTCTTTTGGACATATTAGGTGATTTTTAAATTATTTTTAATTTGAGAGGGTTTTGAAGGCCCTTTCCCTGTATTTTTAGATTTTGTATTTTCCGGATTATTGAGACCGAAAAAAACCTGGGATAAATCGGCTCGATTGTCTATCATTTTTTTCCTCTCTACCATTTTTTATTTTTTGGATTTATTGAGGCACAAGTCTTAAATTATTTAACCATTTTGGTTTATAACTTTTGTGCAGGAATCCAAGAAAGTATTCAAACAAAGAATTATCAGTCTATTGGATCTGATGAATTTAATCTTTCTGCCCCTTTAATTTTTCCTTAATTAATTTTGATTTAAATAAATTTTTCAGTGGCGCCCATTTCAACCCAGCAATTTCATTAGCTGTTGTACTTGTAGGCAAAATGAAGATTCTAAATGCCATATTTTATTGGATATCACAGTTGGCTGGAGGGTTTTGTGGGGCTTTAATTGTTAGGGTAAAATTTAAAAATTATTTTGATTTTGTCATGGTCCAGTCCCAAGGTTTTTTTTTTTATTTTTTTGTGTTTTACGATAAATGCGACCAGAAAAGAGGGCTTGATTCGAAAAACAAATATTTACCTGGTCAGATCCTTGGGCTTTTAGGGTCCAAGAGAAATCCCGGGCCTTAGCCCCCTCCCCCTAATTAATACCAAGATATTTTAAATTTTATTAAATTCTGTTTAAGTTTGTAACAGACCAAAAACAATATGGTTCAATTGCTGGTGGAGCTACTATAGTCCCTCCTAATCAACTTTGGTATCAGGTTAACGATTTTTTATATTTCAAAAATAAAAAAAAATTTTAGGCAGCAATGGTTGAATTAATTTTGACAGCAATTTTAGCCCAAACAATTCTTACGTGTGCTGTTGACACCTCAACGGTTTCTATTGCCCCTTTAGCTATTGGAATGACTGTTGCCTTGGATATATTTGCTGGGTAATTTTAAAGTTTAATTAAATCCCCGAATGTGTATAAGCAAATTAAAATATAATTACGAATATGTTATGTTGTGGTTAAGTTGGTAGTGTGTTGGACTACACCCCATGAGGGTCGTAGGTTCAAATCCTGTTGTTCCCAACATTTTTTATTTTAATAAAAAATTGTTAAAATTATTTTTACATTAATTAATAATTAAAAAAATATTTTTTAGAGCCACACTTAGCGGTGCTTCAATGAATCCAGCACGATCTTTTGGTCCTTGCCTTGTTGCCAGCTATTTTTTACAAAATGTTTGAAAATAAAAAAATAATTTTTAAATTTCTTTTTTAAATTTTAGGGGCCAGGCACAAAATTAACTGATCCAATTTGGACTTCTCATTTTGTCTTTTGGTTAGGTCCTTTGTTGGGCGGAGTACTTGCAGCTTTTATTTTCAGGTTAAAAATTAATTTAAATTGAAAAATTTTAAATATTTTTAGAACACTGTTGACTAGAGGAAACAACAGAATATGCCCTTGATTTGAACGAGTCATCGAATATTTGTACATTCCTCAAATTGCAAATTTGGCCTCAACTTGTCCTTATCTGGATTTTAGAAAATTAGAATTAAATATATTCTATTATAATTTTATATATTTACTATTATAAAATTTTACATGTCGTGAATTGCATTTTGTCATATTTTAAATAATGGCATTTTGTCACGATTAAGACTAAGAGTTCTTTTGTCAGGTTTACTACATTGATGCATTTTGTCGCATTTATAACTAAGATGCATTTTGTCGCATTTTGAACTGTGTGGCATTTTGTCGTATTTTGAACTGTGTGGCATTTTGTCGCATTTATAACTAAGATGCATTTTGTCGTATTTTGAACTGTGTGGCATTTTGTCGTATTTTGAACTGTGTGGCATTTTGTCGCATTTATAACTAAGATGCATTTTGTCGCATTTTGAACTGTGTGGCATTTTGTCGGATTTATAACTAAGAGGTATTTTGTCCTAAAACTTAAATTTTAAAATTCTAAATTTAAAAAAAATCGATATCAATCGATAAAATCAATACTAATCGATAATTTATTTTTTAAAAATTCTTAATTTTAAAAAATCGATATCAATCGATAAAATCAATACTAATCGATAATATATTTTTTAAAAATTCTAAATTTAAAAAAAATCGATATCAATCGATAAAATCAATACTAATCGATAATTTATTTTTTAAAAATTCTTAATTTTAAAAAATCGATATCAATCGATAAAATCAATACTAATCGATAATATATTTTTTAAAAATTCTAAATTTAAAAAAAAATCGATATCAATCGATAAAATCAATACTAATCGATAATATATTTTTTAAAAATTCTAAATTTTAAAAAAATCGATATCAATCGATAAAATCAATACTAATCGATAATATATTTTTTAAAAATTCTAAATTTAAAAAAAATCGATATCAATCGATAAAATCAATACTAATCGATAATATATTTTTTAAAAATTCTAAATTTAAAAAAAATCGATATCAATCGATAAAATCAATACTAATCGATAATATATTTTTTAAAAATTCTAAATTTTAAAAAAATCGATATCAATCGATAAAATCAATACTAATCGATAATATATTTTTTAAAAATTCTAAATTTAAAAAAAATCGATATCAATCGATAAAATCAATACTAATCGATAATATATTTTTTAAAAATTCTAAATTTAAAAAAAATCGATATCAATCGATAAAATCAATACTAATCGATAATATATTTTTTAAAAATTCTAAATTTAAAAAAAATCGATATCAATCGATAAAATCAATACTAATCGATAACATTAAATACATGTACTTATCTAAAAATTTTCATATACAGTAGTTTTTTACTCTCAGTATACAGCACTGAAACGACCCAAACACATGAAAATATTTTTTTCTCTAACTACACTATTTCTTTATTATATTTCTCTAATTTAAGGGCCAAAATGTCATTTATTTTAATATTACATCACAACATCTTAACTATCTCAAGCATTTTCTTTCCCTACTCACTACATTCAATTTACTTAAAAATGGGAGACAGTTCAGAAGGATTACTAGAGTCTTGGTTACGTGAAAATGGCCTCCTCGAACTATATGTGGTATTCAAGCAAAAACCACTATTTTTCACGAGATCGATTTGAATTTTAAGTTTAATGACGAGTGATTTAACTTTATTTATTCAAACACATAAACTTGGCTAAAAACAAGCAAAATTATATAAAATATCATAAAATTAACGTTTAATTCTTAAATTTTTTTCTCCATTTCTTTTTAATTCCAAACTTACTGCTTGGAGCAAATCGACGATGACGCATATTTAATTTTACAAAGTTACCTCCATTTTGTTTTTTGGTTGTTGTTCTTCTCTTTGTTGGGTATTTTTTGATTGTATCTTCTTCTTTCAATTTTTCTTCCACTTCCTCATCATCGTCTCCTTCTTTATTTTCATTGTCTTCATGAAATTCTTCTTCTTCCTCATCAGATTCTTTTTCTAAAAAATTAAAAAGATAAATTTTTATTTGAAAAGAATTTAGAAACAGGAAGGGAAACAAGAACTTCAGTGGATTATAACCTTATTTCTTTCGGGTCACCTTCTTACAGAGAAAATGGAACAGGGACCTGTTTGAGAAAAATGTAGGATAGGGTTTGGGTAACACGATTAATCCCTGAAATGAACTCCCAAGTTAACCCACAATTAATAATTCCTAGCTTAAGTTTAATTGTTGAAGTCAAGTTAAAAAGGGTTTCTAAAACAAGGGGTTTTTTTAAAAGAGAATGAATGAGAAACTCTAGAAAATAAAGAGATCCCCTTCAAAATAACTCCCAAAAAAACACAAAGCAAACCTGGAGACATCAGCAACAAATTTCCAATATTTTTACAAATAACAGATTGTTTCAACCTTCGAGCAGGTGAAGGTGTTTTTAACCAAACTTTGTTGACATCATCTGAAGAATGTGAAGGAGAAGACAAGAATCCTTTCCATTGTTGTTTTAATGGGGAAATGAAGGATTCATCAATCGGAGGGCGTTGAAATAAAAACTTATTTGTAGAAAAACTTGTTGTTGTGGGACCAGATTGACGGAAGAATTCTTCACAAGTGTTTGTTGACTAAAAATTTTTTGGAATTAATTGATATCTATTTTTAACTCTGACTCAAACTTTAAGCTAGAAAATGTTTAAGGGATTTTAGAGATTTAGGGATATAAGGGGATTGATTTTCGTCACTTCAGTCTTCTCGGATCGGTACGAAAAAGGAGAGAAACCACATCAGTTTAATAAAATCCTACAAAATTTGGCCGGTCCCCAAATCCTTCAAATAAAATTTTAAGAAGACAGTGTCCTAAAACCACAGAAGTTACCCAAAAATGAATAAAAAAGATTAACCATTTTAGCTCTTCTCTTCACTGGGGACATAAATTCTTCATCTTTTAATTCATTCGGCTTCAAAGCTAATTTTTTGCGTTTTAGAGGTGTTGATTTGTTGTTGTTGTTGAACATTTTTATTAAAATATTTTTTGAAATATCTAAAAAATAAAAAGAAGATTATCTCATTTTAATTTAAGAAAATGACACGGAAAAGATGGGGAAATAATCTCAAAAAATCGGAGCTAAAAGTTTGAAGGGGGTGTATTTTCCGGAAATGAGTTTCCCAAAAAATATTAGTTATTTCTCCGGATACTGCATTATTTCCAGAAAATGTGTTTATTTCAGACAATATAATTTCCGGAAGAATATAATAAAATGTATTTTCCGGAAATTATTTTAGTCTTTAATAGGTAATGGAGCTAATGTAAGGTTGAAATGTTTTTGGAGACTCCTCGAGTTTGGACTACAAACAACTTAAAAAACCTCCACCAAAAGCAAGTTAACAAACTAATTTTTACATCAACATTTGACAAGTAAAACAGGGACTTGAGGGGCACATTTATATCCAAATCCACAGCAAACTGTCTAAAGGCTTCTTAAAAAATTGAATTTTATTTCATCGAATAACACAAACAAAACCTGAACTCTCCAATTATTAATTTGTAATCAAATCCACAGACATGCTAGATGGAAGCCGAGCAAGTTCGGCATACAAAAAACTGCATTTTGAATTAATTCCAAGTCCTAAAAATGCTTAAAAACCCTTCCTTCCCCAGATACAAGCCCGGGATTTAAGTGGACTCATTTGCGGACAAAACTTGCGGATGTTTAGAAAATATAATAAACAAACACTAATTGCCACGACGTCCACTTGCATCATGAAGAGCACTACCGATGGGACTCCCAAAGGCGGATACCTATGGGGGCCCCAAAGGCCAGCCACCAGAAGAGCACTACCGATGGGACTCCCAAAGGCGGATACCTATGGGGGCCCCAAAGGCCAGCCACCAGAAGAGCACTACCGATGGGACTCCCAAAGGCGGATACCTATGGGGGCCCCAAAGGCCAGCCACCAGAAGAGCACTACCGATGGGACTCCCAAAGGCGGATACCTATGGGGGCCCCAAAGGCCAGCCACCAGAAGAGCACTACCGATGGGACTCCCAAAGGCGGATACCTATGGGGGCCCCAAAGGCCAGCCACCAGAAGAGCACTACCGATGGGACTCCCAAAGGCGGATACCTATGTGGGCCCCAAAGGCCAGCCACCAGAAGAGCACTACCGATGGGACTCCCAAAGGCGGATACCTATGGGGGCCCCAAAGGCCAGCCAACCAACCACCATGAAGAGCAACTTTAAAAATAATTTAAAAAATTTAAAAATGTTTAAAGCCGACAAGTTTTGTCCGCAAATAACCCCCCCCCCCATTCAAGGATTAAACCCTTTTCTTTTTCTCTTGCAGGTGTGGAGTTGTTGCAGGAGTGCTAAACAATGTTGTCCCGCCTTTGCTGGTTCCATATTGAGTTTGTGCAGTTTCTATAAAGGAAAAATTCATTTAAAAGAAAATTTTTTATTGGCATAAAAAACGCTCCTGGGACACCCCGTTCACTTATAAGCCTCCCACCTCATTTGTTGTGTCAGCAAATGGAACAGATCGGTGGACAGAGGGAATATGGACTTTTAATAACCTGATACTCCATCAACAGACAGGAACGAGACAGAGGATCGACGCTTGACAGTGAACAAGCACTCTTTTACAAGCTTACATAAAGACCCCCCATTCCCAGAAAGGACCACAAAGATAATAAAAAGAAAATCAAAACCTGGAGTCATCAGCAACAAATTCCCAAGGATTGTTCATCATTCGGGCTGGTGAAGGTTTGTTGACATTTGAAGCATTTGAAGAAGAAGACAAGAATCCTTTCCCATTGTTGTTTTAATGGAGAAATGAATGATTCAAGGGCGTTGAAATAAAAATTTGTTTGTTGTAGAACTTGTTGTTGTTGTTGAAGCATTTTGATGAAATAATTCTTCATCAATTTTAAATTGCTTGTGAACTAAAAATTGTTTTTAGAATAAATGTGATATGTATTCATTTTTGGACTCAGTCCATAAAATGTTTTTCAAAAAATGTGTAAACAAAAAGGTTAATGAATGAACAAAAGAGACACAAACAAATCAATAACCTTTTTCTCTATTAAAATAAGATTGTAGTCAAGAGAGAGATTGTTAGACAAAGAAAAAAAGAAAAAATCGTAATAGTACATAGCCAAAAATAATGGCCGACAAAAATCAATACGCGTTATAAGAAAATGTAATCTTTTTCTCTGCAAAAGTATAACACACTATTTCCTTTGCGAGGGACTTCAAAATGTAAACTCAAGGTATTTCAAAGTGTAAACAAAATAAAAAATGTCAAACAACGAAAATATTTTCAGGTAATCTAATGTTCTAGAACATTCTTTTTACATCAGAAATCCCTCAGGCAAAATTTATATAACAGATAAAAAACAGAACAATGTGTATTATTCTTTGGGAATTTTTCAAAAAAAATGGATGAGGAAATGAGGATTTCAATTTCTTCTTTTTTATTTTCCTCCATTTGCAATTATAGCCCTCTTTTTGTGCAAATTTGAAAGATGTTCAATAGCAGAACGAGAAATATGATTACCATGTGGAAGTTGTCGAGCAGCTTGTAAAATGTCGGATAATGGACGGCAAAAATCTAAAAAAAATAAATTGATTTTTAAACAATAAATGACATTTTATCCCACTAGAAAGAATGGAACGGTTGAGAACCGGTCCCTGGATTCTAAGAGTTGTTTATGGCCCAGGAACAACTAGCCGAGTATACCCCCTCAAAAAATGTTACAAAGTCCTGAGTCATCTTCTTGGAAGAAGCGAATGCCCGAAAAATCTTCTTGGACGTTGATCGGATACCCATAAAAACCCTCAAAATAAATTGGCCTTGGAACATTTCTAACCTGTATACCCCCTCAAAATATCCCTAATCAATTTTCGGATCCATCGCCCAAAAATATTCCTAAAAGGATCAGGTACCCACATAAAATACCCTACCAAAAAATATAAAAAAATAAAAACTAACAATAATCCTGAACTGTTTTCAGATCAAATTCAAAGAAAGGTGCTCTAGCTGCTTTACGAACATTAAAAATTTGTTTAGGAGCTATCCTGAAAAAAAAATATTTTTTAAAATTTTATAAATTCAAAAAAACCTTCTAGCTATTCGAGTTTCTAATGGTGCATTAAGGCAAAAAGCTACACGGCCTTTTTGTCCAATCAAAATTTGTCCTGATATTGAAGAAGGAATTAAACTTCCACCAACATTTTTTGATGAGGTCGACAATGTTTGTTGTTGCTGTTGTTGAGGACCACTATTTGATGAATTCTTTGAATTAACATTTTGACGATTCTTCAAAAAAATATTTAAATTATTTAAAAGAAAAAAATTTTTTATACCGCGCCAGCTTGACCACTACTAACAGCAGAACGTCCTCCTTCATTTAAACCATCCAAATCAAAAGTATCTAAAAATTTATGAGTTTTAGTCTGTCCAAAAGTTTTATTGGAAGCATTAAAGAAAGAGGAGAAGCCAGAAAAAAAGAAATTTTCGGTAAGTAGAGGCCCTCCTATAGCTACGTATGGGACAAGAGGACTAAATGACCTTGGATCCTTGACTTTAAATCAAGAAAAGAATCAAAAGTCGGGAAAGAAAAAAAAAGAAACCATTGAACCTAAGAAAAATTCAAGATTTATCTCCCTACTCCTCTGAACCTATCTCTTACCCTCTGAATTTCAAAAAAAAAATAAAAAAATTAAAGCAAACCTAATTCATGAGGATTAGTTAAACCTCCTCTCTTTTTCCAAATATTCCAACAATCACCACAAAGCCTCAATTGATTTGCTGGTCCCCACAAATACCATTGATAAGCTTCTATTATCTTTAAAAAATAATAAATAAAATTAAAAAAAATCTTTAAAACATACATTACATCCTTCACAAGGATAATTACTTTTAACACATTCAAAAGGTGTTGGTGCAGAATTAATTAAATTAATTGTTGGCTTATTATAACTTGGAATGTAGACTACATTGAGTTTATTTTCTGAAAAAAATTTTAAAAAATTTTAGAAAAAATTAAAAAAAAATCTCAAATCATCAAATTTAAATTTTTTTAGTTTATTCTTCAAAGAAAAATAAAGGGTAAGCAACAGGAGTCGAACCTTCGACCCTTTATAGGGCAAACCACGGACGATACCACTCAACCAAACCTTAACATAACAAACACTCCTAAAAAAGTCTTGTAGTCCATTCATATTTTCACTTTAAAAACAAACAAAACAAACCTCGATCTGTATGTTTGGTTTTTTTAATTTCAGCATAACGCGAAGTCGTCTTCCACATATAGTAGTATTCAACAATATCGCGTATTGATTTCCAGGGAAGCTGAAATTTTTTTTATTAATGGTGAAAAATTTTTTAGAGATTAGTTGAACCAGATTCCTTGACCTTAAGTCAAAGAAAAAATTAAGGTCAAAAAAACTTTAAATCCAGATCTTTTGGACTTTAAATCCAAAAGGTATGGATTCAGATTTAGGCCAGTCTCTCATTTCTTAACACCCTCATAAAACCCCCTCCCTTACTTACAAAGTCTAGCCGAATATCATGAAAATCTTTCACACATCTGTCAACACCCTCCTCAAAAAGAGTTGATTCAGAAGCTGACCATTCTTCTAATTGATCTCTACAAAGTATTGGACCACCCAAAATTGCTGTTTTATTTGACGTTAATTTATCTGTTTCAAGTGGATAGTGGTGGTTGTTGTCTGCTGGGGGGACGAGAAAACCTGTTGCCTTTAAAAAATAAATATATAAACTTGTATTTATAAATTAAAATCAAAATTAACATTAAAAACTCGATTTCAGAACGTATATGATCCCAAAAAATTAAATTAAAAAAATTATTTTAATAAAAGTAAGAGCAACACGAATCACGAAAATCGTGTTAGTTCAATGTTTATTTGGTCACATAAATTTTTTAAGGGACAATAGGACCTCATCGATTCCTGCAGGTTTATCAGGAAGGTTAATCAAAAGCTTTCAATCAATCCAAAAATTATCAAAAAAGATTGTACAAGTTAAAAGAAGCTATCGGCCTTATAACAACTTCAGTTGAGCCCCAGGAACCCTGAGGATTTTTTTCCTACATAAGTCTATATAATTTTCGGTGGGCCCTACAAATATTTCTCTAAATCCCTTCTTACATCTCCTCTATAGACCTTCTAATTATTTTTTATCGGAAAAATTTTTTCTATTAAAAAAATTATTAATTAATTTACCACAACCTTTCCCATATCGTAGTTTGATTGATGCAATAAAGCCATAGCATGTAAAAGTGTAATATCTCGTGAAGCTGCCGCTGCTGTTTGATGAAGTGTTGGTATTTTAATAGAAGAGGAACTGTCTAATGCTCGAGAAAATGTTCCAACAGCTCTTTAATTTAAAAAATTAATTTTTCTTAAAAAAACTTTTCAAAAAAAACCTCGCAATTAATAAAAATTGATCAATTTCCAAATCTGAAAGATTATGATATGGATGATAAACACATCTTTCTCGCCTTGTTTCGCCTTCAAAATGAAATTGTTGTTTTGTTGATGAATTTTTTGAAATTTTGGAAGCTTCTTTTAGTGATGATGAAGATGCTTTATCGTCGTCTTCTTCTTCTTCAGCTTTTTTATTTTGATGTTTTTCTTCATCTTTTTTATCCTGTAAAAATAGAAAAGATTGTTATATAGAAATAAGGCTCCATATTGTTAAAAAGTTTGTGTGCCATCAACCTTGACTGAATAATGTAAGAGGAAGAATGGCGGATCCCTGGAAAATCAGTAAACATATCCCGAAAAACAGGAATGAATTCTTCCTTATTTAAAAAAATGAAGGGAAGGGAAAAGAAAAAAGAAAATTGAAGGCAGAAAAACAAAAGACAGAAAAAGATAGAATTCAGCAAAAGACAGGAAGAAAATGGAGGATTATTTGTACTATCACTGAACATATCAGTAGAAAGCAGGGATGAGTCCAGGAATCCACAAGAACTCAAACAGTCCAGGGATCTATAACACACTTTCCCAACAAAAAATGCCCCAACCCCAATATCAAAAAAAAAATTAAAAAAACCTCATGCCCATTTTTTTCCTCATTTCCAATTTCATCATCCATTTTTTCTTCATCATCATCCACTCTTCCATTTCCACTTTCAACATCATCACATTCCATTGTTTCCAAATCATTTTTATTTTTTTCATTTAACAAATCAGGAATTATTGCTTGATGTCTATTTCCAATTTCAATACGTCCTTTATCTGCCAATAATGTTTGATTTGAAGGATCGTAAACAAGTGAATAGAAAAATGAATCCTTTAAAAAATAAAAATTAAAAGAGAAAACAAGAAGGTACTTGGGGGTCATCCCAAACAAGTAGTTGCGGACATATTTATGCCGACTTGTATTAGTCAGAGTATTCATATTCTTTTTTGAATCCAAAGAAGTGATAGCTGACCAATGAGTCCGCATACATATGTCCGAAAATACTGGTTTTCGTATAACACAGAGGTCGATCTGAAATGACAAAGGTGCCGGAATTCAGAACTGTCGGATATGGCTCAAAAGTCGGAACTCGGAAATCAGCTCAAATTTTCGAAAATCGAAATTCCGATCGACCTCTGGTGTATCTGACCAACAAAAATAATTTTTTTTAAAATCCCCTTACATCTTTCCCAATATACATATCACAGGTTTCCACATCATTTAATATTACTACGGAACATTTGCCACGAATCTAAAAATTTTTTAAAAACTTTCAAAAAAAATTTTAATTTTATACTTGTGTTGCTGGCAATGTTTCAACAATTCTTGAAAGAAATAATTCTTTTTGACGTAATTCATGTAATTGTTCTGAAGTTAGATTTGTTGCTCCTCGTGGAAGACCAGCAAAACCATAACATTTTGGATGTGAAA